GTCTACTGTATTTTATCCGCGAGCATCGGAAACGCGACCTCCGAATGGACCCTCTTAATTATTCGTTGTTCCCCGCCGATGTCGAATTTTCCTGTAAATCTCGGTCACGCGGATTGGACCCGACGTCGCGGCGCCGCGTTGCAGCCGCACTGCGGCCGCGTCGTGGCCGCGCGCTATCGCGACACCGAGTGGACATTGCCAGGTGCGGAAGATATCCGCGCGCGATACCGACTATCGACGAGCGGCAGCTACGTGTCGCTCGCCTTTAATTCGCATTCACCGGCGACATAATTGACGGGATGCCATTATGCTCTCAGGATTCTGATGTACATTGCGTCGCCAACGCGCCGCCGCTTATACCATAAATATCTAGACTTCGCATATCAGCGGAAGGGGTAAACTGGAATACCACGTGGACCACGTGTACCGACGGTACTCGGACCCAATCAGATTTTAGACCGTACATTTATGTAGACCGCCTTGCAATGGAAAGGGTAAACGAATGTACCACGTGTCCCGACGACTCACCCACACGGTTATAGCCATTCCGCTTACTGAAAATCTCGGAGTGGGAGGTTCAATGCGAGGTCTAGATATATATATATATGGTCTAAGGCTGCCATTGGGGGAATCCGTCTACGCCGAATGAAAAGAGACTCGCCGTGATTTCAACCGATCGCTCCGGGCCCGCCGCCAGCAACAGTTTGCCGAGCACCGTATAACGAATCGTCCCTCGGGTTAAAAAAGTCCCCACGTGGCCACGCGGAAGTGAGACTTATTTTTCCCACATTCACCAAAGCGCCGTTTTCGTGCTGGTGTGAGTCGCGAGACAAGGGTAACGCTTTTTCTACGGGTTCCGGGTCGTTTTAAAAATCCGATCGCATGATCGAGCTTCGGCAATCGGTTGATTGAAATGGTCGAAACTTCTCTTCGACCCGTAAGAAGTTTCACTTGAAAAACTGAAAGGTCGCGGCAAACGGTTGGAATTCTCTCGAGTTCGAGCTTCGTCTCGGTTTCCGTCGACTGACGGAATCTCCGAGGAAGCGAAGAAGCTTCCTCGGGTGTCACCGTTGAAAGGCGATCCGAAAGTTTGGCTTTTCAGGGCCCGCTTAAGAGAGATCTCTTTGATAAGTGTATCGCTCGAAAAACGTGATTCAATCATCTTAAGACGTTAACGACGGTGTCCGAAGCTCCCAAGTTTTACGACAGGTATCAAAGTTAACGTCCACTGTCGCTTAAATCGCGATATCGTATGAAGATTACGATAGATTTACAGATCCCGTTCCCGGGTGCTTTCGATGCGTTTAACGGCGGGATTACGGCGGGCCGTCGCTCGGTTTATTAGCCGCGAAGCCATTTTCTTGAAATCGCCCGAGCGACGTCGGAGCTCAAAGGAAAAAATCCCTTTATCACATCTGATATCGAGAACGGCGAAACACGAGCGGACATTTCTCGGTCCTCTCCGAGAGAGAATACGGCTCGCCGATGATATCAGCTGTCCAAAAGGAGGAATAAACCGACGGCGAATATATGCACCCGCGAGATGTAAATTTAGCCGCGTTCTACTTCTGCTACCCTCTGCAAGATACCAGCCATAGATATCCCTCCTTCGAGGAATTGTCAACGGTTCGTTAAACGCGCGGTCGAAAATTATTTATCCCCCTTGAATATCGAAAGAACCTTCCGCGATATGCCCTGCACACACTGCGGATAACCGATGCGAGGTGGAGAAGCGAAAACAGGAGAAGTGTGTCTTTTTAAAGTGCCAAGAGACCGCGATACCATCTTTACGGCTGCAACGGAAAACCCGGTAACCGTTGACAACGCACTCTAGGAAGCTGATAATTACTGCTCGGAAACGCAGCACTTTAACTAGACCTCTTTGAACGCGCTTGTTCATGCAACCTAATTGCACGTTATCGCGACCTTCGCCTCGCCGCACCGTTAAAAAGGATCGTACATCGAGTGTCTGCGGTTTGTTCGTTCGCCTTACGCATAGCTGCGTAGATATGCACACGTCGCAGGACGTCATCGCGTATCGACAAACGACGTCTCGACCCGGACAAACGCCGCGACGATCGAACTCCGTTGTCGCTCGGTTATTACGAGGCCCGGCGTAGCGTAAACCTCGTCGCAACAAATATAATTGCCCGAATCCCAGAAACGAACGGACGCTCGTCGTTAAAATCTAGCGAGAGCTCGGCCGGCTCTCGATTTCTTAATTAGAATCAATTAGTCCGGGAGTAGCGTAGAAATCCAACTCTGGAGTTACGCGGAGAGTAATTAGCGAGGTGTCTCGCGAGCGATACACCTCGAAGGTAATGGCAGAAGCGAGAACTGCGAGAAGACGGATGCCGGCCCCGCCGAGGGGACGTCTTCGAGTTCTCCAATTAGGATCGGCAATTGCGGGCTTACGGATCTCCGTTCTTAGGCAACGAGCTTAAGTGCGACTAGGGGCGAGCTTAATGAAGTCGGCCAGCTACCGAAGGACGTCTCTTGGTCGACCAAGATGGCGCCGATCGTTGCGAGGTTACCGATGTCTCCGCATTCGCACCGATTTGCTGAACCCTTACACCTGGAAACGGAAATTCATTCGATAATTTTCCTCTACGTAATACCTTGCATCGTCTTATCCCGGTTAAACTTTGGAATCACCTTTTCTCGAGAGTTGTCGGCCCACGTCCAAAAACTTCGGTCCTCTCGACGACGGGAGGTGGGTCCGAGCTTTCCATCGTTTTCATTGGTCGTGATAATTTCTCTCTAAAAAGTTATACGGTACGTTTAAGCGTGTACGAACATCGGGGGCGATTGCTCGTGTGCGTGGCCATTGACGCGACAATTAGCACAAATGCTGAGTAACAACTCCTCTAACGACCGGGTAAACGCTTTGGCCCGGTGGCCTTTGTACACGGTTCTTCTCCCAACTTAAACGTGTACTCGCGTCCCCGGATAATTAACAAACGTAAACAACTGGAAATTCAACTTGAGCGAGCGAACGATTAATCACCTTTTAGGACGGCACAACTATCCAGACTCTAATGCCCAGTCGAATAATTTAACGTCTGACGACCAGTTTTCGGAGTTGCCCACGAGAACTCCGAAAGACTCTCGGTTTCAAATATTGATCGACATGACTCGGCCAACGTTATATTTAACGACAGAAACGATCGCTGGTTGGATCGCCTCCTCTTTCGTTCTGCTGCGATTCGGCACGGATTTAACCAGAGTTAACCATTTTTATGCCGCTTGCAGTATTTTTGTGTTCCATGCACATTCAGAAATCCCATGCCGTTAGACATCCGAAAGCTATCTGAAAATCAATACAAAAACGTGCATCGTGAGTTCGTCAGAAATGACTTGCGTGACTTACAGGTAGAATACTAGAAATATCGTGCCGCATCAGGGCTCAAAACGGGAAATGAAGTCGATACCTTTCGGTCGAGGTGGGAAGTCTCCAATTCCCGTGATTTTCAGAAATTCTCTTCTCACGCCTGCTCTATTTTCCCGCGGAGGCATTCATGAATGGCATTTTGTCGGATTTTCTCCGGGGAACGATGACGAAGTGTCCTCTCCCGTGCAAAAGTTTTCCAGCAATTTTTATCGGTTAGAGTAACGGCTCCCAAGGGAACTGTCGAATGCGCTCCGAAGCGGCCGAATGACGACATTTCCGAGGGTCGTCCGTAAATCAAATCTTGACGTTAAATCACTGTAAAATAAAATGAGGCATGTAAATCGTTAACAAATTTGCACTCATCCTGCGAGTATGTAAATGCAAGATAACGCACAAACTTTTAATGCCTATGGTCAAATGAACGTTATGAATCTATAGGCATAGAATGTACTTTCACTGTACATCTTCTTGGATTTCCTCAAGGGAACAATGAGGAAGCTTTCCTTTGCGTAGAGATACTTTTTCATGACTTTTATCGGTTGAACGAACGTTTCCTCGGGGAGCTTTCAATGTCGATACAGGCTTAACGATTGAAAGACGTTATCCGTGACGGGTTCTTTTAAGAGAAATAAGGAAGCGATATTAAATATTGGCAATGCCAGGAGATATGTTTTAGATACATCGTCGTCCGTTCTACGTACCGAGATATCGAGTGAACTGGCAATAATTTTCTCGTTATTTTAATATTTCCGTCAGAGGTAGATTGCAGTAACGATCCTCAAGGGAATCTTTGAATACGCTGTTGCGGATGCAGCAGTTTGAACGCGACATCTGTTAGAATTTGGTGTAAATCAAAAACTGATGTTAAATATCGATAAGAATTTTACATACTCCGTTATCGCGGATACTTACTAAGATATCCGTGATAACCAGTGAATTGCAGTCACCAGTAAGTAAATCGGTGAAGCAAATCCCCATCGATAACCTTGAAAAAGTACTGGGTGTAATAAATAATCAATGCAAATTATGAGACATGTTAGAGGTATAAATATATATACCACACTGACAGATAAAGCTATCACCTTATTCCGTTTGGTCGTGAAAGGGCCAGTTGCCGTTTTTGGATTTCTGGATTTAGCTAGTTCGAAGAGTGCCATCTCCCAACTCCATCGGTAAAGACATTTTTCCTTATAGTTCAGCAACCTTCCGTTACCAAGAGGAGGCGCTCTATTCTAAAGTTTTAATATCAATGCATTCTTATTTTTCTCTGAGAACTCTTTGTTAACGGCGATGGCAATTACAATATTACATAGAAGTTTCTTCCTGAAGTCAATGATATGCCAGGAAATACAATCATTCAAATATTCACCAAATAACCGATTGCTATATTTTACAGATGTATACACAAACTTCACTTATTGTACTAAGCGCCTAAGTACGTAGAATTTTATCGAAAAGAAATATGATCTATAAAAATGTTTCTCTTTACAGAGGTTGTCTTTTATTGTGTATACTATCACATTCGTGGAATTAAAATGTTTATTATATGAAAAAATAAAACTTTTCATATACTACCGGTTACTTTACATAATATTGCACCATGCTCGTGTTCTCAATAGTACGGAAACGTAATTTTATTTGAATACATATTAATCTCATTACACAATTACTAAACAGCAACATAACGTATCAATAATCAATAGAAACTTTTCTTTTCAATGGTACATTTTTACGCAGGTTGTAAACATGAACCAATAAGGAACGTGTATTGCTTTAACTTCTCATCATCGATTAAGAATGAAAATATCGATAAGGAAATTGTTATTAAGAAAAAATATCACATATGGCTATTTTTCATATTTTTAACAACATAAAGGACGTATAATATTTTCATTGATGCAATAGGAATCAGCCATTTAAAGGCTGTAGTTTCAATCGATGTTCAGACCTCTCTTCTACTCAAAGAATAATGTACAGTTTCATTTTGTTTCAAATATGTACAAAGCTTGGTAAATGGCAAAGTCCCCTTCCTATCGTTAAGTTGAAATATACACCTTTTCACATAAACGTGTCGTTATATAAATTATTGTAACTGTGGCATAATGTCACCTCAAAAAATCAAATGAAATGTGCATCCTGTACTCTTAATTTACAAGTTCAATACTCAACATTACAGTAACGTTACTTACAGTATACACATACACTAAAGTAATCTTTTAGAATGGTAAAATTATCGACAGCGTAATATCTTATTTATCTGAAATTAAGTAGCGTACGCATATTCCTTAAACGTACTTTGCGGTTTCACACTGTCAGTGCTAAGTATTTACAAAACATTATGGTCGTGGCTTCATTACCTTAAAGCTAGTGTTTTTACTAGCTAATGCTTCTGTTCGTGCAAATACATTATCCGAACTACGTTTCATTGAATTTAAATATTCCGACGAAGCCTGTAGATCTCTAAACTTTTCCTTCTCTTCGTTGACTACATGGTACGGTAATTGATTCAACAGCGATCCATGATTTAGCTGCAATAAATATTGAACTATTAATGACTAGTACGGAGTTATTAAATTATATTCTATGGTATAATCAAAAAAAAATAAATGAATATATATCATATACTCTCCATACTATTTCATCATATTTAAAAAACAGGGACGACTCTTCAAAGCTCTTAGCATGATCACCGTATAACCAGTCCTGTTGAGAGAGTTGCGATTCTCCTCGATCACGCCTACAATCATCAGGCCGTCAGTACTGGCACATGAAACTGGACAAAAAAATGACTACTTATCGGAACCAAATGTATTTTCATTTACTGTCTAAAACAAAGCACATGTTGCACATAAACTCACTTTTTCTTAGAAAAAAAAAAAAAAGGGTTTATAAAGAAATGACAAGATATTTTTCTCAACATATGACATTAGTCCTCATTTATCTCCTCATAAGTACCTTAACTCTGGGTCATATATTTTTCGTCCAGGAACTTTCTTTGACGTGAAGCAATCTTCAGAATTACTTGAACTCGACATTTTCTCTTGACTGACTCTGTCGTAAGAATGTTCTTTACTAGAACTCACCAACGGATTTGAGTTCGTTGCCACTTCACTATTGTCACAGAAATTTTCACTACAATTCCCTAGACTTAAATCACTATTCGTTGGGTGTTGATTCCTTTGAAGAGCATCACTGGAAATTGCATAACTCGATTTTGAATCGTTAGTCACAGCCCCTTCGTGATCTCGAGGGCTCTCTAATCTCTCATCAGCCGAAAACACTGACTCGTTGCTGTCATTAGTTTTGACTGGATTATCGTTCAAACTATCTTCTCCATCGATTTGACTACTTGATAGTGCCATTTCGCAACTGCTTATGGAATTAGAACTTCGTTGCCTTGTATTAACGGTATTTTCCACATTCTCTGACGTATTCTTTGGCTTTGATACCGAAATTGGTATCGTAATTTCAATGAAATTGTTAATTAAGGTAGCATCAATTTCTGCATAGCAGCTTGCATTAGCAACTTTTGTATTATTAAAAATAGTTCCATTTAAAGTTTCATCGCTACTATTACTAGATCGACCTTCAGGTAAGGTTAAAGTTTTGTCATCGATGGCACTTTCCTCAGATTTACAAATACGTTTTGATTGATTACTCAAAACGAGCGATAGCGCTGTTTTGTCTAGACCTTGATCCAAAGAGGAGCCAAGAGAAGATCTTACACATTTCAACTGACTTATCGACCGAGAGGACCGGTGACACTTTTCAAACATTACTTTCTGAATTGGTGGTGTAAGGGGCATATTATGTTTGCTACTTCCCGTTTCGGTATCGAGTGAAGAACCAGAAAATGTCCTCTTTGAACTATCAAATCTGTAAATAATGTCTTCATTAATAAATATCAATGATAGGATTAGTCTGCTGAATATCGTATACCATCTAGTCTTTATCTGACATGGCACATTCTTTCAATTTAGATATAAATTTAAAGGACTTACGGTTGACTTTGTTTTATATTAATCAAAGAGGAAAGATTTAGCAACGTTGCTCGTAAATCCATTGTAGGAAGACCACAGTACCATCGTAATTGAGCTATATTTTTATTTAACAGATACACTGCATAATGAAATTGCAGTTTATCTTTACCTCGAGAAAATAGAGGAAACCTTTAAAAAAAATACCAGGTTAAATCGCTCCTATAATTTATAAATTCAAGATGTATTAATAATACTACATTGAGTTTAAAGTGCATTCATTTAATGCTAAATAAGTATATGTACTCACTGCCTCTCAGGAAGGTTATTAGTAATATGATCAATAATTTTACTACGAGAGCCATAATGAATTATAGGATATCTTGTAGGTACATTCAGAAAACTCGCTATCATTTGTGTTGTGTGAGCGACTGATCCAAGTGCGACAGCAACTTGGGTATCATTTGATGACTCCAATTCCTCACTGTCTGGCAAATGAACATTATTTATCATAAATTTTCCATCCCGTTCCTGTAACCATAGAATAACTGTACTTTTAATTGTACGTAACTGTGTTATTAAAAAAATTAATTTCGTTGGATAGAACCCAATACTTCCATATTGCACAGTACCTGTTGAATTGGGTAGATTAAACATAATTCTGAAATTAATTGCCTTCTCCTATGAGCGAGTTGAGAAGTGGTTTGAATGAAGGTGTCTCGTTTTTCCACGTGATTCTGCCGCCATTCATGTAATTTTTCTACATCCCTGTTTAGCTCTCGATATCTTTCCATTAAGTCAGACCCTAATAATTAAAGATGGTTTGATATCTCACTGTTATTACAAATAAATATTTTATTCTCACCGTGGTCTTGATTCTCCTCTTTAATACTACTGTGAAGTTGGTTGAGAGCTCGCAACTCTCCCATTTTTCTCACTCTTTCTTGCTCCAATAATTTTGCTCGAAATCTAGCAACCTCAAGCTCTTTACGTATTCTCATTATCTCTGCCCTTTTTTCTCGAGTAACCTTTCTGGGCTGCAATAATCTGTTCAATGAAGATTGTGGAAACTTTGGAGTTTGCATGTCATCTCCTGATGCAATGCGCTCTCGCAGTATTCGTACTGACTCAGATTGTTGCCTCAGTGCTTGCATTTTACTGCGTAGACTACTCAGTTTGTTGACGGTATAACTGTCCTTTATTTCTGAAGAGTTTACACTCATGTGCAAATATCTCATTAGATTTGGTGGATTTGTTAGGCAAAACGAAGGTGTAAAGTATCCTCCATGAAGGTGAAAGACAAGTGAGTTATTGCAGAGAATAATATCCAAGTTGCTTGGTAACTTGGGTCCGATATATGTTAAACCAGTAAATGATATGCCCCAAGTAAATATGGTAACGTCCGATGTTGGATCTCCAATTATTACCCTTCTCCACAATCTTAGAACAATTTCTGAATCAAATAAAAATAATACGTTAATCAATATTTAGACAAATATCATTTATGACGTTGGGTAATGACTTATACACGATGTCATGATAGGCCTTCTGATAACACAATGCATTAATTCCATTGGAATAAGCAATTAAACAAAAAATACATAAAATGTAACATTTCTGTAGAAATTGAAATCATATGAAAGGAAGTTTGTACAACTTCTACATATACAGGTACGATAAGGTACAACTTAATTGAAATAGGATTGCGGTTAGAGTACTAACTGATGATAGAGCTCACCACTGGCAGCAGAGTGGCCGGTGGCATGCAAAGTAGGCACTTCGAGATTAGCCCAACGAGGGCTCGCATTATCTAAAGTTTCACTTGTATATAACGGAGACGACATAACCGTCCTATGAATGGTATAATAAAAACAGCATGTGTCGGTTTTTGCATCAGTTTTCAAATTATGGCCAATTACTTGAATCAAACTTCTAAATCGAAGCTGAAATCAATATTAAAATGCAATTACTTTATTTAACGCATACCTTATCTTGCTTATATTAACACAAAACCTACCGACAATTTGTACCCCCATTACAAATACCATTTAAACCAGTCAATTTGACCCGCCAGTGGTAGGTTTAGTGTTAACAGTAATTCACTACTATTTATCTAAAAACAGCAAATGATTCTTAAATAAAGGTCTAAGGTCTATCTAAATAAATGCACATTTGGATAACATACTTGTTGCGTAGCAAGGGGAAGCCAAGCTTTATACCGTGGAGCAACCCGAGGCTGGAGAGTTAGATCCAGATCTCTAACGAGGCTCCGCATCTCTGGTTTTGCCATTACCTATGCACAACACTATAATTTTACCATTATACTCACAAAATTGTTGAAACAATCAAACAGTGGGTTGAATAAAGTCAACATTAACTTACTTAAAGCATGGTATAGGTTACATGAATTCCCACCTATGCTAGACCAAATTTTACAATGATCCTTCGAGATCTTACTCCTGGTGTTGTGTAAAACTAAAAGCCTTATAAGTACTTATCGCCAGTCGTAGTGTTAATTATTCTATTCCATCCAATTAGCAAGAAATGACACTTGCAACAACTGACAGATCTCCAGCCTACAAGAAGTCCGAACATGCACAACATGCTCAATAGCCGGGTTTTCACCGTTTCCACCGTGTTTCCACCATCCAAAAAAATAAAACTTAATTTAAATCACAAACTATATTCCCACTAAAAAATAATAGAAAGTGCTCACATCCCGTATTTTGCAGCTATATGGATACTGCTGTCATCTGACGGTCGAAATCGTAAACATGAGATATAGGCAACAAAATAGACACATTACTACACCCTAGTAGATAGTTAAACAGTTCGAGTTTCCGGTAATGTCCTTCCTGAATGACTAGCTTGCTAGGGAATAATTTAGGCGGTAATTTAAAATTCATACGCTTCGCGAAAGCTGTAAAACGGCGACAAGGAAACAATTGATAAATAAAGATAACGTTTCTAACACTGCCAGTCAATCAGATTATTTCTAAAACATTCGGTATAAATAACGTTAATAGAATTACGTTTCTATCATATAAAAATGAACACAATATCAAAATTGAAATTTTCTAGAATTACTTTGTAAGATTTAAAAAAAGTAAAAGGGTTTATTTACTATTTGATAGGAAAGTTTATATCACTTAAAATCGATAAGAGCTATAATTAGAAGCGAAACATTAGTCCAAACCAAGGTTTCAATTAATTCCGCGGAAGTTGCGACGTTGCCATATGTGAAGTACGAGGATAATCCGCATGGAGACTGATGGAGACTACCAGAGACAACCAGCAACAACCAGAGACTACTCCGTATCTCACTAAAGGAGTATCTATCTTGTCTGCGAGGACCTTGTACCGAGTTATTCAATAAGCGTAAAGAAACAGTTTCTTTAAAAGCATTTTTGTAAAATCAGTTAACATCAAGTGCAATTGACAACGGGGAGTGACAATCGGTGACAGGTCTAATAAGCACGTAACCCACCGCCCATGCCAAGCCTCCATATCAATCCTTTTGTTTCAACTTAGTTAAATTACATTTTCTTATACGTTTATTTTTACTGTCCTCGAACTGTATATATTATTTTCTGCTTATTAAAGTACATTCATGAATCAATTATCTTGCGTTGTTATTTTTCCTAAACTTATTGATTTTGTATGATTTTGTTGACAACTCGGGCCTTTTGTAATTGTGCAATTTAACAAGGACAATAATATCATTATAGAAGAATATCGATGAGCGCTGTGATATTTAATTGGTGATTCTAAATCCATAAATGGGATTCGTTGATCCTTTCAGTCAACGAATGGAAAAGCAGTATTTGATGATAATTTAAAAAAAAACATTGTCATTTGATTACTCCTTTTATCGATGTAATAAAAATAAGCTGAGATTATGCATTTTTATAATAATATTCAAGATGTGATTAAAATATTATCGGACTTTATGCGCTAACAATAATATTTATAACTAAAGATTGTGAAAAAAAATACAGATTGTTTAAACAGTATTTGCTGAAAGACCAAGTATTAATAATTAATTATAAAGAAATTCGCTTCCTAAGTGAGTATAGGCAAAAGGAGCGTAAATATTCATTATGTTTGGAAGCATGGTAACGGCAGTTTCTCTGAGGAGATGCTTCTATTTGTCAGCTATTGTTTTGGTACTGTCAACATTAATGGCAGCTGTAATAATCGTTAAGTTGTCGCCGTTGGAATCAGTTAAATGTCAACCACATGCAGTAACTCCTGCGGTGGAGTGGAGTACCGTAGCTAACCAATTAATGGACTCGGTGACTGCTCAGCAAATTAATGAAAATCAAAAGGAGATCAATGACAAGAAGTACAGAGAAATGAGAGAGAAAATTATACAGAATAAGGTTGCCCGGATGTCTAGGAAGATGCGAAATAAAGTTCTTCCGTTGATTAAGAACGACACCATTGTTGAACCTAATTATAACATCCACATATTTTATTATGCATGGTATCGGTCTCAAGCATACGACGGTGTCTGGAAACAGTGGAATCATGATTATTTACCAAATTGGAAAAAGAACGATAAACGAGTATTTCCAGATGGAAGTCACGAACCACCAGCTGATATAGGAGCCAACTATTATCCCAGTTTGGGCTGCTACAGTTCAACAGATCCACAGGTTCCTATAAAAGCTCTATCGATTCTTTGTATTTAAGTTTGACAAGCATTACAAATAAAGGTGTTCTAATATAAGTTACTTTACAGGTTATAGATATACATATGAAACAATTAAAAGAAGCTGGCGTGGGAGTTATAGTCTTCTCTTGGACTCCTCCTAAAACAATGGATAGTACCGATCCTGTATTACCAGACGTACTCGATGCTGCGCACAGATATCACTTGAAAGTTGCTCCACATATTGAACCATACGCAGGAAGAAATCCAATTAATTTGATAGAGCATATACGGTATCTTTTTAATCAATACTCCTCGCATCCAGCATTATACAGAATGAGAAGGGAAGAAGAGTAAGTTTTCAGCAAATTTTATACACGGCAATACGATCTTGGACGTTTTTTGAAATATTTATCAAATTTAATTGTATCACGTGGTTACCGTAAATACTAATCCTTTGTTCGCCTCATTTAAGTAATAACATTACAAAAGTATCTTTTTGTTGTCTCTTTTAGTGGAACAGTTTTACCAGTTGTGTACATCTACGATTCATACGTATTTCCGTCAAGCGCTTGGTGGGAATTATTGTCTTTACGAGGAAACTTAACTCTCCGAGGCACGGAAATCGATGCAATCTATATCGGACTGTTGGTAGACTCACAACACCGAAATCATATTAAGAAGTCTCATTTTGATGGATTTTATACGTACTTCGCCGCAAACGGTTTTAGTTACGGTAGTACATGGAAAAATTGGAAAGACTTGAATAAATTTGCAAGACAGAATGGGCTCTTGTTCATTCCTGGTGTAGGTCCTGGTTACATCGACACACAAGTAAGCTGAACATCCAATAATAATTTAGTGCCCAAAGAATTAGTGAAACACATTAATTAAATTAATTACATTCTTCTTGAAAGGATTAAAAATGGTTTCTCTAAATTTAGGTACGACCATGGAATGCTGAAAATACAAGACACAGACGACATGGGCAGTATTACGAAGTGGCTTGGAAAAGTGCATTGAATAGTGGAGCAACCATGATTTCCATAACATCGTTCAATGAGTGGCACGAAGGTACTCAAATCGAACCAGCAAAACCAGCTAGTAACAAAGACTTCACCTACCTCGATTATGAGCCCGAAGGTTCTCACTTTTATCTGAATTTAACAAAATGGTGGATACAACAGTTTATAGAGAAATATACTAACACAGACCAGAAAGACTGAGAGCTTCGTTTCACTGAAAGTCACCAGTTGACTTTGAAATATCATACATTCGATGTATCTTAAGTCCCAATATTTTTATTATGATTCGATAATAATTAAGCAAGACATTCGTATTGCCCCTAGTCTAGTTAGTATAGTCCTAAAAACAATCTCGTATGTAAATCATTTAACGCCACTTTACATCAGAATTATTCGATTTCTATTATGGATAATAATCTTCATAACAAAAGATATCGAAAACCTTTAATAAAAAATATAGGCACTTAAAATACTGCATTAGACCATAGATTTTTCACACGAGTTTAAGTTTGAAGATGCAACTCTACCAGGATGATAGTGACTTCAATAAATCCAATTGACAATTTTACACATCTAATACATATATATATATAATGAAAAATGGCTCTAATAGCACTTAATTATAGTAATAATTTCAATTCTATCTATTCCATTCAACACCATGGGTGCACACCAAGATTGTCACATTCAATTTTATTCTAAGAACTTATCAAGAAAAATATGTAATGTATGAGTTGAAATAATTATAGATGCATGATGAAGAACTGCAAGCATTAGGTCCAACAAAATATTCTTGGAATGCCATAATCAGTAGAACAACAAACCACAATTAATTCAGCACTTTCTGACCAAGCTTGATACAATAATAATGATTAATAACATAATGACATGACATCGGGTATTGAGGTCAGCAGATAGTCTTGTTGAAATTGACAGGTAGCGACTGGCAAGAGTAAGATATAAATGCTGTGTGATAATTACCATAAGTAGATGTTTTATATACATATATATTAAACCCACATGTATGTATTATATGGACAATAACCATTCCCTGTCCGTTCTCTCACAGGACATACTTCCGTTTAACTATTCCCCTATTACTCTTAAATACTGAGAAGGAGTTAAGATAAATTAACAAGTCCACGGTGTTATTATCCAAATAGCATTCCTGTGCGATACAAAATGTGTGGTTAACATTCTACAACGTGGAAGTGAGGTCCTTTCATCATTAAATGGTTCAGCAATAAGGATCATTGGCCGTGTAAATTATTAAGCCACTGGGTCATAAAAATGATGCCAAATTTTTGTGAGATTATTGCCGATGCATATCACTGGAATTCACTCGACATGGAATGACATTCAATGATTCGATTTTTAAATATTGTGCAATGAAGTTCTTAAATTCGTTCAATAAAGGTATATTACTTAGTTTAACATACATGTACATATCTGTAATGAATTGTACACCTCAAAAATGTGTATACTACAGCGATCGATTGGAAGAAATCAATAAAGACTGCAAACTTGTTAATATATACAATTTTTATTAGTACACAATGTTTAGAAAAGACGGGTAAGTAATGATGTTGCTTTGTGTCCCAATTTTTAATAAGTTATTCCTTGAGTACAAAATAACCATGACTGCATCTCAATATATCCACACACTGTGGTACTAATAATTACTAATATGAATTTTATTCAAATGATTTGATTAATCACCAATGATTGTACTTGTCAATAATGTTAGAAATCATACTCTATTCTTGAGGTGTGCAAAGGAATCCCGCGTGTTCCTTTATCCCAATGTTACATATATGATTTAAGTTTAGAGACACCCATATATTATGTTTCATAGTAAAGATACACAGCAAGTATTTCCGAACAATATCATTCCAGGAAGCATAGTGTAGTTTCGTTTGTTCCTGATGTACTTTTCACTTATTACGTATACGCGACAACTAAGTATATATCATATCTTTATATTCTTCTCTAATCGCTATTGTTACATGGAAATATACAAAGGAGCTTTCGAGAAAAGGCACGTAACTTGTTAATATGTGACGACCTTCGACTGTTGTTTTAAGTCTGTTTTTAAGATAACCAGATAAAACCCGAAAAAGATGCAAAATATCGATTTTAAGATTTCCACTTGAAATAAATAATATGACAAACATTTACTTGAAAATAATATTAGAAAAATAGATACAATATTTTCATTCCGCTTCTTAAAATTATTCAAATAAGTAGCTTCTCAAGATACAAGCTCAATCCAATGCCATTTATGACTGAAATGTTATGTCTAGTAACATTTATTATGGTTTTCATTGCAGGCTATAAACTTTTGTATATACCACTGTTTCAATCAAACTGTATTAATGTAACTAATAACATTTTTGGTGCTTCTTCAACTTAATAAATATCTTCTAATGAGTTACAATTAATCATTGACCACATTCATCACATTTGGATTAGCCTTATTATCAAGTATACATACAAATAATGAACTAGATTTGAAATCCCAATAAATATACATTACTTATGACTTATATGCATGAAAAATAGTTTTAAAACAATGCTTCCAGCATAGGCGTCAATATAACAATACAGATTGTCTCGTAGATACGTTACAATCTTCCATTATACGATTAATATTTCTCAGATACATATGTATCTGAAATCGCAACGTCGAGAAAAATGAATCTTTTCAAAATTAAGGTTTGTACAAATAACTACAACGAAAAATACGTGAGAGTGGTGAATACAATCTCGTTAAATAAATCACTTATGTTAAGATATGCGGTACCTTAGTTAGGAATCCGCAATTTTCCGCAAAAGGCAGATGTTTCATATCACTTCAATCTCAAGCATTCGTTTATCTAAGTCTAATAGTTGTAAGAGTATTTAAACAAAATTACCGAAACAAAAGACTGCAACAGTACAAAATATATTACAGTTGTTTGATTCTTTTAAGTACCTTAATTTACTTGACAATCGAAAAACCTTGTATATCGATTACGAAATTGTCGAAATTATCACTAAATCTCAATCTCTGAAGACGATCATCATTTAGGCGGATATTTGTAGATAATTTCGTAAAAGCTGTCGCAAATCTCTGAGCCACTTGTGGATCAGACTGATTAGCCAAGAAGTTCTGTACAAATTGTTGATACTGTTCCTTGTAACAACATAGTAAATAGTACAGCGGTAAACTAGTACTCGATAGGAGGTCCGTGTTAATTTGGTGTGACAGAATTAAATTCATCAGTAACTGTAAATTTGGGAAATAAATCGTGGAGATTAAATACCTGTACCATGTGAATTCATACGAAATAGTAATAACTCCGTTACTTACATTCATAAATGGTATCATTAACGGATTCTTTGGCCGTCCTTTCTCGACTTCGGAATAAATATGTTTGGCCACTACTCGTATGATGTCACAACACAAACTTGTAATTTCTTGCCCAAACGAGTAGAGGCCCAATTCTACGGACATTAATAATTGTTGCAACAAATCATTTGGCAAACTTAAAACCTTCTCTGGATGCATCTCGCAAATATTTGTTATCATCTTGAAGTATCTACAAGCACCAATGATTTAAATAAACTTCAAACAACACCTTAAATAAATTTTGATAAAAGGACATACTGTAAACACAAAGTTGGGAATTTTAGTAATTCTACCGTCATCATAGGCATAACTATATTTAAGCCTCGTAGGAACGCATCAGCAGCTATCTCCTGTTGGTCCTGAATTATCACACCAGGTATATCTTTGATGAGTAAATTAGTTAAAAGTTGCATAAGCAAAAGAATATCTTGAAACGAATCTTCCTCCGCAGTAGAATCAACAGTCAATCGATTGGAATTACAACGAGCATATGCTTGTACTGTGTGTACACACGCTTCATACATGCGTATACTTTCAGGCTGTGAACATATTACATGTAAAATGATACGATAATTGTTGAATACCTTAAAATAGTGCTGGGTACAATAGCCTAAAATACTTTCAACTTTTTTTTCTTTTAAGAGACATTATGCAATGACATACATTTTTTTTTGTCAACCAGAAATTAAAAATAGAAGAGAACATTATGGACTCTTTCGTTATTTGTGTTACCGGTATCTTCATGCGATTGACACTTACCCCGGATAAATAATTAAGCATTCCTTTTGTACATTCGTAAAACAGTTCTAGAATTAATTGTACTATCTGCTGATAATTGTGGTACAAAGATATTAAGTTTGGAAGTTCCTCCAATACAGGGTACACGTGAAGAAACACAGACTCTACTTTTGAATCGTGTACTCCTTGAGCAATACCTACAATTAATAAATATTTTAAGTCGATCTCATGAATAACTAAAGAGTAATATACATGCATTGAGTTTCAGTTACCGATTAGAGATTCTAAAATATCAAATATTTGCGCCCTTATATTGTCTTGATGATACGATCTAGGAAATGTATCGCTGGTAACGATCTGTTTAAAACTAGTTCTCAAGGGTTCCAAAGTTTGCACCCAATAATGGGGTTCATCGGTGTAGAGCTGAACAGCGTCACCAATTTGAACTATTACACGCATTAAGCCTCTTTTAGCCGTTGAGGGCAAATCAAACCGTTTTTTTGTGGCTAACTCAATTAAGGCCCCTATTTGATTAGAGTTTAACAGGCACTTGACTCTGAAATTATGTAGAAGATAATGTTCGTTAAAACTGATAAAATATGTAGTATACATTTTTACATTATAAAAAAATTTAAATAAACTTTTCAATATAAATTAATACACTTACTTTACTCCTGAATCAACAAGAGCACTTAACAATTTCATGGTCTCCTTCATTAACGTTGGCTCATTTTTAAAGACACTGATGTTACATCGGACTTTCTCCATTAAAAAGTTCATCGTCCACAATGCACCTTGACTATCTTGACCAAACGCTTGCAACAGATTTATGCTAATTTCATCATAGCAGTTTTCTATCGGCATTAGGTAGCTCAATGACCACCTATGCAAAAACCATACAATTGTGCTGCTTAACTCTGGGCTTAGCATATTCGAGATATTAGCTGATATCGCAGCCTTTTCGATTTCGCATAAACGAAAGACAGCTGAGATTAAACGAACAATATGATCAGCTGATTGTTCGGCTCCATTTATATCTGCAAGACTACTTTGCGGTGACGCAAAGAGTTGTAGGGTGACATTGATGTCAACTTCCCCCCGATGTGCCTAATTTCAACAGATCAATAATTGAAATTATTTGTTCACTAATGCAAGTAAATCTTGTTAACGTAATCATTAGTGAATTACAGAAATCCATCATTGCTGATTCAGTGATCGTAAAACAGATATTACCTGTTCTATACTGTATTGCATGAGTTCAGAAGGCACTAAAGCTGCTTCACCTTCAGATTCTAAACAAAGAGTATGTCCTGCAATTAGAACAAGCCAGTGTAAATCCTCGTACAGTCCATCTGCCTTTGAAGATTCAGATGTGTTTGTTCCTCTTTGCCTAACTACTGTACTCAAATGATTACGTAGCATTGAGGTACGGTCTTCGAGTAAACGTGCAAGTAATAATAATGAGTGACGTGGAACTCTTCTAGCGAAAATGCCTGTAATAATAGAATTTAGCTGTAACCCTACTGACAAGATTACGCAATCTCACAAAATTTGTGAAAATAAAAGATCATGTAAACATGTACCAATAGTTTGTAACTGCTTCTTAAATTTAGTTCTATCATCCTCTTGTGTACCATCAATTTCATCATCACGAGTGTCTTTCTCAATGGCACCTCTGGTACCATCCGGTGGAGATAAATGACAACGAAGATACACATTAAATATTTGCATGTAATTTTGTTTACAAAATTCAGATGAAAAGAACTGTGCCTCAAACATGATACAAATCCATGTTTCGAGCATATCTTCAAAAGCTTCCATATATAGACAATCATCTGCATACATCTATGAAAGATGCATTTAATAGTGTAAATTTCTAAATTTTAAAAGATTTCGTAGACCATAGTTTATTCTAGCTTAATTTATGCAAAATACGTACGGATTCTTCTTGTGCTGCACCAGCACTAAATAAACATGTTAACCTAGTCATTTCTTGAATTAATGATTGCAACATATCTTTCTGCAGGGTAAGTAATGTTGGACGAAAAAATGTTCCAATTTTTCTGAACATATTGGCAATACCGACAGCTTCTTGATCGATTACATCGATACTAGAGAGAAGTTTTAAAAATTCTTGCACATACAATTCCAAATATTGTAATTTTACATCATCTGATGTCAACACTGTACCACTTAAACTTCCTAGTTGAACCAAACAATTCCTGGCATGGTGGCCCAGTTGTGGGTATGTACGAACTTTAGCGTATAGCGTAAAAAATGTTCTAAGGACAACTGGATCCAATATAACTTGCTGCCACACTACATCCAATCGTAACGGTGCATTATGATCAGCTTTATAGATTCCTCCAAAGGCACCTATTATTCTTTTTGGTAGTACAACGGAGTTAAGGAATACACTGAAACGTCTTTACTATTTTCAAGTGCCTGACTTTGTAACTACTCTTAACTACAAAAATTCAATAAAAAAACAAAATATTATAATCCAATTAATAATTTAATAGTTGATACAATTATCAACTAATATGTAAGTTACATTTACAGAAATCAGATATAATGTAGGGATGTAAGTAAAAGCAGTGTTTAAAAAGGATATAGCATGTATGACAAGATTCCCAAACCAATACATCTTCTGATATTGAAAGTAGATGTTTAATGAGGGGCAATATATTTTCTGTAATCTCTCTTTCAATCAGTTCTCCGAGTACAGATACAGAAAATTTAAAAATCTTCTTTAAATCAATAACTTCAAAATCTTTCTTAGCTAAAAAATGCAGTTCCCAAGTGAGGCCCACATCAGATGATTTAACGGTAGTAGCATACTCTTGCAATAATGCAGACATTATGCTGCATCCTAAAAGTTGCTGCACAGATGAAACGGTAAAGTTAATATTAAAAGGCATACTCACAGGTACTTATGATCTCAAAGATAACGTAACAAAGGGATCATAAGTTCACATACCCTTGATAAATCACCACTCAAAATAAATCCTTCTACTTCATTTAATATTTCTTTCCTTTCTTCGGCAGAATGTACACTTCCCCGTTTAACCATGATTGCAATTACTTGTATAATCCGTTCCCTAACAAACGGTGCTAAGGTTGGTTTGCCTGTGACGTAATGTAACAGATATTGCCTTAATGAGTGAATATCATCTTTTGGCAGCATAGCCCATTCTGTGATCACTGCTGTTTTGATTAAACCAGCTGTTTCGAACAAAACATAATCCATAGTACTGGTTTCCAAGATTTGTCTGCATAATTGATAAGGTGACTTAGTTTTGCGAAAATTTAAATAAATTGTTTCCGCTGACCGCCGCTGTTCAGCTGAGACAAGATTTGGTGGTGCCTGAAAAATAACAATAAATGACAAAGTACTTTATATTTCACTGATTTTTTTAAATAACAATTACAATGGTTCAGAATTTTCATAAGTGATATTAAGTTTCATTCATATATAAAAAGATGATCTGATTCAAATTTAGCTCAATAAGCACCATTAATTACTGCAATGTAGAAGCCTATTGAATATTACAAGAACAATGTTTTGACACACATGTATTTCTACATATATCAAATAATCAATTAACATATCCTTCATTTTACATAATTCATTCAATTTTCTAATCTGTAAACTTATCACAATATTTATTTTAAACGTTAAAAACAAAAATTGAAGCATACAATAACATAATTTATAAGAACTAGAAATTGAATGCTTATGCATGTTTATTTTTCATTCAAATTTTAGAAAACAAACACTGTACGATTTCTGCTACCAAATAAATTCCAATAAGCATGAAGATTCTATAGATGTTTTTATTTACCAAAATAATTTGTGCAGCTACTTCTAACTCTCTCAATACTTGATCCGCCATTTTGATAAATCACGTTAGGCTTAGTTTACACGGATTGATTGGTACGAGTTTTAGAATGGTATAAACAAGCTCTATTAATACAGCATGTAAACGTATATACATACTGAATAACACAGCGAGTTCCACAACTCATCTCTGCTTTCATTCCATCCGTCCTCATGCTCCATTTAAAAACGGACATAAAACGAAAAACACTTTGTACAAAAAATATACCTTTATTGATATACTTTATTATAGATAAATATGATAAAATTGGTACGTTGCGCAATTTCTTAACAACTAAAACAAGATTCGGTTGGGCCCAGAGACGATGTAGAACATCACAGGATTAAACGTTTGTTTCCTCTTCACAAGCAGGTAGAAGAACGTTGGTAAAGGCGATTGGTTTGGTCCTGTCCTTCTTACAGAGCAAGATTTTAACATTTCCCGAAAGCTGATCTCTCGGTCGAGCCTTTATCGTAATTGGAATGGCGATACCGCTGGGCAACAGAGGTAGATCCACGACTCTTGGACATATATCCGCGTTCTCATCTCTGCACACTAGGAACAATCCAGTGTCCGAAAGCCCGGTCGACACGTTCGTCACCAAAAGACGAATTAAATAATCTGGTCCCAGTCCTAATATGCTAGCTTCCAAGGTAACAGGGTATGGACCCACTTCTTCGCCGGTGGCTAACACTCGTACCGCCGATTTGGCTACGTTTAATTTCAACCGAAGAATGCCCTGTTGAAAAATATTGTACATCTTTTTAGCCTCGGCCCTTTCGCGAATGGACTGCTCGACGAACAATCTCGTCTTCTTGGGAATGGCGAATCTCCCTGTACTCTCGCTGGGAGAAGACGCGGCTGGATGGATGGTGAAATCGGCGGTTCTCTTCAGGATCTTCACGCACAATCCACCGCCCATGGTGACCATTGCCATCGCGCGTTCCTCCTGGCCTAATTTACCGAACTGTAAGGATTAACCAAAACGACGACTGAATTCGATCCTTGCTTAATTCAGAGGTGGTCGGAGAAAAATGAGGGACGTCTTCTACCTTCATAGCTGACACCGGCTCCATCATTTTGATGGTATCCACGTGGAGCTTGCCGTCGTATAAATGAACTTCCGAACTAGCCAGGCTGACTGCCAGGAGAGATAATCCAGTCTGAGGCATGGGAAGGGTTACGAGATCCAAAGGAGCACTTGGCAGCCACAACCGCCATAGTTTCTCCCCCTGGGTAATATCGGTAAATATACGTATAATCTGTTTAAGTGAAATCTGCGGTATTACGTGTAAGAATTTTCCAGAGAGACGTTATCTACCTTGCTGGAGAAACCCCACAGCGTGCTGTCCATCCCAGCAATGGCTATTCCATCCCCTAACGATGCTATAGCCACAGCCGGTGCTGGTAATTTATCCCAGGGTTGATAAGGGCATCCTTTTTTCAAGACACCCAAGTCTCCTTCCCTTCCGATAACAAACGCTTGACCATCGCCGGCCCATAATCCCGCACTGACTGCAGCTACCGGGGGCCAACCCAGCAGAAACTTGTCCATGACCGAGAAAGCTCTGGTTCAGGTAGTGTTTTAGGTGACAAAGTATGAAGCAATCTATGTAAATTAGCGATCCATCCACGAATAATCTATTCACCTAGGATCCAGAACCAGCATTTCTCCGGATTCCGTTCCGACCATCAGGCAACTGCTGGCCGGGTCGTTCCAAGAGTCTTTCCGAGCTACTCCGACCATGGTGACGACGTTGGCCTTCGTCAACGGTATCCTGCGATACTCTTCGGCGAAACTTAGCCGAAGGTTTGGATCCATTGCCAGAAGTTTCAGCGTACGTGGCGACAGATAACTTGCACCGAGTTCATTCATCAGCAGCTCCAGGTCGTCGCATAACGTCGACACGTTGAACTCGTCTTCCAAGCCTGCTTTGTGCCAGATCTATTATAAAAGAATCACTTCGTCAAGGTTTCGTCTATTTTACACAATGATTGGCCAACGTTAACTGCGAGTATGCGGCTAAAACGATGCAGGATGATGTCTCTGGAATTCACGAGGTACCTCTCTTTCCTTTGGATGCGCATCCAGATGAGGCAGACAATACTTGAAGTGGGCTCGCATGTTTTTATAGATGTAAACGCTGGAGCCTGCTCCTACTGCAACAATCGCGGATCGAGTATCTCCGGTTTCCGAGTAGAGTCCAACGACACCGCATGGTGGATCTACGATGTTGTGCTCGCTAACTTGCTCGCCTCCTTTGTAAACGCGTATCTGGAAGGTTCGAAATCATCGGTGCTTTTATTTAGCATAGAGGTTTCATCGATTTGAAAAAAAAACTCACTTTTGGATTCTTTGCAGTCGCCGTTCCCAGATCTGTTACGATTAATCTGCCGTCTCCGTCTCCGGAAGTGTCCAACGTGTCCATACCTCCTGGGAGAACGTACATCCCAGCATCGGGCTCCCATACTGCATCCAACCATCTGCTGGGATTGAAGTTTCCAATTTTGCGCTCCAACCTGTAATATTTCTCAGAACCTTAATGTAACTACCTTATCAATACGTAATTACTTTCAATGACTACTTACCCTAATCCTGCCATGTTGCGATTTACCCTCGGACAGAACTACATTCTCTGTATCTAACGTTTCAGAAAAGATGTTCGAGAGAATGTGTATCATATTTAATTTATCGTCGACACTCTCGGATCATAGCTTCTTGCGGATTTTTGTATTCTTTTGTCACTATTGCCGGCATTTGCGGGAACGTTTTCGAAGAAGGTTGAATATTATTAATATAATTAATATTCTAGAATTTTTAGTTGAAGCGAATTGCGGAGTAAGAATGCTTCTTGTATACTCATCGTCGCTCTTTACTATCGAGGAGTATTCATAACTCGATTTGTTTGGAACGAATCTCCATGGAGACGGTCACGTGCAGTGGGAATATTCCTTATCTACATCCTGACGTAACGTGATTGATAATACCGACACAGATGCATTTTATTAAAATAAAGTTTTTTGTTTACTCGTCAGGGTAATGTTATTTTAAAGACTTTGGACGTCTATACATAGTTTATTAAGTCAAATTATTATTACACAAACATTCTCTAGTATTTAACAAGAATCTATCACTTGAACGTCACATGGAATACAATTAACATCACAATCGAGGCGCTCGTAACAAGAGTAACATTTGCAAAACACTGGATAACTTGGAGCACATTGTATACGTTTAGACGTAACAATAAATAACGGATGCCCCAATCATATACTTTTGCTTATTCTATGTTCAGACCGGGTATCGCAAAAGGATACGATTTTCCGTCTTAATTCAGCCTTTGACGATCTTTGCACTGCAAAAGATATATAATAAAATGTACAAATACGCTGGGATTTAAACAGTTAACTAATAGGATCCATAAATCCAATACAGCGTATGCAAATAAATGGACATGAATGTCATCGTAACTCAGTCCCTAGATGTGATCAATATTTGTTACGCTTCTTAAATTTACAATTGTAATTCGTCTAAATATTTCTTAAAATGGTACACAATAAAAATTGCAAGATCATAGGTCGTAGTCCAAAATGAAATGATGAACCTGACACTTTTTATTGTCACCTGATTTCTGCTTCGATTCCACGAATGTAGAATTTCAGAAATGTGAGATATATTTAGAAAACAATGAATTGCTTAATACCGTTTCCACAACTGACTGAAAAATGTAATACTTATTTGTACAATATATGCATTGACAAACATATGGCTTTAGGATCTTGCGCTTATTCGTTACCAACATATGCAATTATTAACGCTATCAGAAGTGTGTTATCTTAAACAGTTAAGTTGTAAAGTATGCCCTGAAGTAGTTCAGTCGATAGACTGCAAATAATAAGTTTATCAACATTTTACTCAAATGCGAAATCATCTTCGGAAAACGAAAAAGTCATTTAATATTCCAGCTTTTGCCAAAAAAACCTGTGGGATACAAGATCACATATAAACACGTTTTCAGAACACCCGTGTACTCATTCCTTAATATCTGTACATACATACACTTAACACCATCGAAAGTGCGCATATTGTGGCAATGGGAAGACATGGAATTTATAATACTGATAAATTGAATATTAACGAAAAACAAGAAACCTATAAAATGGAATATCCCCGGGATTTCAATATATCCACATAACGTGCATATCAAACAACCGGTTGATCCCAGTGACGATCATTCACAACATTTACGAGAGGTCCAACACCCCTGAAAATCTTATAAACTCGTAATAATCGTGTACAGAAACTTGAATTAAATACATCGATTGCACTACACCTGTCGATCATACATCTAGACGTACTATATAAATAAAGGAGTCGATTGATTCAGACCTAAAACAATTCATAACAATTGGCAAAGTACTTTCCTTGGCTACTGTCGAAAAATGCGGATAAAAATCGCTGATCGTGTAAACGATTTCGGTATGAAACTTACGGCAGCACGGTCGCATACTCCTTACCCTAAATGAGATCACGCGTTCACGTGCGATCGCAATTGCGTGAAGTCTCGATGATCCTTGGCAAAGTATCAAATCGTGTAAACCGTTAGTCGATCTCGTTGGATCTCCTTTTACTGTTCCTTGGGTCCATCTGAGCCGAGTCGATGTAAAGTAACGTCGAGGTCGGCGAAGGCGGTAAAGAAGGCGATGGGGGAGGTCGTGCTGCGAGTGCCTCCAATTCGCCACAATGGAACTGACACACGGTACTGGAGGTGCTCAAAGTCGACTCGGATAGCATCCCTTTTCCCTTGCATCTTTTCCGACTCCTCCCATTTCTCTTATCAACCTCCGTAGTTCCTTCAACGATATCCTTCTTCATACGGAAAAATGACTTTCCCAATCTGTGGCCGAATAAAGAAATGCTATTAATTATTCAGAGTACCAGGATACATTGATTTTGCAGAAACGATTTAAGTAATCAAACGTGAGAAACGATGCATAACGTCCCTGCAGTTTTTTCGTTCCCCACTGATTTCCATTACCTAGGATATTGGAACTGTGCAAAGTGCCTCGACGGTCCCATAACGGCGAGTAGAGGACATAAAAACAATGTCGCGTACAGCCAGCTGATTCCCATGACTAACAGTAGAAATATTCCAATTTGTATGTAGGCCAACACACGCGATGGAAGCATCAGAGCACCGGCAGCACCGCTGGTCACGGCTGCCATCAAAGTTGGTCCTCCCATTTGTTCCAACGCTGCCTTCACCCTATCTATTCTACCCTCGGAAACGCAAGCTCTGTAGCTCACTCCGTAATGCAGACTAAAGTCAACGGCCAGACCTGCGATATGAAAAATATGCAAAAAAGACGAATTTATGACTTGTCAGCTAGACAGCGACATGGAATACAGAGTAATTTATTTAAACGTTTACCTATTGCAGTAGATACGGCGACACTTTCCAATACATTCAGTTTCCATCCAAGAAGGACTAGGGCCGCTATCGTCACTACTATAGCGGCTCCGATAGTAATAATCGCGTAGAGACTAACCAAAGGGTTTAAGGTGACAAACGCAAGCACCGTGAGGGCGAGGATCATGGATACAACCATTGCCCACATGGTACCTTCGTACAAAGTACGTTGCAATTCGTAGAACTCGAATCGACTGACGAACCAGCCACCACGCATACCTGGGGGTGCACTGGCAAGTTGTTCTTGCATCCACGTCTCAACCTGTACAACGTACTTGTATTCATTAATCTATATTTTTTAAATAATTCTCTTAAAGCACCAACACACTAACCTGATTGTAGAAATTATCCATTTCGGAGAAAGAGAGCGTGTAAGCATATGTACTATCGTACTCAACAACAAGGCCTTTGATAGTGGGTATCGGTGGTGGTAACGTCTCGAGTGTTGTGTGGTTGGTCGAAGATACGGACATGGTCTCGGGTGGTAGTTTTAAAAATTTCAGCCCTGCCGTCACTGTACCACCTTGGGTCCAATACTGAGGTGGAGTTCGGTGCAACTCGGCACTTGCTTCAGCAGCGCACTGCCTTAATACGTTGGGAGCGTAAGGAAATGGATTTTTCTCGCAACATGGAGCTCGATCAATGTGGGCATCTATGGGATCCTCGCAGCGTCGTTCCATCCAAGAACGCATAGACTCGACGAAACAATTGGGGAGAAGAGGTCCCGTCGTGCTGCGATAAAAGACTTGTCCTCGCAAATTCCGACAAAACTGTTGCAACCACAACTGAGAGTTTGGATCAGAAACGTCAAAAGTATCGTCCCATTCCAGTGTACCCCTTGTATCTGGATTTAAGTAGTCTCCGTTGTCCACTGGTTTCACTCCCCATACAAATCTTAGCGGTAACACTTCCCCACCTTCTCCCTAAAAATATAAACATGTGCATTTAGGTAACTGAACATTTTTCTATACATTTTTTGCTGTTTTCAGATAATGTTATTACCGTTTCAAGTTTCTCAAACCAGAATCGCCGAGCATAGACCAAATCGTATTGTTCAAAAGGGTGGGAGCTATCGAACAGCTGAAAATCTGGAGAATCCGGTAATTGCAACCCTGGGTATCGGAAAACTACGGTACAGGCAGCTATAGCGATCGTTCCTAATCCCAGGAGCCACAGCCATCTTAAATTGATTGCAAGTCGAACGAGAAACTTTCCGAAACCAACTGTAATTTTATCCGTAAATATCCTGAAGGGTCTTATAATTTTTCTTGCGATAAAATTGGCTGGTGACAGGGCCGTAAGGCGACAGTGCTCCGATACTACTACACTTGCCGGTAACCAAGTGATCATCAAAAAGAAGTTGGCGATAACTGTCATACCTGAAAATAAACTGAAGGAAACAATGGTTTAGATTCATTTTCTTTAAATATAAGAATAAAATCCTTCTCGTAGCCATTTGTACTTACCTAAAACAATTTATGGCAGTAACGTTGCTTACTATCGAGGCAAAGAATGCAACTGCTGTTGTTAACGACGTAACGAACATGGAAGGAACTGCGTGTTTCATTGTTTCTTGCACCAAATGAACCAAACCGCCGCTGTTCAATTTTTGTTGTTTACCACATTCCCATACTTTACAAAATATAAATGCGTCATCTGCTCCGATACCTAAACATGTGATGCATATTTAGACAAAATTCTCAAGCTGCAATAATTACTTCTGCATCACATGAACTTTAAAAATTAGGAATGAAATCAATATTTACTCACCAACGGCAACGACAATCGCTAATAAATTCATGAATGGAAAAAATGCAATCCGTAAGATAAGAGTGTAAAGCGCATATGAGATTCCAAGGCTGAAAAGAACAGCCAAAATAGTGGATGTAGTTAAGAGAAACGATCCAGTGTATGCCCAAATGCAAACAGTTACAAATGCAAAACCAGCCAACACCAAACGGGAGTCTGACATCAATAGGCGATCAAAAAGAGTACTTTTTAGGCCTAATTGCATTCCCAACACACGGAATTTCCCGTAAGTTAAGGCTTCTACATTTAGTTCCCTGTAGAAGTTCAAACTGGCAGAGCTTGCAGCAATTGGAAGAAATAACATTGCAGTACGCAACGTCACATTGGATTTATATGCCGATCCTTGTTTCTGAAACAATAATTCACATTTTAATATTACATTCTTTTTATTTGAGAAATCTAAATAAATAAATACGATTGTCATAATGTATTTACAAATTCAACTTACATTGGCTGGTATAAAATCGACGTCAAGAAGGAAATGAAGCAGATGATAAGGAGCGTTATGAACATAACATTCTACTGGAACGCGTCTTTGACAACGCTCATCTTCTGCACAGTCAGGAGTTAATTCTAGATTATGGTAAAAATATGCACATCTTTCTAGAATTGTTTCAACTCGGCTAAGATCATTTTCAGTAACACTCAAACAAGTAGTCTTGTTAGACAACAAGGCAACATAATTAGCGGGTGACCAACTTCGACAACATTTTCGCCCATTACCACTTCGTTCCGTCTCCATTTCGCAAAGAGAAGAAAATTCTGAATTCGCTCGAAGAAGTGCATCGATACGACATTGAGCTAAGACTCCATCAACTGTCCATAAATTTGTTTCTTCTGAATTAGAACCAACGACGACACGAGCATAAGACGAACTTGGTAAATTACAAAAAAAACCATCTTCGCCTAAGAAACTATGATCATTGTGGACATCCAAATTGTGGGAAAGATCTTTATTTCTTAGTTCTCGTAGTTCTTCCCATCTGTCTTTGGCTTCAGCCCCATCTGTTTCTTTCGTAGTATTATTTTTAGGCTTTTCATATTTTTTGCCTTTCTTCCTATTTTTTGGCTTCTTCCTTAAAATACCTGAACTTGTGTGATTACCATTTCGAAAACTGGTAAGGTTCTACAACAAATAACCGCAATAAGGTTTAATTTTTATATTTTTTACCACTACTGATTAAATCTGGCTATCATACCTGTTGAAGAAAATGATAATACTCCAATGGATTATCAACTAAATTGCCTCGTGGTCTTGTCGCATCCATTAAGTTTTGCCAAGCAGTTAGTCTTTGGGCCAACATAGTTCCTCTAGCTTCAAAACCCTGTACATATTGTAAATTAATATTTGAAACTTATTTCACTTAAAAATATTTCACCTACATACATATAAATACATGAATGTTTGATGTACTTACTAATTGTGGGTCAGAGAAGTCTGGGAATTTTTTAGTCGTTAAGGGCACGATCAAACATGTTGTTGAAAACACAAAAACAGCTACCAAAATAGCATATGGATGATGCGCCACAACCCGAGAAAACCACCACACTTCCATTTTTATATATTTTATAATATTAACGGTTACATCGGGTTTAATTTCCAATGTGAATTAAATTCTAAGATGAATTAGGCCATCTTATTTGATATCCGTTGGATGCTTTACATTATCGATACTGTCCTAGGCCTCCACCATTATCTTCTAAGATTAGCCATTCAGTTTTATTAAAATTTTGCTGCTCCTGATTGACATGTACAAAATGCATTGATTTTTTGCACACACTTGTTGGTTTCCAGCTGTTCAAAGTCATTGGCAAAACCGGCATTTTCCACATAATTCTCATTTTACTGTATAATTTAATACATATTTTATTAGGCAACCTTCTGCATTCCCGGAAGCTGGAAAGAAAATTTAAATGTAATTATGTTTATACTAGAATCAGATCAGAAATTGCAAACTGACAGTATAAAGTCAAAAATTACGCACGCCCATTCAAATAAAATACATAACTGATTATTTTCAAGACATTTACATATGCATGGTTTTTACTTTTCTCTTATAAATATCATTAATAACAAACGTAACAAACCTTTCAATCGTAACAATCCAACTTCAATCGGGAAGATCCTGCTTATTTTCTACATGCATGCATACAACAATTATGAGAATGTGTATTTCTGAGCGTGCTTACCATAGACCATGTAGCGAGAAATAGAGAGTAACTCTCTGGTTGATATAAATTCACTAACTTCGAGATGAAATAGGATTGGATATTTCCAATGGAGCGATATTTTAGAATTGCCATAAAAAAATATAACCAATCTTGTGCATTTGAAGTATTTCTTAGAGAACAATGAAAACAGTATAATTACTAATGTATGACTAAAGTGGGGATTCCCAACATTCGATGCTGATGACGCATATATCACACTTGGGCCGAAATGCAATGCCGAATTGGAAGTAAACAAGTGAAAATGTGTATACAGACGGCTCACATTTTACCATACTAATTCATACGAGCGTGATAAAAATTATCTAACATCCTTTTTTGATCGACATCCTTTATTCACACTGCGAACGCACGGAAAGAATCAGCCGAAAAGTTCCATGAAAAAAATGGAGCTCTTGAGAGTATTCTACTTAAGTCTAATATATTTTCAAGCAAGTCTCGCTTTAGAGTAAGTACATGCGGTTTGTGAATTTCATTGTTCTGTATGTTTCCACAAATATTTGATATTGTCACGAATTAACAGATTTGCTTTTCATGTGTGGTGTCATTCAGCATTATTTCTTATTTTAAGGAAAGATTTGTAAATAATTACACGATTAGGAATATAATTTTTTAGTTCTAATTAATAAGGTCTCTAGACTTACTGGTAAGTAGAAATTACAATAATGAAAACTACCATTTAATACATAGGATTGACCTTTATCGACAAAGTTTTGACGAACAAGAGAACCGATTCTTTTTTAAACCGCACCCAAATCCATGGGATAATAATGACTCCGTTGCATTAAACAAATTCATGAACGTAAGTATCTCAATAATTAACTTGAAACTGCAAACCGGTATACTGATGAATTTATGCAAATGCAAACCAATTGGTAAAATCGATTGATAAAAAATATTGACTGGTATTTAAAAAGAGATGGTGCTATATGATTGAGTACAAATATTAATAATACATTATGTTTTTCTTTATTTAGTCGGAATATTATGGAATTATAAAAGTTGGGAATCCAGCAAAAGATTTCAAATTCATTTTTGATACTAGTTGGGCAGATGTATGGATCCCATCTCAACATTGCGGTCTGACGGAAATAGCATGCAGTAAGAAATTACTACTCAAATGACAGCAATGAAAGCCTTACAAAAAAATACGTCAATAAGATATACATAATCTCCAAAAACTTAATTACACTTTTGTTTTATTAGGGTTGCATGCACGATATGATGGTCTAAAATCATCTACGTACAAAGAAAATGGTACATTAATTAAAATTAATGGATCAAATTATTCCTTAGAAGGAATTGTATCCATTGATGAGTTTCATGTGAGTGCAAATTCCTTTGAAATTTTAAAACTCTAAAACATTATTTACAGCATTGCAGATGTGTAAATGTAGTATTTTTTAACAAAACTTTGCATAATTGACATTTCATATTATTTACTTTCATTCTAGCTACCTCATCTACCCATAAAAAATCAATCATTCATTGAAATGACACACATGTCATGGATTCCATTCGCACTTCAAGCAGCTGATGGGTATATTGGCCTTGGGTTTCAAAGTTTAAGCAACACTGGTACAACACCATTATTTTATAATTTTCGAAAACAATATACTAAATCATTACCAATTGTAACATTTTATATGAATAGGTGAGTAAAAGAAGTACTCCCATTTTTTAATAAATATTTAGCTGTAAAAAGTGGTTTAAGGAAGACAATACTTAAAATTGAGAAATTGGTGTAATAATTTTTTATACTCTTTTAATTTAAAATGTGTTGTTTTCCATTAGGGATGCTACAACAGATAAGGCGGGGAAAGTGATCTTTGGAGGAGTGGACCGAAAACATCTTAATAGTAGTTTAACTGAAATTCCTGTAAAGAAAAAAGAATATTGGGAAATACAGATGGACAGGTATAATTTATCTAACTCTGAGGGAACTGTTTGCTGTTGAAAAAAAACACATTCAATACTTAGTCACCAACTGTCTATATTTCAGAATGGTTGTCGACTTTTTTAATAAATCCTACCCTGTATGTCAAACTGGATGCACTGCTATAATCGACACTAGTACACAGGCTATAACAGGACCACCAAAGGATATTACAAGAATAAATAACTTGCTGGAGGCCATTGAAATTTTTCCATTTTGGCCTTATAGATACATGGTAAAATAAAATATACACGAAATATATTTTATCACAGGTTTCAAATTTACTATAACTCGGAACATAAATTGAGATATTTTTAACGCAGTAATTTCTTCCAGGTTAATTGTCGAGAGTATGCTAAACTACCCGATGTGGAATTAGTTTTTCTTGGCAAATCATTTATAATTAATTCAAGATATTACATTGACCATGTAAGTTAAAACTCATACTTTGATGTCAATGGGATATATTTATTTATTTTTTATTTATTGTGTTTCAGTTGACTTATCAAGGTGTAGAAATATGCTTGTCGCCATTTGTGCCTGATCCAACTCTGGTCAATATTTGGGAAATAGGAGGAGCATTTTTAATGCAATTTTATACAGAATATAATTATGATAAAGGGACAATCAGCATTGGTAAAACTGTCTTCTGAATAATGATTATACTTTTGAGGGGTTTTCTTCATAATTTTCCCTAGAATGTATCATTTCCATTGTTTGTCCATTTTCCAAAAATTAAAAATCGAGCTGTAGCCTTTCTGATGATGTCTTTATATCGTTATCATTAAGAAATGTTATTTATTACGTCTCAATAACATCCTGGCCTTTCCTCGATTCATCTCGCTTATCTCCATGCATGATATACGGATTTATAATAAATTCGTGAATCATGTATCTTGCATACCTCATGCCGCTCGGTTCTTGCTTCTGATTGGTTCGCTAAGATCACGTGACTCAAGCGATGATTCTACAAAACGACTGCAGGAACTTTTCTGTCGCAGTGTTACTGGCTGCATTTCACTTTATTATATGCGTTGCGCGTCGGCATCGGTTGTATGATTAGTGCGAATTGAGAATAAAATTGTAATTACGTGCCCCGAGTATTCGCAGTACATCACACCCAGGATTTGGAAAAAATGTGGCATTCGATTGTCTGGGGGCTCTTCGCCTTAGCTCTGGCTAATGGGGATTTAATAAGGTAAGCAATTGCTGCAACGCGATATATACACATTTGGAATGTTGCTAATTTTCGCAGATCCATATTTTTGGATTAATTATATTGATGCTTTATGTTAATTGGGGAAACCTAATAAGTTTTCTTGGTTGTTATATCTTTGAATCACTAAATCATTGTGTCAAAGAAATTGTTTATTCTGCTTATATTTTATAATTATTCTCGTAAAGGTGACTGTTACTTAATATTTTGATTAAAGTTAATATCACCAATCTATACAAAATAGTTGCAAATATTTTCACGATATTGAGTTGAAATAATAACTTCTTGTCCAAAGATTTCCTGTTCATAAGATGAAGACTGCTAGAATGGCATTAAAAGAAGTAGACACTGATGTTCAGCATGTTCTACTTCACCAGGGAGATCCTACTCCAGAACCTTTGTCGAATTACTTAGATGCTCAATACTACGGTGTCATTGCCATTGGCACGCCTCCACAAGAGTTCAAAGTAGTTTTTGATACCGGATCGTCAAATCTTTGGGTACCATCCAAAAAATGTCACGTGACTAATATTGCGTGTTGTAAGTATCTCAAGATAACGGCAGCATAATGAGAATGTGTTCTAATTTTTTGTTTCATTTGCAGTACTTCATAACAAATATAATAGCAAGACATCGACTACTTATGTTGTCAATGGCACCAAATTTGCTATTCACTATGGTTCTGGAAGTCTATCTGGTTTCTTATCCACTGATACGGTGACTGTAAGTTGGAACTCTTCTTTTTGATGCCTGAAACAATGCAAGATTATAAAACTGCAACTTTTTATAGCTGGCTGGTGTTAATGCTGCAAATCAAACATTTGCCGAGGCGATGAGTGAACCTGGACTTGCCTTTGTTGCTGCTAAATTCGATGGTATTTTGGGAATGGCTTATCCTAGAATTGCAGTAGATGGTGTAACGCCAGTTTTTAATACTATGGTTCAACAAGGCTTAGTGCCTCAAGCAATTTTCAGTTTCTACTTAAACAGGTAAAGATGCATAATGTTGGTATACTTATAAGCAAAACTTAACAAACCGGTAAATTGTAATAATTTATTTATTGTCCAGGAATCCATCTGCAAAGATTGGTGGTGAAATGATACTTGGTGGTTCCGATCCTGATCATTATACCGGCGAATTTACATACGTTCCAGTATCTCGAAAAGCTTACTGGCAATTTAGAATGGATACGTACGTAGAATTAAAATCCTTTTGCACATATCCTTTTTGATGTATGTCAAACACTTCTGTTTTTTCTTATAGAATGAAAATAGGCGATCAGGCATTTTGTAAGAATGGATGTGAAGCCATTGCTGATACTGGTACTTCCCTAATTGCTGGTCCTGTCGAAGAAATTCAAGCTATCAACAAAGCGATTGGAGCAACGCCAATTATGGCTGGAGAAGCAATGGTATAATTCAAATTACATTCACTATCATATGAAAATAATTACTAACTCTGTATTTTTCTATAGGTAAATTGCAATGAAATCCCTAACTTGCCAACCATAGATTTTATAGTTAATGGCAACAGTTTTTCTCTGACAGGTGAAGATTACATTTTAAAGGTAAGTTAGAATGATTTTTAATCATGAATTTTAATCATTACTGTGTTCTTAAACCCGTTAGTTTATAGCTTAACTCCTTTCTATCTGCATTTGAAACAAAATGAAAGACCTCGTAATACGATTCGTTGAAATATTCCGTTTTTGTTTATATTATGATAATGGGGTCGTAAGCTGTGATAAGTGGAAAGATGATTCACATGTCCCTCTTATTACCTACAAGTTTATACTTGAAAATAAGTCGATTAGAAATCCATGCAAAGTTTGTTTAGTTATTCATATAACATGTTTGCCATTAGTACGCTAAAAATACGTGCATGCTTTAGCGACAAGAAATTTTATTATAAAAATTACTAAAATTTACGTGTCTGAATATTTTTATCTGTTATTTTAGATGTCTCAATTTGGCAAAACTATTTGCTTAAGTGGTTTTATGGGTATGGATATTCCTCCTCCCAATGGACCATTGTGGATTTTGGGAGATGTTTTCATCGGGCGTTTCTATACCGAGTTCGATATGGAAAACGATCGCATAGGATTCGCTATCGCAAAATGAATCTAGCCTGCAACAATCGCTGTTGTCATTAAAAGTATAATCGACCATTTTTATAATTATAACAAAGGGCTGTAATTAAAAAATTATAAGTTTCATTTTCATAGAATAAAATGTATACATGAATAGTTAAGACTCAATGCCGTGAACAAATTGTAGATCGGATTCCTCATCAATTGGGAAATTATTGTTCTTTTGTTATAAATACTCTTTATAAAATATGACACCTATATATTAAAAAAATGGACACTGCTCAATAGGCATGAGATTAAAATTAACTTATATAAAGAGTTGGCTAAGATATCAATGTAACTCTCGATTAATTCGTTACATCTGACCTGTAAGTTATGAGATTGACTTTGTGTAATTATTTAGCAGGGTAAATAAATATTTCATTTTTCAAATGTTGCCCTTAAATTGTGCGTATTCCATCCATTACTCGGATTGTACTTATTTCATATTAACAGTGCGCAACTAGATATGCGTTCAGAAAGTAAAAAAAAAGAAACTTTTTACCACGTTGCACTGTGGTTGAGTTTTCTCACAGTAATAAGCGTGTAACTACTTCTGATTGCATTTATTTTCACCTTGTTATAAATTATGATTTACACTTCTTAAACTTACGCTAGGGGCCGAAGTATACGAATCGATTTTCTTCACTTTTTGTAGGAAAACAACTATCAAACAAATGATACCCGATCGTGAAGAAAATCCCCACGAGTGTACGTACAAGTTAGAGGCTCCTGAAATTTATCAAATCATCCCACGGTCTCGAAAGAAAACAAAAATATGCGAGATCTCTAAGTCTTCTTGCTCGTGCAGATATTATGTCATCGATCTCATGAATGGAAAGGGTTTCTGTACAATATTTAGAGGGCGATTGAAACACGGAACAGGTGTAACTAGAATTTATCAACGAGCCATACATTCTCGGAATAAATAAGTAGAAATTATAGTTACTGAGTCAAGTAATTCCTCGTTAATGTTAGACAAACGATAACGCAAAGTTTTCATTACCATAGCCGTATAACAGCCTTTATCCATAATTTGTACAATTAAATCCTGCCCCTGTTATAAGTTATTCCACGTCAAATGGTTTCAGAACGGCACGGTGAAATAAAAAAAAAAAAAGAAAACAGTTTTACGCTTGCATTGAAAAATTTGCCATGTCGCGTTATGCATTCGATTTTTATTTCAATTTCTGTATATCCTTTTTACGATTAACTGCAGTAACGTTCTACAATACTTCAACAGTAGTGGTGAAAAATTTAAACAACTGTTCCTTTTTTTGTTTTAATCGTACACCCATGAACGCTATTCGGTTCACCGGTTACTTCCGATAAGAGACAATCGTTGTACAAGTCTAGAAATAACCTATTCGAAACTGTCGTCGTTGAATCGAGCAATCACTCATGAATGTTAGACAAACAACACCGCAAAATGCATCGTAACCATTGTTGCATAACACATCCGTTACCCATATTTTGTACAACTACATTTTGCCCTCGATACAGGACAAGCTACGTCAAAGTTTCACAGTTATACTGTAAAATCGGCCGGGTCATTATTTCATTATGCTTTCTTCCCGTTTAAACGATTTGCAGATTTATACCAATTTCAACTTCCTTCTTCCGATTAACAGCAGGAGAGATATACGAAATCTCGACAGTAGTGGGTGAGAAAAGTTTTAATCGTACAGTTATTTCCCCTTTAATCATATGCCGCGTACACCCGTGTACCATTTTGGTTCATCGGTTACTCCGGATATCCGAGAATCCCTTGACGTCTCATTCCCTACTTAGTATACTTAAACCGAATGGGTTCTCTTATATTCGGTCTCGACTTAGCGCTTAATCGAATGCCTACGGAATAAAATTAACAATAGTAAATTCTTATACGCGCGGTTCCGCCTTAACGCTCGCGCGTCCAAGCATACTCGCCTCGATAAATAAAAATATTGCGCTTAAATTCAATTTATTATGTATATACACACAATACACATTGTTCGACCGGTGATGGAGATGCCGATCACTTACCATCCACCCAAAAGGAATTGATTCAGTGGCGTTTCGCCTTCGTTTCTATCGTCAACGCAATACCCCTTGATCTAACATTTTCGATACCCGATCAACTCCAGAGAGTTTTCCTATAAAAAAAAAACCCCCATTATGTCACTTGTTGCATTATAGAGTAAATGATATTTTCATACCAATTACATACATTTAAATACCCTTACGCGAATAAATGGCATACTCACACAGGCTTGGAGACCTTGGACGTGGAATTCGTGCCGGCTACGGTATTTCCGAGTGCTTTCTTTTTACTATTTCGGCATTTCCTAACGTAAGCTTCTATAAGCTGAGCGATCTTCTTCGGATTAATTTCCCCCGTCTTATTGTGGCATATCTACGAAAGGGCGAAGAAATTGTCAAATTAATTTTCACCGGTTAAGGCCTAAAAAAATTGACAACGTCGACGACGGGATTTACCTTAGGGACAGCTTTGCGCATGATGTCTTTGTATTCCTCCTTCGTGACGTGCTTCTTCGTATAGTGCGGTTTCAGAACCAACTTAACTTCCTCCACTACTCTTTCCTGTCGATTTAGCTTTTTCAAGAACTGGAAAAATACACCGTTGAATTATTCACACATTACCGACACCTTGAAGAATGATAAGGAAGGCGATCGCGGACTACCTTATCCTTGACTTGCATCTCGACGGCGGAGCTCGGAAGGTCGTCCAAGATCTGCAGCTGATTCTCGTCCATGCGAACCCCGACTTTGGGGTTGGTCGCTGCGAGAGTAAAGAGTTGAAATAAAATACGGAACCCCGCGTCGCCGAGTCTCGTTAAAGTGAAACCTTGATACGTACATTTCTTTCTCTTATCTTTCTCGGCGCCCTTCTTGACCCTGGTCTTGCCGAAGGGCTTCAGAACGGGCGAGGACCCGAAGAGCACGTCGAACGCGTCCTTCTTGTCCTTGGGTTTGGCCGCGGCGTTGTTGCTCTTAGCATTCGCGTTTCCAGGCGGAGTATTGTACGGGGCCGGGCTGGGCGGATCAAAGATCCCGTCGCTCAGACTCGAGCCAGGGGAGTACGGGGACGACATGTCGATGGCGTCGCCCACCATCTCGATGGTGACGTCGCTACCGTTCTGTCCAGCGGAGGAGTTGTTCTTGTTCTGGGCGGCCTTGCTGCCGCGCAAGGGCGAAGGCTTCACCGCGTTCGCGAAGACGGTCGGCAAGGGCGGCCTCTCGTTGGGTCGCGTCTTCGCCTGGCTGCTCGGCGAGATCCGGTTCGACTGAAAACATGGATTTATGGATAATCTAGCCTCCACCTGCCAAAAAGGCTACACATCGTTACCAAGAAAAATCGGAAACGGTTCTCCTCGGGTACCCAAGGAACCCTCGAGAAATCCCCAGGTCCACCTCCCGGGTCGAACGTTGCGACTCTTGTGCACCGTTCGACTCGGGTCGCAGAGAAAAGGAGAGGAACTCCGAACCCACCTGCATCAAGTTCCTGGGTCCGCCAAGGGGGGCGCCCGCGTTGAAGATGTTGCTCCTCTGGACAGCGGCGGCCACCGTGGCGAGCACCGGGTTCATGGTCGCGGTGAACTGGCTAGGAGCGGTCTGTCCTCCCTGCTGCGCCTGCTGGACCTTGGGCGGACTCTCGCTCTCGGCCGCGCTCTCGACCTCGACCTGGCCCTGCGGCGACCCGTCCCGCTTTGGCGAGGGCCTTTTGATAGTGATAACGGATATGACCTTCGGCTTGTCGAGCTGCTTGTCCGCCCCCGGCGCGGCTTCCTGAGTCTGGACCTGCTCGCCGAGGGCCTGGTCGGCGTCGGCGGGCTCTCGCCGCAGCCCGCCCGGCGAGTCCCTCTGCCGGTTCCTCTCGTCGCAGGGCGTCGCCTCCTGGCTGGCCGGCGGGGTCGGCGACCTCGACTTGGTTGGGTCGAAGGGGTCGTAGGCGTCGGGCGAGGTCGGCGGCGAGGTCGGGGGCTCCGGGGGAGTGTTGGGTCCGATCTTGAGGCGGAGCTCGAGCTCCTCCTGGGCCCGCATCTCGAGCTCTTCCTCGACCCTCTCGTCCATGCGCTGAGTCTGCTGCTCCCGGTCCTGCTCCTCCTCCTCGTCCTCTTCGTCCTCCTCTCGCTCCTCCCCCTCGCCCTCGCCCTCCTCGTCGGCGTCCTCCTCCTCTTCCTCCTCCTCGTCCTCGTCCTCGTCCTCCTCCATGAGGAGAGGGTTGACGCCGGAGGTCCTGGGGTTGACCGAGGGCACGCTCATCGAGAACTTCGGCTGCTGCTGGGGCTCGGGCGGGGTCTTCGGGCCCTGAGCCAGGAATGGCTCGCGCTGCGGCGAGGCCTGGGAGAGCTGTCGCGCCTCCGGGGTGGTCGCCGCGGCGGGCCGCTTGTCCTCGTCATCGCTCAGGACGATCACGTCCCGCGGTGAGGGCGTCTGCTCCCTGAAGGGCGACTGGTCGAGGTCGATCACCGCGACGGGCTTCTTGGTGGCGGCGATCTCCGCCGCCCGAGACTTCTTCCGCTTTTCCCTCTTGCCGGGCCTCGGCGACCTCGGCTTTTTCTCCTTGGCGCGGTCTCGCTTGGACCGCTTCGGCACGAGCGGCTCGACCTGGAGGACAGGCGGCGGCTCCCTTCGTCGGCGTTTGGTCGGCGCCAGCAGGGGGATGGTCTCCGGAAGCTCGGGTAGCGCCCCGGGGGTCGGCAGGGTCTCGTTTTCTTTGTTGAAGCACACGCTCACCAGGATGTTGTCGCCGCTCGCAAAGACTTCCTTCGAGGGTGGGGGTGTGCGCGCCCGCTTCGCCTTCCGCTTCCTCTCGAGGTCCTTCGCCCTCTTGGCCTCCTTTCGCTTCTCCTTTTTCTTTTTCTTGATTGCTTCCTTGTTCGTCAGGATGACCGTCAAGTTCTTGGGCGGGACGTTCTCCAGGACCGGCGGCGAGGGCGACCAGGCTCGCGGGCCCAGGTCGGCCGGGGGCTCCGGGGATCTCGACCTCGACCTAGACCACGAAGGCGTCCACTGGGCGCTCCAGGACCTCTCCCTCTCTCGAGAGAATCGCCTCTCGCACTCCATGATCTTCTCCGCCAGATGCTCCCAGTTTCGGTCCCGCGGCTCTCTGGACGGCGATCTCTCCTTCGACCTCGACCTGCTCGGCACCTTCCTCTTGCGTTTCTTTTCTCGCGGCTTCGATGTCCTCTTCGGGCTCTTCGTGCGCGACCGCTTCCTCGTCTTCGAACGGCTCCTGGACTTGCGCTTCTTTGGCTTCTCCTTACGCTTCTCGCGCGACCTCGTCCTCGACCTCGACTTTCGCTTCCGCGAGAGCGACCCTCGGCGCGCGCCCCTTCGTCGGGGGGAGAGGGACCTGCGGCCCCCTCTGGACGGGGATCTCGACCTCGTTCGCGACTTCGACCGCGATCTTCTTCTCTTCGAGACGGAGGTCCTCTTCCGCCTGATCCTGACCGGCGATCGCCTCCTCGACAGCGACCTGCATGCCCTGGAGTAGGACTGCCTCTCCCTGGACCAGGACCTCGGCGGTCTCGAGCGCGACCTGGACCTCATCCTGGAATACGATCTGCTCCTTGGATCCCTGGAGAACGACCTCCAGCTCCTCGACCTGCTCCTGCTAGCCTCCCTCACGTCCCTCCCGTACTCGTCCTTCCTCGGCCTGTAAGGCTTCTCGGCAACGATCTTCCTGACGTCGTACCTGGGTAGTTCCTTCCTTTTCTCCTTCTTCTTCGCCGCCTCCTTCGCCTTCTTTTTGTGCTTCTCCTTGTCCTTGTCCTTGTCCTTGTCCTTGTCCTTGTCCTTCTCTTTCTCCTTCTCCCGCTCCCTCTCTCGTTCCTTTTCCTTCTCCCTCGACCTCGAGCGCTTGTCCTTTTCCCGATAGGGTCGTTCCTTGGTGCTCTTCGAGATCTTCTTCCAGGCCACCTGGTTCTCCGAGGCGATGTTCTCCTTGTTCTTCTCCGCGTCCTTGCTGCGGTCCTTCTTCCTCTCTTTCCGCTTCTTCTTGTTCTCGTCCTCCTTCTCCTTGGACTTCTCCGCCAGCTTCTTCGAGCTCTTGGTCTCCTCCATGATCTCGCCCTCCTCGATCTCCTTCTCCTTTCTCAGGCTCAACAGGGTCAGCTCGTCCTCGAAGTTCATGGCCTCATCGGTCTCGGAAATGGCCTCGGTGCCCAGGCCCGCGTATCCCGGAGGAGTCCTGCAGATCTCGAGACCGTCGTTCAGCTTGTCCTTGGTTGGAGTTATCGGCTCAAGGCCGCTCTCGAAAGGAGACAAGGACTTTCCGCCCCTTGCCAGTTCCTCCTCATCCTTCCTCGGGGTATACGCGCTCTCCGACTCCCAGACGTCGTGTTCCTCGGTTATCCTCTCGTCCCCGTCCGTTTCCTTTTCGAGGGCGAAATTCGCGGTCTCGTCCTCGACCTCGAAGTCGAAGCTGGACTTCTCCCTCTCCTGGCTGAGCTCCTTGTCCGCCATCGAGGACGCGTCCGTGTTGTCCTTGTCGGGCCCCGAGAATCTCTCCTTGTCGTCCACCAGATTGTGTTCCTCGGCATCCTCTTCGTCCTCCTCGTCCTTCCTCGTCCTCTCGATCGCTCCCTTCTCGAGTAGCTCCCACTCGCTGGGGATGTCCTTGGACTCCAGCAACTCGGAATTAGCGGGGCTCTTCGAGGTTTCGTCGACCCCTTCGAGGCTCATCCGAGCCTGGTCTCTCTCCTTCTTTTTCCTCTCCGACTCTCCCTTAACGGGAGACACGGAGGACCTGACGGTGTCGGCGATGGAGATAACGGTGTCCGAACTCTTCTCCGTCAGGTCGATCGTGGAGAGAATCGAGGTCCTTTCTTTGGGCGACTTGGAGGTGGTGGCCCTCTTCCTGGACTTTCTGCCTCTCCTGCGAGACTCGTCCTCGGAGGACGAGGACGAACCGGATGCGCTTTCGTCCTCGCTCTTGGCGGATTCCTCCTTTTCCTCGTCGTCCTTGTCCGATGCTCTCTCGTTCCACCTCTCGCGTACCGGCGACCCTTGGTCGTCGTCGTCCGCCCTCGACGCCGCGATTCTCATTTCTTCGCCCTTCTCCTTCTCCTTTGCTTCGTCCTGAATTTCCACCTCGTCCAGTCTCTTCTTCTCCTCCAGTCCCTCTTCGAGGTCGTACAGCTTCTCGTCCACGCTCTCCTCGGACTTGGTCGAGACCTTGTCCTCGTCATGCACCGTCCTCACCTCTTCGACCTCGGCTTCCCGATCCTTGTCCTTCTTCTCGCAGCTCCCCGACTCGCGTCCTTTGCTCCTCTTCTTCGATTTCTCTTCGGGCTCCTGGACGACCTCCTCGGTCTCCACCTTCGAGTCGGCCTCTTTCCTCCTCTCCTTGTCCTTCCCCTTCTCGGGCTCCTTGTTCACGTCCGCCTTGCCCACATCCTTGAAGATATCCCCGGTTCCGTCGTCGTCGTCACTATGGAAGGCCTTATCGCTCGTGCCCAGACCCTTCCTGTTCTGGGCGCCCTTCTTGGTCTTGTCCTCGAGCTCCTTCTCCTGAGCGATCGAAATCTCGAAATTCTCGTCCAGCTCGTCGTAGAGATTGCTCAGCCTGTTGTTGATCTTCAGCTTGTTGCCTATCTTGAACGTGATCTTGCCCCGGGTGTCCTGCAAAACGGTCTTCGGGGGTATCTTGCTGAGGGTCTGCCTCTCTTTCCGAAGGGACTCAACGTAGGGGTCGGAGGGCTCGGGGATGTCAGCGAGGTCGCAAGCCTGCACATCGCCCACGATGACGTCGTCGTCGTCGGGGATGTCCGGGATGTCGGGGGGCAGAGGAGGGGGCTGCAGGGGCCCGATCTGCTGGGAAAGCTCCTGCTCGGTGTGCCGAGCGACGTCCATAGTCTCGGAGGAGTAGACGGAGAAATTGGGACAGTCCGCCTGAGAGTCCTCGTCTTCGTCGTCGTCATAGGCCGTGAGGCGGATCGCGGGCCCTGGAGGTTGGGCCCGACTCTCGAGGGCCGCCGCGAGACCCGGAAACCGAGGAGGCAGCGGCGGAGGGTCCAGCGGCACCGGGATCGCGTATTCGGGGATTCGCGCCCCGTTGGTCTCGTGCGGCTTCCTGTGGGCGCTGTCGTTGCTGTCGCTGTCCGCCGTGAACGGGTCGTACTTGTCCTCGGTCTTCTGATCCTTTGGAGCCTCCTCCTTCGGCGTGTCGTCGATGACGAGCTCCTGGTCGCTATCGGCGTCCTTCTCGCTCCTCGAGTTCTCTTCGAAGTCCAAGAGACCCGAGGGCGGCTCGGGTGGCGGCAGGAGGGCGAGGGGGTTCTCGGCCTCCTCGCCGAGGGCCTCGCCCGGGGCCTTGTTCGGGGTCTCGATGTCGCAGTAGATGTCGCACTCCTCCTCCGGCAGGGGTGGGGTTCCCGGGGGGAGATCGGGCAGCCGCGGGGGGCTGGGGCAGGCGTCGGGGCCCTCGCGAAAGAAACCGCGTCGAGGTGGAGGCGCGCGGGGGCTCGGAGGGAGCCCCGGCGGAGGACCGGGCGGCGGGCCCGAAGGCGGGCCCGGCATCCCCGCGGGGCCCCTGGGCCGAGGGAATCGGTCGAAGTACTGGAAGGGGGGCCTCTCCATCATCGGAAAGCGCGGCCGCTCACCCCGGAAGGGGGGCATCTGGGGGTTGCGGCCGCGGAACCCCGGGCCCCCGCAGAATCCCGGCGGACCACGGTGCTCGAACCCCGGAGGTCCGAAGCCATTGCCGAAGCCTTCCCGAGGCCCGGGCCCGTAGGCGCCGGGTCTGCCCCCCGCCCCCCCGTACGAGTCCCGGCCCCCGTAGGTCTGACCACCCCCGTGGCCGTTCCGACTCCCCTCTCGGTATCCACCCCGGAAGCCGCCCCGGTTGCCGCCACCCCGGGGCCCGTTGAACATCGGGGCCTGCGTCACGCCCTGGGGGTCGACGCGCGTCGAATCCAAGGGTCCGTCCGGCTCGGGAAGGGTCCCGGCCTCCGGACCCGGCTCTTCCGCCCTCTTCGCGGGACTCCCGTCGACCTTCGCGGTTCCCTTCCGCTCCTCCTTTTTCCAGTCCTTCTCGTCGTCGTCGATCGCCAGGCTCCCGTCCGACTTCAGGCTCAGCTTGCTTTTCCGCGAGTGCCAGACCTCCTGACTCCTCAGGATACTTCCCACCAGGTCGACGACGTCCGAGGGCTCCGTCCGCTGCATCGGCTCGACCGCCTCGACAACCCCCTTCAGGGCCAGCCGGCGTCTCAGCGAGGGCGCCGCCAGACGCGGCCGCGTCCCTACTAACACGTCGCTTCCTGTGGTTTCCTCGTATTCCGTGTCGGACCTGATTCGGAAACAGAGAACTTTTTCATCCCACTGGCGTGCATCGGGTCGCGTCGCGTTCCGCCGATTTCGAAAATTCCATCAAGACCGGATAATTCGAAATTTCCTCCATTCGAGAACCCTCTTCGAAGATGCTTCGACTTTGAGATTTAGGAATGGCGCGAGGTTCGAATCGCGACCTCCGGGGCAACGGGGTCTTGAAAGCAATTTTCCAACTCGGTTGGTACAAGGGAAAGCCTGAAACGAGACGCGAATGCCCGGAATCGAATAGAAAGAGAGGGTAAAACGGGAAACTCCGACAATCGTATCGTATACGTATACACGTAATATATGTATCGATAGAAACGAAATTAATATTCGAACAATGTGTATTGTGCGCAATCATCGGAACCAGATATTAAGAGGCTTCTGGTATAAATAATTTTCCTCGCTCTTCAATGCCGAAATACGTCTGTCCATTAATATCCTCCATATCTTCGTATAGGAAATTTCCTACAGAGAATCCTACGCTCGTGGTTTAATTGAATTATAAGCAAACAATTTTGTAAACCCGACTCATCCGAAGAATAATACGCAACGCAACGTTATTCCTTTCTACCTGCACTTACCTTGGCATCGTGTTCCTTGCATTACAGTTTACTCGTAATACATACACACGACTCATTTTTTGTTGGACGCATTCGGATAATTTCGTTTTTAAGAGAACAAACATGGATTTTCACCGAATCAGGGAGTCGTAATTAAGAGGCCGCTATTTGTGCACTCGTCTGGCAAGCTTTACGGCAACGTCGCATTAATAAAATTCAAAGCATGCGCAAGCATGCAATTTATTACTGTCAATTTATTACTGTCTGATTTTCTCGTGAAAAATATTTTTCTATCAGAGTCCGCTAGCACATCTTTGACGTGGAACGAGTTTGCCAAAAATATGGGACTTTTTACGGATAAGCCAACGAAGACGATCACAAAGGCGGTTAGAGCGAAAAAGATACAGAAAAAGTGTTGAGAAAAACTTTAAAGGACTCACCCAGGTGGGCTGTAGTCTAAGCCTAGGCCATTGCCAAAAAGGCTGACTTGCGCGATCCCGGATCTGTATCTGGCATTTATGAGTTCGGAGCGATCGGAAACGGGAATACGGTCCTTCACCACAGGAACCAGCAAAGGAAGACTCGCGCTGAACTTGTCCATTCCCAGGGTCCCAGCTAGACGTCTCTTTATTGTCTTGATGCTTTTCGCCACGGAAGACACGGTCCTTGCGCGTCGAGTTCCCTTTCGCTTCCGCTTCTGTAATGGATAATGAGTAATTGATAATGAATCGTAGTATTACATTGTAGAATCGCCGTGTAATGGAATGGGGGAATTAATTAATGGTTTCAATTACCTAATAAAAACTCAGTTAGATAATTCAAAAAAAAATCGGAACGATGCGATCGATTGCATTGATTATGACTAATTAAGAGATTAGCAGATACCTGACAGAAATTAGGTATAAACTGGTACCGGATGCTGAATATCCTAATACAAAATACAACAATAACTTTAATGTTGACTTTTTTTTCTAGAAAGTCTAAGAAAATGGATTTCAGATATTCCGCAAGCAAAACTCATCATCCGTGTAATAGTAGAACCGATGTACTTGTTCAAGAAGTGAATTTATATTGTCTTTGAAATATCTCATAATTGATTGAAACATTTTTCAAACCAAACTCCCACACAGTGTACCGTACAAGGAAGCAGAGAAACCATTACATCGTACCGATGCACTGAAACGTGATGTACAAAAGAAAAGCCAAATGCATCTATTCAGAAAATCTTTTATTCACACAAACTAGGAACAGGGAAGATACATATTAAAAAAACATAGATTAAAAAAAAAAGATATTACGGAATACGAGCACCTTGACGGTTGGTTCTTTCAGAAACGCGTTTCAGAACTTCAACGACATTGGATTAGTACTCGGTAATTAACCTTAACGCGTGAGTTTAGACAAAGGCTTCCGGATGCACATAAGTTTCGATCCACTGTATGGATTAGTGAGCATTTGGCCCTTACTATTAGGATGATGTTAGTGACCGTTTGACGCTTAAGTCAGTATTAATGTACCTTGGTTCTCTTTGTTCTCTTCGTGTACTTCCTCCTTGTAGAGGACTGAGCCACTTTGACGTAAGTGACGATCTCTTGCTCCACCCCGTCATCGTTCACCTCGGTGATGCGCACTTCGCGAACTAGAGTCTCTGACGTTCTGCTTTTGACTTTGCGTTTCTTCGTTTTCCGTTTTTTCTCGGCCCGTTTCGCAGACTTCTTGACGACGCCCGAAGACGAGCCGATTACTTTGACTCGGAGACGACCGTTCACCGGGGAGCGACTTCTACTGTTCTCCCAAACCGAGTCCATACCAGAAGAGGTCGACGGTTGATCGGGATCGAACACGACTTCGCGTTCGCGCACTTGTCGAGCTCTACTGCGATCGCGATCGGCGCGGATGTTAGCGCGGACGCGTTCCGTTTGGCGAGTTCGAGGAACCATGCGAGGTGACGATGAACTGTTCTCTTGCGGCAAATGACGGGTACGACCGTAGGAAAGACCAAGACGCCGAGCTTCCTCCATGAGATCTGGCACTTCGTCTTGATCGATATCAACCTAAAAGAAGAAATGTTATAATTGTTAAAACCAGACATTAGGGTCCCATTATGTAAGATGTGGCTTCCAAAGTGTGAAGAGACGTGACAATTCTAGTACATTAAAAGTGAAAACCTATCAGAGTTTTCACCTTTGCCTACTAAAAATGATAGATGGATACACATCGTGATTCCTTACCGCTTCTGCATCATTGTGACTGTTTTGAGAACATTCGGGGCAGTACCACTCATCCATAGGAACCTCGTTCATAGGAGGAGTTAAGCATTCGAGATGATAACCTAAGTCGCAACCATCGCATAATAGCATACGATCCTCCCGATCGCATTGTTGACAAATCTCGCAGAAGGTTGGATCTTCTTGTATTTGTTCCTCTATCTGTGTTTTAACTTCAATTGGCATGTGCTTTATAATCTGGAATGAAACAAAGATGCATGAATAATTAAAACACCTGTTTGAAAATTAACCAATGGGAGCTTTGAACTTTAATTCTAAGTGATATTAAAAATTGTTTTTTAGTACCTTGCCACCTAATCTGCTTCTGATGTGAATAACAGTAAATGATTGACGATCTACAGGGCAAGTATTGATGTTTTTGCTCCATTCTATCAAACATTCCAGGCAGAAGCAGTGATCACAGGATGATGGAGATGCTACTTGTTGCTTCCTAAATGACAACAAGCAAATTGGACATTTTTCTGTGTGTCCATTGCTGCTATCGGAATCGCAGTCAGCAGTGGTCGAAGTCGCAGGTACAACGATGTCAGGTGCTGCTTTACTTTTTGATTTTGGCTTTGCTTTAGAAGCAGTGTTTGCCTCGGAATCATCGCTCTCCCAATCTGACTGCCATTCTGAACTACCATCACTGTCGGCTACAACAAAATTTTTTTTTTAATTGTACAATATTTACAATACATCATTTTATTATACTTGTTAGGATTGTAGCAAGTTATCGTATAAGTAAAAACTTTCTTATTCACAGAGGAACCGCCAGACAATCTAATACTCTGATAAACTAACCGAGACTAGATAATCCCTCTGCTTCTGATGCATTGCTGTCAAAACTGGTATCATCCTCACTAACAACTTTCTGTAAATTATTACAAAATTTCAGGAAATAGTTTCACAGTCTAATCCATCAATGTAATATATTATTACTGCTTACATAATTCCGTCTTCTGGTAGCAGGCTTTGGAATATCACTATCGTCATCACTTGATTCTCCTTCACTTATCACCCTCTGTAAGTATTAATTTATCAAATTAGAAATAGATTATGGAAATGTTTAGAAATAAATTCATATCAGAAGGGAAAGGCATTAATGATTGTGTATCTATTATACTCACATAAACTTTCTTTTTACAATGTGTACGGATAATAATGGATTCATCACTGCTATCGCTGTCTGATATAACATATCTTATACGTTTTGATGGCTTTGGCACTCGCTCGCCGTCACTTGACATCTTCACGCCTTACGAATACCTTACACCTGCTGCATTTACTCGAACTGATCTGCACACAGGTTCCTTAACATTGTTTTACAATGGTATTTACTTTCATACTTAAATGTATATTAAATATGAGAAGCAAAAATGCAATAGATTTAATAATGATTTTGTAAATGGACATTATCTATACTGAATTATAAACTCTTAACTTTAACTGTATTATAATGTTTTCAACTACATTTACCGTAACATAGTCTATCATTTTATTTTTGTTGTTCATTTATTAAGAGTATTGGCATTGTGTAATGAAAATTTTTCTAAACATAATCAAAGCAATTTCACATACATTCACAGTCATCTCTAGTTTAAATCTTCTTTCACGGTTTTAAAATATCCATTATATGTACCATCTGTTTCTTAATAAATACACGGAAACAGTAGACATGTATTTAAATCATAATATAGCGCATTTCGACCAATGCAACCAACTTGTTAACCAAGAACATACAAACCTGATATGAATTAAAAAGAATACCAATATTATTAATCCAAATAATGCCTCTCACAAAAATAATGTCAAGTGTCTAGATTTTTCTCATTGAACAGTATTTGTGTTACGTAAATGAACTTGGACAGTACTTTTGATCGTAAACCTCAGATTAATAATAGCTAAATGATGATACTTCCGAAATACAAGTTACGATCAGGGATAAATTACTTTGGGTAGCTAAATTGTTCTCAGTTAGTAGATACCAATGAGCATACACTGTAGTTTTAAGCAGACTAACAAAAGATATTACTTAAATTACATCCAACAAAGTATTTTTACAGCACGTAAGTTCACCGTTTTCGCATACAGGAAAAACGACCGAGATACCTGAGGTGAGCATTCTATGGTGGGTTAAGTACCTAGAGGAGACCCAGAATCTCGAAATAACGCCAAAACGAGTGAACACATTTCGTTTAAAAAAAAAACAGTGAGCCCTACCTACGTATCATAGCGCCTCAGACGGTAATTCGCTAATTTCCTTGAACTCGGTTTCCTACTCGAGCTCCGGACAGGATCACCAAACACGAAACGCACAGTCACAAGTCTATCGTGAGCTACGAGTAAGATGTTCACCTACTGCCGGCATTATTGTATACCGGCCTTAATTCGAAGTCCACCGATTACTTGATCGAGTTCCCAGTCGATTTTGCACATATCAAACGATGTCAAACTTTCGAAATATTGACAGCCGAGGGTACGCTTCCTACTCCAAATCGGCGGACATCTTGGCTCACGACGCCGTTGCGACGTTGCGCTATTTCCTCTCCCGTCGCTTTCAAGATGGCGGCCGACACGCGCAACCATGTGCGACTTCCTCATCAATTTTGAACTTGCAACTCTTATGTACGGAACCAGGGAAATTCTTTGAAATCGCTCCTTACTTACAAAATTCGATTGAACGTCACAAAATTAATCACAGCTGAAACCGGATCACCTTACATGCATTTTCGGGCAATCCCCAAAATTCCGGATGTCAAACAGAAGTACAGCTGACGGATGGAACATTTTCAAACGCTTGCCGTGTGTCGGATCCGACCGATCACGATATTCAGTATTTACACTCACGAGGTGTTCATATTCTCCCAATTGTCCTATGAAAATATACTCAATGAATATTGCTTTTAATTAAACTGAAGATTTGCGATTTAAAATGACATTTTGGCGTTTAAAAATAAATCTTTCAATGTTCTAGCCTGGATGTTTTTCCCGCGATTATAAAAGATGGCGCCACTTTCGTGAATCGGTTGATGCTGATCACTTCCTCGTTCTTCTGCGAAAGCGTGAGTGTCTTTTAGTGAAGAAAAACCTGGCATCATGGGTCGTATGCACGCGCCTGGGTAAATTAAATAGAGTATTTAATAAGTTTTAGGCTTACTTTTCAAGAAATTCTTGCTTACTGGTTGTACTTACGACCTCTTAATTTTATTTGGAAAGAGATGCGTGAAGCGGGGGCTAGTTAGCGAAAAACACGATGAAACAAAACGTGGCTTCTCAGGCCATGTGTCTCTATTTCTCGAATAATTCTTAGCGCGGCGCGTAGGATTGTGCACATTTTTGCACGATCAATGTAATGTACTTTTATTGATACTACATGAAATCAAGTGAATTTTATATAATTTGACAGATTCAGCTATATGACACTTCTACTTTTAACCTCGTCAAAACACTTAGTAGTTTTTATAATAGGTTAGATCAGATCTCTAATATTTTTCCTATATAGCTCAAATTATTATTAGTTAGAGAGAATGGAATTAATATTTTACTTTCCCTGGAAAAGCCTAATTAATTACAAAATAAATGTATTGAAAGCATCGCACTTAAACTTATGATTATGGATTTCAGAAAGGGTATATCCCAATCAGCGCTTCCATATAGGCGGAGTGTACCGACATGGCTGAAATTAACACCTGAAGATTGCAAAGATTTAATCTTCAAACTTGCAAAGAGGGGTCATACTCCATCTCAGATTGGTAAGAATACTTAAGAATTTTGATTCGTTCTTCCAACGAACCTAACAAATAAGTGATTCACAGTTAATACTATCATGTCAAAATTGTTGGACATTTTCATAATACATTGTTTTAAAAAGTACTTGCAAACAACCAGCTGAGGTTAGACTGAATCTAGTCTTATCCCTTCCTAGAAGTTTGCTAGAGCAATTTAGTGGGTTTTGAGGTATTGTCAGATATATCTGTTAATATTATAGGTACCCACAAACATTAATAATAAATCATTTAATTTTATGAACCAATCTTTTATATTTCCTGTTATCACTTCTGTATGATTCAACAATTATATCTTTACAGGTGTGATCCTTCGAGATTCTCACGGAGTGGCACAGGTACGTTTCCGAACAGGAAACAAAATTCTGCGTATTGTAAAGAGCATGGGACTTGCTCCGGATTTACCAGAAGATTTGTATTATTTAATTAAGAAAGCGGTTGCCATTAGAAAGCATTTGGAGCGTAACCGAAAAGACAAGGACAGCAAATTCCGTTTAATTTTGGTTGAATCCAGAATTCACAGGCTGGCCCGTTATTATAAATCCAAAGGATCCCTTGCACCTAACTGGAAATATGAAAGCTCCACAGCTAGCGCTCTTGTTGCGTAAATTGCAATAATAAAGAAAAATGTATGAATCAATTTTTTCTATTCATTTCTTAAATTACTATACTTAGAATCCTTTGTAATATTTCGGGAAAAAGGTGAATAAAGTTTATTCTTTATTGATCCTTGGCATGAGTTAACCCTAAAATTGTGTAAAACTGAAAACTAATAATAATTATATCTACAATGATCTTAATCGAAACATGTCCTTAATTAAATGAACTTAGCCCATTCAATAAAGAGATATTGAAGTCATATATGTATGTATATATATGCACAGTTATATTTACAAATGTTCATAGGTACTCATTAAAAAACATGACATATCGCTTTCAGGATACCAGATTAAATTTTTTTTATGAATAAAAAATTTAACGGTATGCCTATGAAACAAATTCAGTCAAAAGATACAGATAGGTTAGCTATACAATTTATATATACAGTACGGTGAAATTCTATTTTGAAACGGGAATAAATGGATTTCTTAACTATTATCCTCAAAATTCTGCTGAACTTTCTGCCACTTTGCTACCATACTGGACATTTCTTTGTGCTTCTTGCTACTGCCAATTTTTGCCTGAAACAATATTACAATATTTCTTTAAGATGAATCAAATGTGGTGGAAGTACATTGCTGTTAATTTTTAAATACAGCTCTTACCTTTTTTCTCTTTTTTTCTTTTATTACAGTTTCTGTAGGAAGATTGGATTGTTCCGTTATCTCCGTCTGCACCTGTTGAACAGGCGACGGAACAGCTTCAGAAGCTAATGTTTCCTGTTCTTTGTCTTGTTCATTTTTTGTTTTCTCAATAGAAGCAATATCACTATAAAATGAATTTAGAGCCGATCCCAAAGATTCCCTCTGCATCTTTATTGGTGGCTTAGCTATTACTTGGCTACTGGCATACATTTGTGTATAATCTGCTACCATGAATCTAACAGCTTCTTGTCCTGTTAATCGATTCGCTGCTGCGGCCAAAATAGCTTGCTATTTTTTACAAAATGAAATCATTTAAATTAAAGGTGACACTAATATCGACAAAGTTGTGGTGTAATTAATTCTTCGCAACATCAAATCATTGATATGTGAACACTTACGTTGTGCAAATGCTGATGGTAAGCAGGATAATGCATCAATTGTCCTTGCATCAGTGCAGTGTGGTGATTTAAAAGTGGTAGTCCAGGATTCCCAATAGTGGCCGCGTAAATTGGGTTGGTTTGCTGGGACGTTGCTGTGTACAGTAGGTTTGATTCCAATGCAGATGCTGCCAGAGTGTACGGCATATCCGGTGGGTCTACACCTGGCGGTAATGGTTCGCTGTTTGTAGGATTAGGGACTAATGGAGGATGTGGAGGCAACGGGGGCTGTAATGATTTTGGTGATGAAAGGGGTAAGGGTGGGTTGACAGACTGATTCGTACTTGTCGTGGGATTCACTTCTGTGAAAGAAGCCAGTATTTCAGATCACTACTTCGCCATAGAGCGAGCAAAATATATTCATAGTCCTTGGACCAACAATACGAATGTCCAATTTACAAACACATTTTCTATAATTATATAATTTAGCTAATTGTAATTTTCTCATCATGGGGAACTGTGAGATAGGACTTAGCTTACCTTTTGCTAATTTCTCCCTCCTTCTGTTTCCATGATTCTTCTCGCTGCCTCGTCTCTTTCTTCCTCTCCTCAAATCCTCTGCGAATATCCTTGGTGGCGGAGGTGGACTCGGGCTGGATATTTTTGGAGGCGGAGGGATCCTTACTTCTATGCAGCTAGTTTCATTTTTTTCTTCCTGTTCTTCGGAGGCCACTGAAGGCTTTTCTTCACTGGCCGACTCTCGAGAAGTTGAATCTTGCTTCGGTTCAGGTGTCTCAATTCCCTCATTCTCTGAAGTGTTACAGAAAGAAATGGGATCAAAACAGAATATTTTATAACCTTGATTCTCACAATATTAATTATTTTTAAATACCGCCTTTGTAAAAAATCGTTGAATATAAATAAACACTATGTAATGATGAATACATACCTATAATGGAGGCCTCCTCTTGATCGGGAGGTGGCGGTGTTGTACACAAGTCCATTTCCTCGGTTCCACCGATAACGTCAAGCTCCGGGTAAGTCCATTGGGCTTCTCCGCTCGTTGCATTGCGATAATAGTACCGTTTATGCGATCTAGAATCATCCCCCCCAAAATCGAAAACATCAGTCCAATACGAAGGATGCAACTTTTCTAGTATCTGTCGTCTCACATTGACGTGGCCAATTTTTTTCTTTTTCTCATTTCTCGTTAAAAAATAATGAATGTAATCCATTGATACCCCTACCTGCTTTACGGTTTCTCAGAAAATCTGTGAAGATGCATCTATTAAAACCTACTTTATAAGTACAAATAGTAATTATGTTAGTGAGAGGAGACAATGTGTCACAATAGGAATGCCAACACAGTTCTTCGGCAGGTTTCATAGACAGAATATTTTGCCTTGGTCATGTTGAGTGTATAAACAAAAATTGTTCTTAGAAAATCCTGAATTTTTTAGTATTTACTGCAGGCCAGCAAGATTAATAAAAATGTTAAACAGGATTGACGACTATATACTGGAGAGGCAGTGTGCAGTAGTCTTTTTTCAGTGATATTAGATTTCGTAGAATTTCTTTTATCCCCTGATCTATTCTTGATTATGAAATGAAGCAAAATATCCTGTCACTCTTGGACGCTCCAGGGTCTTCTGCTGAAATCATGTTCACTTTTCGACGACCTATAACAGCAAGACAAAGCATAAATCACGAAAATTACAGAACCAAATTAGTTTTTTTTTTTTTGAGGAAAATGCCACTGCATTCGTAGATTTAATTTATAAGTCAATACGATGGAGTGACGACCCAAGGACACTTTTCACAGGACCGTATAAACATCAACGGACCTTGCATTAAAAAAGAACAACGATGAGTATTACATCAAGGAACAATAAACGCCAATTGATGAAACGTCAAGCTAACTCAGTCAGCGAATATGGAAAATGGTAACATGAAGTCATAAAGCTACATCCTTCTTCAAGATATTTATCGAGATAATTCATAACTTTAAACCGATACGATGATGTTCTTGTATTGAAGAGACTTAAAATGTTTGCATTAACGTGGATCTCATATTGAAAAACAATTATAACAATATGTTCTTTTGCAGATACAAAGCCTACGAATTGTTGTATCTATTTCTATATCCCCTTAAAACAGGTCTTGTTAACCTCAGGAAATATAACACATTTTGTTTTGATAAAATTTTACTATTCTACTGTTGAGAGTAATGCGGGACGCGTATCTCAGAGGTTAAAACAAAAATAGCGTTCGGATAGAAAGGACATATTGACAGTTCGAAATTAATCTACGTTTGTTGTGGGGGATACTGTACCTATCCCACTGGCAGTCCCATCCCGGAGGTGCAGCTGCTTGCTCTAGCCGGGCCAGCTCTCCACTTGTTCCTGTCAGCCAATTAGAGAGGTAGCTCTCCTTTAGGTCACCCGCTTCCCATGCAGTCAGCAAAGTCTACAATAAGAAGAGACATTATTAAAATACATGTACCTTGATAGCGAAATTTGTAGACTAACATTACTCACTTGTAGTTGGATTCCCATTACTTGCACGGCAGATGCCATTTGACTTCCTTCGCATAGAAACCTTAATTTCTCTGTAATAGTCTCGACTAAAGGTTTGAGATCCTCTTTACTCGATTCAACCTTTTCTTTAGCTTTCGAAGTATTTTCTTCAGGCATATTTAAGGTTTCTCCTTTCACAAAGTTAATACCATTTTTTGTTGCATTAACAGGTTTTTCGGATGCTTCAGCATTTTGATCCAAAGGTTCAGAATATTCCACGCTGGATTCTTTTTGAAATCCTGTATTTTGATGATCAGGATCGTTGATCGGAACCAAAGGTTGGGCATTCTCAGAGTCTGGTTTCGGCGCCGAGGTTGCAGGAGCTTCGGTCGTTTTGTTTTTACCAACAACAACTAAAAGTGGTGGACAACGAAAAATTTTAATAAGAATCTTATGTAATATATAATATTCTTAAAATTAGTCTACAATTATTGAAAAAATAAAATTGGTACTTATGATAAATATATAACTCATAATTTAAATAACATACCATCAAAAGCTATTCGTTTCTTTCTTTGAAAAGCTTTCGCTGGAGCTTCCAAATTTTCCAAGAATATATTCGGTTTCGGTGGTTCCAGTTCTACTCTGACAATCCGAATCTCCTCTTTATCTTTATTTTCTACTTCCACATTTTCATTACGTTGAGTTAATTTCTTAGATAAATCATTCTCCTTGTCCTTCAACACATTATCATTATGGTACTCAAAAATTTTAACACTTCCACCTTGTAATTGCTTTGTTTCCACTTTTCTGACATTATCAGTGGAAGTACCCAAACTGTCTTTTGTTGTGTTTTGAGGCAAAACTAAACTTTGGTTTGCTTGATACTCAGATATTGGAAATAAAGGTTTAACTGTTGACTTCTTCACCGAAATCTCATCGTCTCCATCTGAATCATCGCCATAACCAGGAACTAAAGAGATCTTTGTGTCTTTGTCAAATGTAAGAGACTTACGATGCATCTCCATTGTAGTAATATTTCTACCACTTTCCTGCTGCATATTATGAGATTCTTCTGATCGATTTAATTGAGTATCTTTTTCCATTTGACTAGATTTTTCATCCAATACTGAGGATTCAGTACATTCTGATTGTCTACCACTAACAGAGTGTACCGTTCTTCCTTGACTTTTTAATTTCATAAGAACGTCCTTCTCATCGATATAAGATTTGTTTTGAACTCTTGCATATTCCTTACCAGTAATTAACATTGTTGTACCACTTCGAACATCAGGATTTTTGGATGAATTTATGTCCTCATCGGCTCTACATTTATTTTCAACATCTTCATTTCTTTCATCAACATTAATACTAGCAGAAAGGAAAACTGGACCAATTCGAGAGTTCCGGCAACCATCTTCTGACTTTCCACTCGAACTTAAATTTGTTACCGAGTGCTTTTGTAAGTGCGATTTTGATGAAACACCTTGTTTCGATGTTTCTTTAACTAAAGACTCATTATCACTAGTATCCGATTCACTTTCATCGTTCCCAAAGGATGTTATCATTTCTATTTTTCTGTAAAGTCATATATAGAAATATGAAAAATTATTTGAATACTCAGTGTATTTCGATTTACTGATAACTAAAATCATACCCATCATCAGAATCCTCTCCTTTTGGATCAGATGTTTCCAAAACTTCTTCGTTAGTTTTCACTTTTTGAAAACTACTTTGAGGTACACCAGATAATCTGTTTCGGTTTCTAGCAACTACCTCTTTAGGGATCATACCCTCAGGAATGTCAGTTTGTGCTTCTGAATCTGAATGAAAATTCAAATACATTGTTACATTCAAAGTAAAATGTAATAAAATATTAATGTAAACAAAATATTTAATACATGAACTGGTTGAAATATGAGGCCATTGAGTAACGTGGGAAGAGCGTAATGCAGGATCCTGTTGAACACCATCACGAAGTAACCTCATCTCCGATGGCATTTCCCAGGTCACTTCATTTGTCTCTGTATGCCAATAGTATGGATAACCAGTTGTCTCATCATAGCATTCTTGCCACACTACAAAAATGTATTATATTTTTAAAGATGATACCACTGGATACAAATTGATTCATACTTTTAAAATGAAAATTTACAAATTTGTTGTTGCGTTGCATGATTTCCTGATTGAACTGCTATTGCATGTGATTTCGTGGACGAAGCAGATTTTAGTGGTTCAGGGGCAATGAGTTGTATTTCCTGAAAAAAAAAAGAAACAAAAAGATTCAACTATTACTTAGATTAATAATCTCTTTATTAAACAATTTTTCTATGAAAAATACCTTCAGAAAATCATTGACTTTATCATTTAATTTGTTTGGATTATCTTTTGCATCATCTGCTTCACTGTCTGAATCATAATGACCTAACAAATTTGCTAGTGGATTGGCAGAAGCTCCATTATGTTCAGGATGGTCAACAGCAATTTGTTGATATTTATCTGAAAAAAGTATTAAATTATATCAAAGAAATTTGTGAATATTCAAATAACATCGACAAAGAGTGTAATAATATTAGATACATTCTGTAAGTCCTTAGAATGTACTAATATCAATATACACATATTGCATAGGATGCATATTTGCGATCAGTCATTAGATTTTCATACTTACTTTGCCATCGTCTCCGACATGACTCTGATTCTTCTCCGTTGATATCTAAAACTGGTTTCCGTTGTCTTCGCTTCATGATGATCAAACCAACACAGTCCTTGAGGTTAAGATGAACAATAATGCATTCTTGTACTAACAAAATCGTTCATAAAGGATTTATCGCAACAACGATTAAAATATTATCATCAGGGGAAAAGTAATCACTAATGGCACCATTATTTTTACAATATCTCTTCAGTTTCTTGGCATAATCTCTCAGTAACTCTATATTACATGAACAGTGTTTCCAAATTACTTTACAGATATAATAATATCAAAGTACTCGAAGATAAGTCAACAAGTATAATGAATTATTTGTTTACAACAAATTTTTCCGCAAATAATCAATGATTTTTATACAAGATTATTCCTTAAGATGTCATAACGATAACTGTTCAGGCATAACCTAAAACGTAAATTATTTGCCCATGTCCGTGACTATATTTGGGTCGCCATTTCATTCCGACGACAGCGTCATAGGTCGGAGCGAATGAAAGGTTCTGATTGGCTCCAAAGAAAAAGTGGAATGGGGAATTTCCGCTGTACATTTTCAGCAGCCAATCAAAACTTCTTATTCGCGTTCGTCCCTCTGATGCTTGTTGCTGTAATGCTAATGAAAAAACACCTTTAAGCACGTATTGTAAATTTGGAGTACCGTCACTTTACCCTATGAACGAAAGAATCACGTCCATGAGTCAAAGTGCTAACAATTTTCTACGTATCTTTGTATTCATTGGAAGAACATAACCAAAAATAACCCGGTGAAAAAAAGAATTTATTTCCATGACATACGAGTAGAATCGTGATTATATTTAACCTCAGATGTCACACAATTAAATATAATAATGTAATACTTAAATCTTGAATGTTTACCCAACTAGGTTTTTTTTTACAAACAAATCAGCTACGTTACCAATGAGAACGTACGTTTTTTGACAAGTAAAAGTGACATGGTGTTCCTTAAGCAGATTAGTCTTTTTATTGTTTCTGCTTTAAAAAAAAACCAAGTATAAATAGGAGACGTCAGATAAAATCAAACTATTTTTTAGGATGATGGAGTAGACAATGTGGTACATATTTAAATTATCAAGCCTGTCACAGAAAGCTAATTAATTACATTGTATCATAATGGATCTGAAAGCTGTTGTAATTTCTGGTGAAGCTCCTGAGTCCGATGATGAGTCAGTAAATATTGCTACTGTATGTATGTTATTCTTTATGATAATTAAAAATTCGATTATTAGAATTTTATTAGAATGTTGATTTTATTTAGGGCATAGGTTTTCCAGCTTTACGAGGTCCAAATTCCTGTGGTACTATTATTACAGGAGAAGCTCCTGAATCTGATGACGGTAAAAATGATGTATTTCTGCTTAAATATATGAAGTTACCATTAAGAATGATTGTGCATCCAACTGTTAGCAGTGTACTATATGAAATGTACTTTGTGATAATATTAATACTAGCGATATATCTAGATGGGACTAGTCTAAGCAGCGTCAGTGGTGCAGTAGAGGCTACAGCATGTCCACCGTATACCGAAATTAAACCACGTAAATCTAAAAAAAATTATATCAAGTATAACAGTTTACTTCATAAAAAATTGCGTGAGTATATTTTTCCAAATTGAAATTGTACATTTTTTAATAGTTTTCAGTAAGTATTTAATATCAACAAGTACAGATTACATGTTAAGATATCACTTTTTATTGACACTGCAGTAGTACAATTTCAATTACATTAACTATAGTAAATAAGGTTATAGTATATTTTAAATGTAGAATACTGTTAATCATCTTAGTATACATAGTAATTAAGCCTCTATTCTCGCTGGAGCGCTTTTGTAAGTTTAAATTTTTTCTTTTAGGATCACGAGCATTTTTAATTTTTGATTACATTAACCTCACCCTAAAACTTAGTTTTTCTGACAATTTTCTCAGAATCATTCAGAATGTAAAAATGAGAAAAATGTTTGTTAGACTATTGAAAAGAAATTTATTGGAAGTACTTAGAAATTCATAAGAATTTTTTTTATCAAACCCAAATTATTATTATAGCTTTTCAGATATTTGAGACACTAAGAAGCTAGGAATAATTTGGAAGATTATATAATCTGTAAAAATTTTGAGAAAATGTTCATGAAGAAATTTACAAAAATTTTCTTCTATATGCAAAAATATAATTTCTATAGTGAAATAACTAAACAGATCTTGCAAATAGACTTTTTATTCAATCCTGCTTGTCTTAATACTGACTTCAATTTCATCAGTTTATACTACAATACTATTTTTATAATTCACCAGAAATTAAATCAATGTATACAATCTTGTGTAAAGAAATATTTGAAAATGACAATTTTCTGATTATTTCTAGACGAGTGCAACGAAGCATTAGACAGAAATGTCTTAGAGCTGAGCGAGGGAACGTTCGCTGCTGGTATTCAACAATTAGCAGCTGTCAATCGACAATTATTGAGAAGTGAGCTCACTCTGCAAGAAGCAGCTTGCCAGCTGCGCAATGCATCAAACCGATCTCGCGATGTATCCAATGCATTAATTCAACTTGCAGATACCGATTTCTTACATTCCATAAAAATTTAATTTTTTTCCAACATTTATTTATTTATGTATGATGTGCTTTACGATAGTTACACAGTTGAAAACCTGAATGCAAGAACATTTCTTTCAATGCATATTATTTGTCCGTCACTTGTCCTAAAGAATTGATGGATTTAGTTTTATTAAAAATAAACAGAATAGATATAAATCGTTAAAACTGTATTTTGAATTAATGTTTATCCTTTCAGCAAGATTCCTTGTTTGTTCAAATAATGCCTTCTGTTGTACTACATTAAACAAGTTCCTCTTTGTTGCATATTTGATTGACAAAGTGACTCATTCTTGCAGCCAAATTTTCACCGCCAAAACAATTTGACTTTTCAATTACGATTAACTACGTTTACTCCAAAGAAAGGCTTAAAAATTGTCCAATTGCTGAAGCGAGCAACTATTCATTTTATTACTTCCATTTTTACAATTTCTTTGTCTTTAAGACTCCTTAAAGCACTCCAGATTTATTAAAAACGTGAGATCCTTGGGATTTTTTTTTGAGCATTGATTGATTCATTTTTTTGAATTGGCAGTTCTATTTGGTAGTTTGGTTACTCACTAAACAGCATATAGTTCAATGTTAGTTGTACCTAAAATATAAACGTGTACGTGTGTGACTTAACATTTAACTTATTACCAACTAAAGTTACCCTAAAGTGTGTAACGTAATAATGTTATTTTGGGTGTTACTGGGTAACAAATAGTCTATAATGGTCGTTGCATTTTTCCTCATTTAAAATGTTATGAGTGCAAATGACTGTACAAACAACAGTCAATATGCTACATGATGTCAAATACATGTCATACAGTATCAAACAACATTATAGCATAAATTTGAGGGGCTTCTGTAGAGAATCGTCAGGTTGTCATTTAGAATGCAGCTACACTAGTCTGTTAAATTATTAAATTCTACTTGTACATACATCGAGTCACAAATCTGTACAAACGAAACAGTACTTCAACCATTTTGATCACCACACTTTACTTCAACCGGTATGGGTCTTCGTGTACCGACGTGTGCGTCCTTTTCAGAAGCCCCTTTATCATTGATTTTTAGACAATTTCTTCTTTTTTTTTTATCAAACGCGCAACTTCAATCGGTATCAAAGGGCTGATATTTTTTATTGCACCACGAAAGTTAGTGCACAATGAATTTGTGATCTAAATGGAGATGAAACTTGTGTTTCTATGATTCTCAGTCTTAAATATTTCTTTAAACTTCGTTGAACTAAAACTTCACATGGTTTACCTACATATAAAATACAAAGTAAAGGGAGTATTTTCTTGTTCTATCACTGATATGACAACCTTATGACGGTATACTCATTTTCCTCCCGTATTACTCCTATATTACACTTCTCCTCAAAGGATACATTCACGTTTCTTGCCATGTTATTATATTATGGGAATATAGTGGATTTTTGCTGTGTGTGAAAGCAATTCCATAGAGTACGCCGTGCTTTAAGAGGGGCATAAGTTCTGCTCCGTCCAACTACTCCAAGCAAAATATAGCTATAAAGTAATTAATCCATTAGATGTAGTTTTTGAAAATTTTTGAAGCAAAATTATGCGTCGATACCGAGATAAAACATGTCATGATTAAACACGTATTTAATAAGATCAATTTTCATTTGACAAATTTAGACTCGATACATCTAACAGACCTGACAAATATTTTGTGACATTTTGTCATAAACAACGCGAAGACATAAATAGATCTTCGCTTTCTGATTTTCTTTGGTATATTTACCTTGAGCAGTTTTAGAGCAGTAAAGTAATAACGATTCCTTTAATATTATTGACGTGTCATTGCTTTCGCTGTTCATCATACAAAGGACGTTCTTCCTCGTGTGTCCAAGTACACAAATAAAAAAAATTCAATGGGCTCAATTCCACAAGAGGATTAAGGTTTGTCGTATTTGACGACCTTTGTAGAAAATGCGTCGTCGTACGCGATACATGTTGGCCAATGTGAGGGCGCCCACCCCCCACATGGCCTACGCTCGCTCCATCTCACTACGGCTTTCGTACATCTGAAGAAGAGCCATTGACTCCTGAGCTTGACGTTTCTCAACCAGAAACCGACCCGATGCTTCCTTCAATTGTTCGAGGAACATCCTAATACAGACGTGATTTGCCATTAGTACATCATGCATTTTTTTTCTATTCGTATTCTATGAGAGTAAAGGCTCCATGAATTCATTGTCGTTCCTTCATACCTGTCAGGCATAATGTCTACAAGGCTATCCGGATCCATGTCACTGAGCAATTCCAAGTCATTGCCACCGAGCAACGAAATATGAGATGGATCTCCATGAAGTGTCGAAACTAATGGTTCGACCGGAGTTCGAATCCTCCTGACTCCGTCACTCTTTGAGCTACTTTCGACGTTGTCTACGTCATCTACGACAATGTATCGAGAGGTTGTCTTCCCACTACCAGCTGCCGTCCATTTCTGATCTCCATGTAACACCATAAGACTCGTATTCCTTTCTAACGTTGCAAAGTATTCTTCGTCGTCTACCTCTGTTCCTAAATTGTGAGTACATTTATACATATGTTTTAGTAAAAAATATCTTATTGCTCATTTAGTACTTGACTTAATGGGATCAAGTTATTGAAGTCTATAAAAACAAAAACAACGGTCTGAATTCGTTTAAAATGTTACAAACCATCTTGTTCAAGAACAACGGTGATATCCACATCTGGAGGTAACGACAACCGGCTTCGAGCGGTATTCATTAATTCCTTGAGAGAGGTTGCCGTAATTCCCTTGCGGCGTTCCCTCGCATGATCGACTATTTTGTAAGGATTGCCCATTCCATGAGACACTCCCGAAGAGTCGGACATTTTCTTAAATTCCCAAACAAGAAGCAGGATCTTTGAAAAGCAATTCCAGTCAAATCCTTAGTTTGCGCAGCACCTATGCGTAAGTAACTTGTATTCTTTTGGCAGTTATTACATATGTTTGCCCAGACAAGTTTATGTTACAGTCCTGCTTATGATGTACATCAATGCAGATCAATATTTTCACCTTCAGCATTAAAGTAAAACCGATGAACGCGATTACCACTGAGGCCACACAAAAGTGACCAATAATTCATAAACCTTGTCGAGTTTACAGGTCAATAGGTCTAATCGAGAAAAGCATTATATGATTTGGGCGGAGAGTACTCGATGGTTAAATACAAGGGCAGTGTATTTACAGGATTGTACTGGGTATACTTGTTTTCTGCAAAAGTATACAAAAGGATTGGTCGAGTGACATGTACATATAAAAGGGTTGCAAAGTAGTCGAGCTGCCACTGTCGTACCAGAAGGACCGAACCGATGGTGTATCAACCCGACACTGGGTCAATGGTGCAACCACCCCTCCTATTTATACCTCCGTAGACTACAGTATATATGTACGTGCTCACACATATATATATACAGTCCAGAGCACCCCAATAGCATTCCTCCCAACATGGCAGCTAGACGGAAATCAATAACCTTGCTCACGCTCCTTTCGTTTTTCCTTTCGCCCCTCGCTAAATCTTGGCCTCAACCAAGGATATCGGTCTCCACTTTGCACCCACTTGCATCCTTTGTCTTAAGCACGTACTAATTACAAAGGGTTATGAATTTCACTCTCCGTGCATTTATTGGAATTTCTTAAAAAATCATGAGTCATCAAATTCATGCACTCGTGTTGCCCAGGTCAACGAGAAATTTGCCGTACGCATCATTTTGCCATTAATGATGTCCCTATTGATTTCGAGGTTTTTTTTATCAATTTCCAGAAACAGGTGAAATTTCGGGACAGCACGTGGATTTAAGGCACCTCAACCTGGCTATATTTAGATCTACGAGACTAGGCACTGTTTCGAGGTTTAAAGTTAGCTCGCACTTAGCCCAGTTGATGCTCTTAGGTGAGCCGAGGTCGATCTCGAATGGTACCGTTTAGAATAACGCTATTAAACGTTAAATTTCCGGGATAAGCGAAATGTTACCGACTACTTCCAACAAGGACCCTGACGACAGTCAAACATGGGAATTAGCCGAGAGGTGTCTTTTGCCTGTTGCATTTTCTCATGCGGTTGCGGTCATACTCGCTACCGTGCTCAATATCCTTGGCATATCGCAGACTTCCAGTTTTGTGCTATTTCTTCTGTTGTTGATTATTTCCCTGAGCGCCACTCTATTTTATCACAATCTCAAGGTGAGCGAAAATCAGATTTTAATTTCCTAATATATGTAATCGTGCATTTATTACCATAAAAGATTATTATTGGTCTTTTACCCTGGAACCACGGAGGATCTTCAATAGAGGAAGAATGCAAAACCCTTGACGTTCACTTCACAGCGTTGCTCCAATGGTTATATTAGATCGGTATTGAATTAATGGTTCGTTCGCAGTGAGAGAAGCGATTCGTTCCCCCTGAATGCTGTATGATTTTACTGTTTTTGGAAATATGATTGCAAAAGACATTGTGTAACACAGGTGACAGCAGCTGGCAAGGCAGTACTAATCACTGGTTGCGACTCTAGAGTTGGATATGCTTTGGCAAAGCAATTGGATGAGTTGGTATGGACCTTGGTTGCGCTAATAAAATTACTAGCTTAATTCTGACGAGAAAATTGGAACATTAAAATTTTCTTGCATTCAATAAGGGATACACGGTATTTGCTGGATTCACAAATAAATCAGAGAATGAAGAGTTGGCACAGATTTTAAAGAAAGAGGCATCGGGCAGATTACACGCATTGCAACTGGACATTACGAGTGAACGTGACATACATTCAACGTTTTTGTATGTTAATGAAAACTTGCCAGATGGAGCACCAGGTGTAAATTATTCTTTTCTCTTTATGTGCACCTGTATTAAAATAGGCAGAATAACCAAATAAGTTATAAGTTGTGTATTAACTTAATGCTAATTATGTCAGAGAAATATGGTTTTGAAATGTACTGCCGCTCGATTGTTACACAAAGCTGACCTAGCATTTCTTTTATTTAGGATTGTGGGCACTGATCCACACTGCAGCATGGGTAGCTTTAGGTGAATGCGAATGGGTTCCCACGTCTGTGCTGAAACGAAGTTTAGAAATCAATTTTTTTGGTGTCGCTCGAGTTTCTCAGGTAAAGTACATGAAAACAAATTAAATGAGCAGTAAGATATCTTTTTTTACTATAATATGGATACCAGGTATTTCTACCTTTGGTGAGAAGATCCAGAGGTCGAGTGGTTCTTGTTGGAAGTCTATTAGCTCGCATACCAAGTCCTGTACGTGGTATACATTGTGCAGTAAAGGCAAGTGAATAATTAAATAATTATAAAAAGTTCATTTTCTACTAATAGAAAATATGTTGAAATATATGTGATTTTGATTGCACTTAATACTTCTTTTAAATATATGTACAGGCTGCTGTAGAAGCCTGGGGCACATGCTTACGACTCGAGATGAGAAGATGGGGCGTTGACGTTGTTATCGTTGAGACCGGAGAATACGTATCAGGAAATGCATGGCTTAAGGACAATGCTGCATTATTGGAACAAGCGAGGGATATGTGGACTCAATTAGAACCTCAAACCCGTAAAGAATATGGTCAAGAACTTTTTCAAAAAGAGATGTTGGCATTGGAAAAATACACGAAAGGTCCTGAAGCAGATTTAACTTCCGTCACTAGAGCATTAACAGATGGAGTGATAAAAACCTTTCCAATGAAAAGGTATAGCCCAGTATCTCGTTCCGAAAGAATACAAGCTTTACTTAGTGATCATCTTCCAAGACCAGTTTATGATATATTATATGCAAACTAACGTGCACAAGTGCAATGATTAATACAACTGTAAAATATTCCTGGAATCTGTATTTACGCTAACCGTACTCCATAACATGTTTCCTATAGGCTAGTATAAATTCTATGAAATCTAAAAGGATTAAACAAATTTCTGATAATTTATGTAGATTATCACAATTAAGTACTAATCAGGAAAATTTGAAGGTATCTAAAAATGAATATTATAAATAAAAGTTAACGAAATAGTTTAATAATTACATCCTATTGACCGCAATATGAGTTGGCATTATGTATTTTATTTTTAAACCCAGGTTAACAGAAATAAAATACAAAGATATTGTAAAACAAAATTATTATTTTGCAACAGACTTTACATAATTAACATCCCAATAATTCTCATGCAATGATTAAATAATATAATTAACAAGAAAGGGTCCTTACTTGGAAATGTTATACAATTTTATGTTCACCTGAGGCAGATCACTTTAAGTTCATAAATTACAATTCATTATTTAACCTGTGAACAATGTAAAAAGTTTTAAGCAATATGAAATATTTTCACCACGTAGCATAACTACTAACTAAATCTGTAAAACTTCAAAAACTTGCTTTGTTTATGCTATCGTAAATTTGTAGTTTTAGAGTATTTTTAGGTTATGTCCAATAATGTCGATTCAAATAAAATCATTAAGACTTGGTTACATGAGCGTTACATTCTTATGTATATATATTCTTGTGGAGCAATTTAACGGAAAGTTGAATTTAAATTAGAAACGCACAATGAGGTTTATAGTTAACGATTATAAATTTTTTCGCGATTTCAGTGCCCAATTATTTGTAACTGATCCAGTATTCAGATATGCTACGACTCGTTTATAACATTAAGAAATAATGTACTGGGTTTCTGATGAAAGGCGCTTGTATCGTATTTATACGTGAGTTGCAAAACTACGCGTCGACTCCTCTCTCTGTTCAATCCAGCCACGGTCCACACTATATTTTGATAATTCGATTCCAATTTTAATTCTTGATCTACGCACCGGCAAAGTGTTTTTGCCGTCATAAATTGTTAAAAAATACCCGAGCTAAGAAAATGCTAGAGAAACAGCTGGAGCAAGAAATCGCTGAGTTACGAGCTGTTCTGAAACGGAAAGAAGCCGATCTAGCGAATTTACGAGAAGGAAATCAAATATTACAACAGTATGGTTTAAATAACGAAGAGATTGCGAGATACAGTAGACAGATCTTATTACCAGAAATTGGCGTGGAAGGTTAAGAATTTTTTACCAGTAAAAAATATTTATTTTGATTCATACTATGAAATAAACTATTCTTACATTTGCAGGATATTCATATTTCACAGCCTTTTTCTAGCAATTGTAATAATCGTACAATGATTTTAAAGTATGTAAACGCCTTGAAAAATGTAGTCACATTAAATGTTGCCAGTTGTGTAAATTTTCACTGTATGTATAGGAGAGGAGTCATAATTTAAATTCTACATTGTTCTAGGTCAGCTAAAAATAAAGAATTCGTCAGTACTTATTGTAGGAGTCGGTGGCCTTGGTTGTCCAGCGGCACTATATTTGACAGGTGCTGGTGTTGGCCACATCGGTCTCATTGACTATGACGATGTTGAAGTAAATAATTTGCATAGACAATTATTGTATATTAATGAAAATATTGGTATGTCCAAAGTCATATCAGCAGCTGAAAATTTAAGAAAGTATGTATGCCGAAAAGAATATCTAGGTATTTAATGATGTCAGATTAAGTTATTATTATTATTTGCAGTAGCTACAAATTACAAATATTTTAGAAAATGTTTTTATTTTACAGACTAAATAACAATGTAAAAATTACTCCTCATAAGATCCTATTAGATAGCACGAATGCTATAAAAATAGTCGAAACATATGATATTGTATTGGATGCCACTGATAACGTACCTACACGATATCTTCTAAATGATGTTTGTGTATTGACTGGAAAACCATTAATATCAGGTTCTGCATTAAAATTTGAGGGGCAATTATCAGTTTATAATTATAACGGCCCCTGTTACAGATGCATCTTTTCAAAACCTCCACCACCTGAAACTGTAACCAACTGTGGAGATGGTGGGGTTTTAGGAGCAGGTAATTTTTAATAGACTAATAAATTATACATTTATAATGTTTTGCACCAATATTAACATGTTAGAAACATAAAGTAATGTATAAAAAATGTATTCCAGCTGTTGGTACAATAGGTGTTCTCCAAGCACTGGAAGCTTTAAAAATTATTTTGAACGTGCCCAGAGTTTATTCCGGTTATCTTCTATTATTTGATGGTTTAGAGACAACATTTAGAAGTGTCAAGCTACGTCCAAAAAATCCTAGTTGTGAAATATGTGGTAATAAACCAACATTATGTACGTTAATAGATTATGAACAATTTTGTGGTGCAAAGGCAAATGACAAGAATCCTAATTTGAGCATATTAGAAAGAAATGAAAGAATTACTGTTAATGATTACAATGAAATTATGAAGACGGACACAGAATCACATGTGCTTATTGATGTTCGTTCTGCAGAAGAATTTCAAATTTGTCAACTTAAGAATGCTCTTAATATCCCATTTAATGATTTAAATAAGAAGACCAATTTGGAAATAATTAAACATGAAATAAATAAGATACAAGAGAACATTCAGCAAGTTAATGGTGAGAGACTGCTTCTGGTAATCAGTGTTCATGAATTTTTTATTTAATGTGAAAACTTGTATATCTATTTAAAGTATTTTACAGTGTATGTCTTATGTCGCCGTGGAAATGATTCTCAAAAAGCTGTCAAGGTTTTAAAAAATTATTTCAAAAGTGATACATTGCGAATAAGAGATATTATTGGAGGAATACACGCGTGGAGTGCAATGGTCGATTCTACTTTTCCTATTTATTAATAATATTATTTAAAGGATGTATGGAATGTAGAAAACTCTAAAAAGGTAAGTACAAAAAAGTGAACTATAAAAAGTGAAATAATGCATTTATTATTCGATAATAAATTAACTTAGGCCTTTTTTGTTAACATTGGATTTTTATTAGATTTTATTCTGGCCTCTGAATCGATAACTCCCTTGAATAGTTTCTCTGAATGTATAATATATTATATCATCTTTGGTAATTATCTACTCAAGTTTATATTATACATGAGATGGATTACAGTCACAGTACTTCATTATTTCGTCGGGCAATAAACTTGTTTCAGGATGTTTATAGTGAGTGTTTGGTAAATCTCTTAATTTCTTAGCTGCTTGCTCGGGTGTTAAATCTCTCTGAACTTGAGCTAAGAGTTCATACCCAACCATATGCTTTTTCACTGTTGCTGATCGTAATAGAGGAGGTAAATAAATTCCGTGAAATGTCCAGTATCTAAAGTCATTGTTTAAGTTTGGACCAGTTGGAGCACCTAGAATTGTACAAACTATTTAAAAACAAATATGCCCTTTTAGATCTGGAATTTAAGTATTAGTAGTATATAAAATTATGAGAACTTTTGATATATAAAATATATTAAATAAATAACATCTATTTTAATCTTACCATGCCAACCCATAGAGTAAGGGAATGAGCAATTAAATAAATTATCATATTTTGTGCACAGCCTTTTCATTATAACAGCTAATGATTCTTGTTGCCTTGGAGTCAAATCTTGCATTCTCGTTACTTGTTGTTTAGGAAGCACCATTGTTTCATAAGGCCATACAGCCCAAAATGGAACAACAACTATCCAATCACAGTTATCAATCACAATACGCTCCTATCATGTGAACAAAAATATATGCCACTTAAAAATGTTATTATTAATGAATTCCATGTTTATTCATCAATATACAGAATTAATACCTTTTTAATTATTTCTTTTTGCATGTAGTCAATGAGAAGTGGCTTCTTGTTACGACTATAATAGTCACAAAGTAACTTATCTTTTCTTTTAGCTTCAAAAGGTAAAAAAGAACTGGCCCATATTTGACAATGAGGGTGAGCATTGCTGCATCCCATAATTGCCCCACGATTCTCAAATATTTGTACCCAAATCCATTTCTGACCCAATTCAAGCATTTCACAAATCCACCTGATTGTAAACTAATAATAATTACCAGATCTTGTATGTATGTTGTCACCTTTCTATCATACTCACTGTTCAATTACTTTTTTAATTTCATTAACTTTCATCAAAGCAATTGTAACATTAGATTTAGGATGAAAGCACATAACTTTGCAGGTGCCCCGTGCAGCTTCCATTTTGAATAATTCATCGGTTGAGCTTGGTGGATCAGGAACCGATTCCAAAAGGGCAGGAAAATCATTAACAAAAGAAAATGTATGTTCATAAGATGGTGTGAGCTGAAAGCGATAACAGAATTATTATATTATAATCACGTTATAGCATTAACAGTTTTGAAAAATATTATATAACTGCATATTTTGTAAAGAATGTTTTATACGAGTTTCTGTACCTGTCCATTAGCTCTGATATTTCCAGGACATAAAGGATTGTGGGGATCATAATCAGGGGGATCGTCATCCGTATTACTTTCTACTTGACCACCCCATGGCCGTTTCATACGATGTGGGGATACAAGAACCCATTCACCCTTTAAAGGATTGTATCGAATATGTTGATGTTCTGAAATTCTCAAATGTAATATATTTTATAGTAATGATAAATTAACATAAAATTAAAGCTTCTTACCAGTGGGATCAAATTTTGAATCATCAACGGGATTTTTGTCTTTATCTGCTTCACATTGACTTTTTTCACAGCAAGTATCATGACTGCAATTCATACTGTTTTTGGATACTTTTTCATTATGAGCCATTGTTCTACGTTACAATAGGGCGTCGTTCTAACATATCACAAGGTCAAAAGCAATGACATCACTGCACTTATATCATTCATCAAGTGCGACGCTTTTTCTTAAGTGCAATGTCATATTTAAGTGTTATCTCTCTAGAATCTGACATTGACCTAGGTCATTCATTATTTGAAATTCTGATGACTACTTTGATTTTTTAAAAAAGAAGTCTTGTAACATCTCATTCTGTTATTTTTCAGATACCATCAGTGTTCCGGCGATAAGTAATTAATATCTGATAATATTTGATAATATCTGTCAATATCTGTCAAGAAGACTATATGGCAGTTGATGCAGGCATGAGTAGGGAGATTGCTCTCAAGTTGAATCGTACAATTTCGTTCTGTACTGTTCTGTACTGTCCTCGGCGGAGAATGCGGGTGGCTCGCGCACTTGCCACCTAATACTCTCCAGTGGCCGCCAAACTCAGGGATTCTCTCATCGCGGTCCGGGCCGACAGACCGACAGTTGCCCCGAAGAACCCGCCGTGATAAGACACCATGAGCAATTAAGAAAACGGCGAAAAACGTGAGGGACGTATTAAGATTAAAATATATGTAGTACGATTCCATTTTCAAAGATTATTCTCATGTTGTCGCACAGTGATATTTAAAATTGTCTCTGGTGCTGCGCTCTCACGGAACTTGTAACATTGAAAATATGTATAATAGCGCCATGTTTGAACTAAACACTTGTTATTGGAGATTTAAATTTATTTCATTTAAAAACGTTATCGCTTTATTTCGCGATATTAAAGGAGAACATGACGAGCCTTAAGACTCGGTTAATTCGTTAGCGAGAATCATTTTTGAACGGGAGGTATTCTTTTTTATTGCCGAAAAATTGAATCGAATGCCCTAACAACGCTCATTATACGTCCGAAGAGTATAGTGTGTCCCCGTACCTGTATACTACTTTCAGATTTCAATATGCGCACATACATAATTAGGCGATTAGTTTCAGGTAGAGATTTATGATTGATAGATGTAAGTATGACGTACGTCATACATACGTAGCATACATACATATGAAATCGACTTGAAAAGTTGGGGCATGAGCTGTTGATACACGGGTAGATATACTGCGTAATCGTTTCGAAGTACGTTTGACAAAGACACATCGAGAGAGAGGAGACGACCAAGAAACTCGCCGTTTGAATAACATGGTTTCCTAAAACTGCGCGTACATGGGAAGAAGAAAGCCACTGGCATTGATTGCTCTTGAATTCTCGTTTGTGGCGAAGCGATGCATACGCGCGCATTTTGCGACCATCATCGATGGTCACCGGCCGCAGCCGAGGGCGCCGAGTCGGACCGAAGCCAATAGAAGTCGACGCCACCGAACGGAGCCGAAAGAAGCCGAACGATGGCTCGCGAGATCGAGTGCCGCCGGAGACGCTCGAGGGCATCCGAGTTCGGTCGAAGATCGACGAGCGGCCTCGAGTTCCGTGTGTCGAGTGTTCGTTGCTGTTCGGTTGGTGCGCCTCGACAGAGCGAAATCGCATAAAATGGAAACAGAGTTTTGCTGCGAGGTGGAGGTTGGTCGTTGAAGAAACGTGAACATGGGAAGGTCCAAGTTCCCCGGAAAGCCGCCCAAGACGGTCACCAGGAAGCGAATCAAAGTACTCGGGCGGCCCGAAGCGACCCAAAGCGATTCCGTAACCGTCGCCGAGAACATCTACTACGGACTTTCCCTGTTCAACGAAACATTCGGTGACAACGAAAAGGTAATGTTATCCTTGATTCGCGCCTGGCGAACACGCCGCGGAGTCCTCGCAGATATCAAGCGACGCAAGTTGCGCCAATGCGACTCGGCATCCTGGCGAACGCATCGCGAGCGTCGCGAGCGTCCCAGGGACGCATACGGCGCCGATTCGATCGCTACAGCGACTTTGAAGGCTCACTGTCCGTTGAAGGTTAATCTTTCGAGAGACTGGCAGTCTCGTCCAGTGCCAGATACGTAGTATAAATTTTCTTATACTTTAGAGCACCGTTCGATGTTATTTTGACAAGACTTTGTCTCGTTGTGGATTTACTTTCCTCTTCGTTTGCACGTTCACTTTCTATTGTATTTCAGGAACATCCACCGTTTCATGGCTTCAGCAGCAAAGAGGCTAAACTTTCTGTGTCTTACGTACAGACTCAACGGCGCGACACGGAGAACACTGTTGCCGGTGCTAGTCCTGCTACGAATAAAAAACCCTGTGACAAAAATGATGCAGTGGAAGATAAGAATTGCTCGGATATCGAGAACCATAAAGAAGCCCCGTGTAAGGAAAGTGTTTTGGAACAGCAGAAGGATGCCAGCAAAAACGAGTTAAAGACACTATCGTTCGATGATACCAGTGCGGTTAGTGGAAGACAAGAAAAGAAGAATGAAAACAGAGGATTCTCCAATTTGATAAAAACTCCTGTGTTAAAGTCTGTGAATAATATTTTGGATCGGCACCAACGTACCAGGCATTTGAGAAACAGCACCGCCAAGCGTTTGTTACAACGAGCTAAATCTAGTAGCAACAATACCACTCGCAATATTACGGTCCAGACTGGTGATAAAACTGGCACTGTAAGGAAATTTGTTCTACCTGTGCGTAGTGCGCATTCTTCGAGGGTCATCAAGCCAAACAAAAGATTTATTGAAGAATTAGAGGAAATTTCTAATGCAGAGCATAGCGAAAATGAGCATGGAAAGTACGGGAAAAAGGCAAGAATCGCATCAGGGAAACTTTCCCATCAGGAATTAAAAGACGAAGAAGAAAATGTTGGCTTAATGAATGCAAAATTTTCTGGGAAGGATGGTAAAAGATGTAAGAAGGCTATTCGACTCGATTCTCAAATTTTGAATGAAACCCTGAAAAATGATGAAAAACCATCAAATTCTGTACAAGACGCACAAGTATCAAAAGATTTTCAAAATGAGCCTAAAAAATCACAAAATGTACCAAGCAAATTTAAAACACCAAACAGGACCGCTCAAAATATTAATAATGTCCGAGATGTGTTAATAAAAACAATGGCTTCAGATGATACAGCTCAAAATGTAAAGATAAATGTCTCAACGAATCATAAACAGATTTCTATTCCTATAAAAGTTCTTCCTGATTCTAATGTTCCCAGTATGGAGTCTTCCAGAGTTCAGACAAGATCCGGAACTCTCAGCGAAGCACCTAATTTCCCAAATTCTGAGATAAATATTAAGGCACCATTAGAAATTGATCAATCGGTACACCTTGAGAGTTTAAAATCAAACGAGGGTGAAAGTAACAGGAATGCATTAAATGGCATTGAAAAGAACGATAACGAAGGATCCAGTATCACGGATTGTCCGGATAACATTGATGCGGAAAGTACATTGTCTGAAAATGGCAGTGATCACGGTGATCCTAACGAGGATGAGCAATCCGATTGGGCAGGTATTAAATTAAATGGAGGGAAAGTAATTTTGAGGAAAGCAAGATTAAAATTAGATAATAAAAACTCGAGAGGAACCGAAGGTCCATTTTCAACTACAAATACTTACGGTAGTCCAAATGCTACTTCTATCTCTGGTAAGTACTATATTTCCTTATTTGTTATTTATGTTTGGTACCCATAATCACCTAAATTGTCTCATATTTTTCTACGTGGCCTAAAAAGTGTCGTTATTTCAGGATTGGCAGGAACCGTGAAGTGTGGAGTTTGTGGTGCCGTACGATTTTACAGGTTTATGAAACAAGCGAGGAAATTTGGTATACACAGCTGCGACTCGTGTCGAAAATTCATTAGTAAGATGATTAAACGCCAAGCTTGCGCCAAATCAACAACCAGTACTCTTCCGATACTTCAGTGTCACAAAGGCGATGGATTATGTCTAGTACCACCTGTTGTTAAGACTCAGCAGTGGAACCTTATGAGATGCGTTTATAAAGCTAGATGTCCAGCATGTTGGCTCAAAATGTGTATAAAGTGTTACAACATTCCTGCTGCTTTGAAGGCGGGATTGAATGCCTTATTGCCGCCCTTAATGAGGGAGACCGTACCCACTTCGTTACTATTGAGACAAGATGACGGTGATGGGCAAGCACAAAAGTTAGGCTGTAAAATGGGTTGGCCTGCCGAGGAAAGCGTGGAAAGAAATTTATTCAAGTCCGCAATGAGCTGGAATGGTATGGAAATTGGTTCGAAAGTAAATTATCAAAATACTACCCGGGAATTTCTAGGCAAGAAGTTAGAAAAGTGTAAGTACAACTTTACTTTATCCGATGATATATTGACGATGCGCGTCAAAGTTGTATTTTTATATTTAATTTATTTCATTGCAGTCAATTACCCGATCCCAGTAACACCTAGTAAAAAACGGAAAAAGGATAACGGAATAAAGGTCCGGAAGAAAGTGAAAAGCCCTCTTGTTTTTGTTCCTGTAAATCAGTGTACGCAACCTCCCAGACAGCGAGTCGAGTTAAGAGGACCCCGAGTCAAACATGTCTGCAGAAGTGCTAGTGTTGCTCTCGGTCAGCCAATCGCGACGTTTCCTTGCGCGGATGGCAAGGAAGAGAACGATCCTACTAAGAACATTCCGAAGGTGCAACGAGACGACGAAAAGCCAGGAAAAAAGGATGAGGCTTCGAAGGATTCAAAAGAACCGCAAAAAAATAATCACGAAAACGACACAAACTTTATCATGAATACGGTACAACAATCTTATCCCAAACGGAGTAAATCGCAATCTCAGTCGATTTTAGCGCCAAACCTTCCCACGGTGAGCTTTTCAATTTCTGTCGCTTCGCCTACAAATAGATTTCAAAACGACTAATTTCACCTTCAATTGCAGACACGTTCTTTATCAAAGCCTTCGATGGATACTATACACACCCTGTCAATAGATTTTTGGGAGCAATACGACCCGGCAGAAGTCGGAACCAAAGGTTTCGCTCTAATTGGCTCGGAACTCTTTCACATTCCTGCTGTTTGCTATCTCTGCGGTAGCGCTGGGAAGGAACCCGTAAGCTAATTTTTCCAAGAGGAATAATGTCGGTTGACTCTATCGTAGGATTTAGTAAATAATCGTAATTATCTTTGCAGCTTATACACTGTCAATGTTGTTGCGAGCCGTACCACGTCTTCTGTTTAGAGCCAAGCGAGTGGAGCGCTTGCGCTCAGTCTAATTGGTCCTGTCCTCGCTGTACGGTATGTCAAACGTGTCATCTTAGAGCGGGTCCAAAATTGTCGTGCATCCGCTGTCGACAGTCTTTCCATCACTCTTGCCTATCCAAATCCGGCGTAAGTGCGAGACTCTATAGTCCCGACAGACCATATGTATGCCAGAGCTGCATAAAATGCAAAAGTTGCGGCAGCGAGGGAGTGAGCGTTCACGTTGGTAATTTGCCCCTGTGCTCGATGTGCTTCAAACTGAGGCAACGCGGTAACTACTGTCCCCTCTGTCAGAGATGCTACAACGAAAATGACTTCGATACGAAGGTGAGTAGCGACGGTGACAGTGACAGATATTTTATCGTTTTCCTAATATATTAATTTCGACTCTACTTTGGTTTCTCAGATGATGGAGTGCAACGAATGTTCCTGTTGGGTGCATGCACGCTGCGAGGGGCTATCGGACGAACGCTACCAAGTTCTGAGTTACCTCCCAGATTCCATCGAGTTCACCTGTCGTCAGTGCTCCCCGGATCCTGCGTCAATTTGGAGGAACGCCATAGAAGCCGAACTGAAGTCTGGCTTTATAGCGGTGATAAAGGCCTTAAGTAAAAATCGCAAGACTTGCGCGGCGCTCAAATGGAGCCCCAGGAAGGAATGCCTCTGCAGACCGGTCTCGAGCGTCAGAAAGCTCGACTTTTCTGACGAGAAAGTCGATGCCGATGTTCCAAAAGAACTCCCGATGTTGGAAGAGACGGAGGACTGTAACGGCGACAAGCTTACCGATATCGATGCCGGAGTAACCGCTAGCATAAAACTGGAGATTTTGACTAAATCTGAAATCGACATGGATGAACAAAATATGGATATTCCAAGGAGAGGTCTGAGACGTCCTAGGCAAAAATTTCATTTGAAGGACGCAAGGATGAAGAATTGCATTTCGCGGGAATGTTTATCCGGCGAAGGAAAGGACGTCTTCAATCAGGAGTCCGTAAGTGCAAGCGATGGGAAGGAGTGCACCTGTTCGGATCAGCAGATCATAGCGAGACCATCGCCGACGTTGATGTCCGTAAAGCGAAAGGTCAGCGGAAACGAATACGGATCTCTGTCGCAATTTCACTGTGACATGGAGCACGTCATAAATCGCGCCGGCGCACAGGACCTTATGGAGGCTTATCGCAAGACCTTGAAGGAAGTGTTTCCGTGGTTCGACCCGACGCACTCTAAAATCACCCCCGGGACCGATGGCATGACAACTCCGACTAAGGAGGTGCACTCCAAAACGAACTCCGTTACGATGAAGCTGGACGATTCCATTCTGGAAACGTGGAAAGAAGAGGTGCTGAAGGTGCCCAAGGCCATCGCCATTAAGGCCTGTAACCTGTATTCCAACATCCACGTCGAGGATAGCAGAACGTGTTGTCTGTGCAAGGGTTTAGGGGACGGATACGAGATGAAGGAAGGTCGCCTCCTGTATTGTGGTCAAAACGAGTGGGTGCACGCAAATTGTGCCCTGTGGTCGAACGAAGTATTCGAGGAAATCGATGGATCCTTGCAGAACGTCCACAGCGCCATTTCGAGAGGTCGACTGATCAGGTGCACCGAATGCGGCAAGAAGGGCGCCAGTGTCGGCTGCTGTTCGAGGAATTGCAACAGTACTTTCCATTATCCCTGCGCGAGAGCCATCGGCCTGGCCTTCAACGACGACAAAACAGTATTTTGTTCTTTGCATTTAGCTAATTGCGCCGAAAGGACCCCGCAGAGCGAGACGGATTTCGGGTTGAAGAGACCCGTGTACGTCGAGCTGGATCGTAAGAAGAAAAAGTACGTGGAGCCTAATAAGGTCAAAGCGATGATCGGTTCGCTGACCATTGACTGTTTGGGAACGGTCGTGCCGCAGTTCTCCGATACGCCGGAGAAGATCATACCCAGCGACTACAAGTGCTCCAGGCTATACTGGTCCACGGTGAATCCTCTGAAGATCGTCAAGTATTACATTCGAACCTACGTTCAAGTTTACGTCCCGGACGTCTCCCCTGGATTAGAGAATAACTGCACTATCGACCATTCCAAGGAACGGGAGAGAGAAGAAATACTGGACCGACAGAAGCTGGAACATTTGGCCGCGAAGCAAACGTTGGACGCTCTAGTGGACGCGGTCTGCAGCAGAGAGGTCGACGAGACTCTGGCCGAGCAGAATAACACGGATCTACTTCCCCCCGAGCTGGAGGAGGCGATCTTCGAAGACCTACCCCACGACCTGCTGGACGGCATCTTTATGCAAGATATATTCCCGAAGATGTCGTACGAAGACTTCTTGGCCATGGATTTGAAGAGTGACAACGTGTTCGGGACCGACTTGCTCAAGGATGATATTCTACCCTCGGAAGTGGAGGAGATCATCGCACCCCCCGAGAGCAAGGTCCCAAAGACCGACCCGTCCATGCCGGAGTTGGGCACTCAAAGCGACTTCTGGTCTCACCTAGAGGCCAAAAGCACCGTCCAAGACTTCGTGGACGACCTCTTCAGTTCCAAGCACCAGAAGCTCGGAGGCAGGGAACTGAAAAGGTCCAAGTCCGAGGTCATGCCGAACAACTCCCTCGTGTCCAGTCAGAGGCACCACCAACGTTCCTGCAGTTTGACGTGGAGTTGCAAGTTGGACGGGCCGAACATGAAGAGAAGGAAGTTGCCGAGAAGTTCCGGAACGAGGCCAGGGGACGGGAACGTCACGTTGATGGACACGCAGACGGAACGTCCACCCGTGTTTCACGAGCTGAGGATTCCGGAGAGCATCATGGTGACGGTGGGTCGAGCGAACACTCCGGGTCTGATTTCGGAGTCCATGCGAGAGTTGAAGTACTGTATCGACGACTCGAACGGGATCAATCGCCGCGCCCTGCAGCCGAGAGACGACGGCAAGGAACACAAGAGGCTCTTCTGGCACCCGAGGCAACAACCACGGATCCTTCAGGTGGACGGAACGGTCGATCCTGGCAGCGCCAGCGAGTGCAGCTCGCCCGAGTACAACGTCGAGGACAGGCTGTCCGACCTGGACAGGGCGAGGTCTCACGGGCTTCCACGTTTGGATGGCATTGACGACGAGCCCCCACGTGGTGTCATGAACGGCGGCATCCGAACGCAGGCGGTTTCTTCGCGACCCTCACCTTTGAAGGAAGGGCCAGGGTTAGGAGACGTCGGCAAACCTCACGACTCGAGGGCTCGAGAAGGAGTCAACGACGCCGACGGAGAATCCAGCATCGCGCCCGTAAAGTACGATCCCATGAAAATGAACTCAGCAATGGGCCGAAACCAGAGATGCACCCTGACGATACCTCAGCTAGACGGCGCGGATGACATATCTAGCGACGACGAGTGCACGTCGCCCCAGCCGTTCGCCGAATGCAAAGTGACGTCAATTCCGAAGCACGTTCCGGAGATGGACCCTGCCGATGGGCCGGTGACCTGTAAACGATGTCAATGCACGTACAGGACCCAGGACAGCTACGACCGGCACTTGGCAACCTGCGACATCATGACGACGAGCGACAGCGACTCCGAGACCATGGACAACAAGCTGGCGTCTCCGGATTCCAGGTTCTCCCCCAGCGTGGGCTCGGTGTCTCCACAATTCGTGACCATGTCGCCGTCCGAGGGCCACGCTCTCTCCTCCGAGTACCCAGATCTGCAGGCCACGTCGCCGCTGGAGGCGTCGGTGCCCTCCCCTCATCCCGGCATCCAGATCGAGCCGATCGCCCAGGCGTTGATCGCCCCGCAGATCCACACCCACGCGACCGTGGAAACCGTCCATCAAACGGTGTTGACGTCCAACGACGTGATCGTGCAAACACAGTACACGAGAACGACGACGACCTTGCCGAACACCACGGTGCTACCGCAGGAGAGCTCGGTGCAGATCACCGAGATAACGGACGCGCCGTCCCTCTGCAGCGACTCCGGCCTCCAGCGGTCGAATCCCGCTGCGAGCGTTCCGCTGACCATCCCGGAGGGGATCAACGCCCCGTCCACCCCGAGCCCCCAAGTCTCGCCCACGTTTTCGTCGACCGGGGTGCAAACCGCAACGAACGAGTCTCCGCAGTCGATGCAATCTCCGAAGGCGGCGAAGCCCAGATCCCCCAGGGCTCCCAGGCCCAGGGCGAAGGGCATCAAGCCGCACCTCCTGAAGAGCCCGGCGCAGGCTCACCCGGGTCACGTGAGGTTCCAGCCGATGCAGAGCGCCACTCCGGTGATACAGCTGCAGCAGGCTCAACGACCGGCCGGGCCGACGGTGATCCTGCAGCAGGTGGCCTCGCCGAACATCCTCTCGGCCTACGTGGAGACCCTGCAACAGCAGTCGGGCCAACAGAACCTGCAGTACATAGCCGCGATAGGGGGACAGCACGAGGCAGGATTCAAGCCGCAGTTTATTGCGGCGAACCAGATAGTACCTGGGGCCTACATCCAGGCGTCCTCGGACAACCTGCTGGCCCTGCAGAACGGGGGTATCTCGGTGCTGCCCGGCGTCCAGATAGCCCAGCCGCAGCCCACGGTCCTTGGGACCATCATTCAGCAGCAGCCCGGCGCGATCCAGTGCGGCGTCATCTCGTCGGAGCAGCTGGTCCTGAGCTCGACGCCCACCCTGGAGATGTTCACGGATTCGACGGGCAGCATGTTCGTCTCGAGTCAGCCGATGTACTACGGGCTGGAGACGATCGTCAGCAACACGGTCATGTCCTCCAGCCAGTTCATGGCCGGGGCTGTGCCGCAGGTGCTGGCCAGCAGTTACCAGACGACCACCCAGGTCTTCCAGGCCTCGAAGCTGATGGAGCCCATCGTCGACGTGCAAGCCGTGTCCGCCGTGCCCGGGGTGCCGGCGGTACCCACGGTACCGACCGTACAGGCTGTGCAGAACGTCCCCGGGGTGCAGCCCGTGCAGAACGTGCCCGCGGTACCGTCGATACAGACCGTGCCCGGAGTGCAGCCGGTGCAGAGCCTGCCCGGGGTGCAATCTGGCGTGCAGGTTCAGAGCGTGGCCGGCATGCAGGCGGTGCAAGGCGTCCCCGGGGTGCAATCCGTGCAGAGCGTCACCGGCGCGCAGGGGATCCGCAACCTGTCAGGGGTGCAAGCCGTGCCGGCCGTGCCCCCGGGGCAGAACGTGCCCACGGTGCAGCCGGTGCAGGGTCTACCCGGCGTGCAGGCGGTCCAGAGCGTTCGCGGCGTGACGAACCAACACGCGGGGTACATCCTGATGAACCAGCAGCCCGCTCCGGCGCCGGAGCCGAAGCGAGTGGCGGCGCCCAGGGTGACCATGCAGCCGCCGCCCGAGCAGCAGACTTACGCGTCCATCGGCTGCGACGCCGTCCCTCCTCCCGCACCCTGCCGACCCTCGGTGGAGGCCGTTCGGCCCGTTCGCGTGCCTCCGGAAGCCTCCCTCGTCAGCTCGGGACCCACGACGACGTCCCCGAAGCCGCTGCAGCACGCCACTCCGACGATCCCCCGGGTGGCCGTCAGGCCCAGCCCCGCCTCCCACGCAACGCCTCACGTGACCGCCCACGTGACATCCCATGTAACGCCTCACGCGACCTCCCACGTGACCGCCACCCCGCACCAGCTGCATCCCCCGTGGAAGGTGAGCGAGGCTCTCTTCGGCGCCGAACAGCCGGTCGACGGCGGCGCGAGGCCTTACTTCGACTCGAAGCACGTCTCCGAGAACACCAGCATGATCAAGCCTAGCATATCATCGAAGATACCCCCCTTGCCCGACCATTGCATCACGCAGAGGAACGTAGATGTAAATAAGTTAAGCCACGATGTAAATATTGTGCATAATAGTTATAGTAATATAATGCCGAGCGGGAACGCGGGGAGCGTCAACGGCAACGGCGCCAACGCGAACGTCAGCGTGGCGAACAAGATCTCGATGCCGATGAGCAACGCCCCGACGAGTCGGCCGATGAACCGGGTCCTGCCGATGCAGGCGGTCGCGCCTAAGCAAGACTCGCTCGAGCCCGTCGAGAAGCCCGACATCGTCGAGGAGCCGCTCAAACCCGAGGCCGAGTCACCCAAGGAGGAGCTGGAGGACTCCAAGAAGCGGATCGTCGAGATCGCGGACCCGGTCAAGAGAGTCGAGGTCGAGGCCGACGAGGTCCCGGCCGAGGCGGTCAAGTTCAGCGCGGAGGACATCGAGCGCGTCAAGGAGAACCTGAAGCTCGAGCTGGAGAAGGAGAAGATCACCTCGCCGAACGCCTCGCTGAAGATCGTCCTCCAGAAACAGCTGCAGGATGGCTCGTACAAGATCACGCATAACATGAAGGCGGCTGCCCAGAACAAGAAGATGCCGCAGGTCACGTCGGTGGAGGTTCTCCCGCCGAAGCAGACCTCGCAGGCGACCACCTTGCAGCTGCTGCCGCTCAAGACCTTCACCCTGAAGGCGAACAAGGTGGAGGAGAGGCCCAAACCGACCAGTCCAGAGAGCAAGGAGACGAGGGAGGTCAAGGAGAACAAGGTGAGCCAAGTGAACCTCGTCAAGACGAAGACGCCGCCCGTGGCCGTGAAGAAACCCAGGTTCGCCGCGAAGGCCCATAAGCCCGAGAAGAACGACCCTCCGATCCCGAGGGCGCCGAAGAAGTGCGCCACGGGACCCAGCTTGATGTACGAGATTAAGTCCCAGGACGGATTCACGCACACCGCTTCTTCCATGTCCGAGATTTGGGACACGGTCTTCAAGGCCGTTCAGGCTGCCAGGAGGGCCCACAACCTGCCCCCGCTGCCGCACAACCCTCTGACGGAGAACCTCGGACTGGACAACAACGCCACCGTGTATCTCGTCGAGCAGCTGCCCGGCGTCAACCGGTGCACCAAGTACAAGCCACGGTTCCACGACCTGGCACCTCCGAAACCTGGGGAACTGGAGAACGACCTCCTGGCCGAGTGCGACAACGGAGCCGCTCGCGCGGAGCCGTTCAAGGGACGCAAGGTTCACGACATGTTCAGCTGGCTGGCGTCGAGGCATCGACAGCAGCCCAAAATGGTGCCGATGACGGAGACGGAGTCGAGGTATCCTTGAGTGTTTTTCTATTTCATACTTTTTTCATCCCCAATCCGACACGGTGGCTCGCGATTCGCGGTAGAAAATGGCTCACGTAACGTTTTACCGTAGAAGGACGGCCAGCACGAACCTACCGATGGCAATGAGATTCAGAATCCTGAAAGAAACGTCGAAGGAGTCGGTAGGCGTCTACCACTCGCACATTCACGGAAGAGGTCTGTTTTGCCTGAGGGACATCGAGGCCGGGGAGATGGTGATCGAATATGCAGGAGAGGTAGGACGCGACCGAAGCAGCGATGAATATGAAGTTTCGACGAGGCGACTGCGCGCGATTTGCGCCTCCTAGGACCGCCTACATCCCCGTGCTTTTCTTTCAGGTTATTCGAGCTTCCTTGACGGACAAGCGGGAAAAGTATTACGACAGCAAAAACATCGGCTGCTACATGTTCAAAATTGACGATCACCTGGTCGTCGACGCCACCATGAAGGGGAACGCGGCGAGGTTCATCAACCACTCGTGCGAGGTAATTTTATCGACGATTCTTAGGAACCGCATCCAGGGCGAAGTTTCTTTGGCTTAACCATCGATTTCGAACGTTCCAGCCTAACTGCTACTCCCGGGTGGTGGACATCCTGGGCAAGAAGCACATCCTGATCTTCGCCCTGCGTCGCATCGTCCAGGGGGAAGAACTGACCTACGACTACAAGTTCCCCTTCGAGGACATCAAGATCCCGTGTACCTGCGGCTCGCGCAGGTGTCGCAAATACCTCAACTGAGACTGCTTCTGTACGCATAACGGAGGAAGGAAGAAGGAGAGCCGCATTGGGCGGAGAAGGAAATACGTGTGTGCTATTATTACGTGCGCTTACGGCGTAGGATTCGTTTTATCGAACGTCACTTTGATTTTTAATCGTCAAACTATTTTCCGAGACACCGCTGCTTTTTACCGCTACTAACGGATGGCATAGCCGTACTTTACGAGGCCCCGAGGTGCACGGGCCCCGGGGCGCGCTTTTAAAAAATTCGTTTAAGGAATACTTAACCCAGAGCAATAACGATTCAATGTGTCCCGCTTTCGTGCTTCGAGAGGAAGAAAGAGGGAGGGAGGAAGGAAGAGAGTGTCCTTTCCGTGCGACGCGCGACCGCGTCCCTTCGAGAATGCAATCCGCACGCCTGCGCTTTCGCGCACGGCTTCTAGACTAACCTAGTATTGTCCACTGTCGAGGCTTACTCCGCGAGTACTTTCGCGCTTTACGCTAAACTTGGACGATTCGCCGTAGACGCGTTTTATTATATATATATTATATATATTTTTTTTTTATTAACCTTACCGAGTTGCATTCTGTAGATCGGCTCGATGGACCCCGAGTGACCGTACACCGTATAAAGTGCATAATACGCGAACGACGTCTCACACGTTGGATTCGATCTAAGTCACGGGTTAACGAAAACTATTCAAAGGGGGGGAATAACGATAGGATGCGCCTTTACGGCGAGGTCTCCGTTTAATCGGGTAAACGGCGATTCTGGTCCAGGGTTTAGTGTACGGCGTACGATTCACTTTGCAACCGTTCGTGTCCGTTGTAGGGCCAGGTTTCGAACTCTCCTGTAAAATATTGTAATTGTTAGGCTACATAGACATTGTCTCGGTGTAAGTAAATAGCCAGTTTTAACCCCTTAAGGTATAGGAGCATAGACCCTAAGGAGAGAGATAGAGAATGGCAAGAAGAGGCGGCCGCCCGGGGACTCCGGGAGGCCGCTCGAGGGCGCACCTTCCTCGACAGAGACCGCCTCGACGACTCTCGCGACGGCGACCCTTCGGTTCCGTCTCTTTTTATACGCCTAAGTCCTTTCTTTTCTCTCCTTTTACGCGACGTCCCTTTACGACGTCCCCGTAACGTGCTTCCTTTCCGGGCGCGACACGGCTACGCGGTTTGTCCTCTGCCCGCGAATCATTGTTTATCCTTTAAAAGGGTTACGGAGAACTTTCCCACGGTGAAGGTTTCCGGGGGCAAACGTAGCGAGTGTCGCGATCGCGGATCGTGTAGGTCGCGCGACTCCTCGAGAGGAATCTTTGCCTTAAGTATCTTGAGTGCATTGGCGTTTTAGCCCGGTGATAGATATAGAAGTGTACCTTTTAGGCCCTTTAGGCCCACCCGAGACACGCCCTCGGACCGTTTTAACCGTATTTACCTAGATTTCTTGGCGAACGAACGGTCGGTCTCTGTCGAGGCAGGTCCGCCTCACATCTGGTGCTCTATGGACACCGTCAAGTGCACTTTTCACGAAAAAATGGCCTAGAGTAAGAGATAGTAGGTTGCGGCTGAAGTGTTTGATAATAATAAGGCGAGAGGCGTTATACGAAGATTATCGATTGCGAATTATTTAACGAAGTAATATAAGCGAGAGAGAAAGAGAGAAAGAGAGAGAGAGAGAGAAAGAGAGCGCGCGCAAGAGAGAGATAGTTGTGGATAAATGATGGCGGGAACATTATTTGGGCACGCAATAACGTCGGGCGTGCTGCGTCTTAATCGGCCTGGTTTGGTACAAAATATGTATGATGAGTTGTAAAAAGTCGTATAAACAAAAAAGAAGGGGGGTCGGGGAATGCGAAGAAGAAAAAAAAGAGAGAAAAAAAATGGAAACTTGTTCTGGTCACGAGAAATTGCCATTTTTTAGCTATTTCGAGTCTTATATATTTTTTTTGTCAATCTTCTCTTTTTATTATTATTTTTTTTAATTATTTTTTTTTTTCTTTTGTTCTTTTCGTAATGCTGTAATTACCGGTAAATTAAGAATTATTATTCGAGGACGAATGTTGTTAATATAATGATAATTAATTTTAATCTTGTAAAGACGAAACGAAGATACGACGTAAGGAAGGTAACGATTTTACTTTGAAAATATAATAGCGATGTTAGATATTTTATTGATATTTATTGATATGCGAACGGCGGTCTCGAGATCGACGCGCGGAGATATTTAATGAATTTAACGGAGACACCGGGACGGACGGGCGAGACGGCGCTGTTAGCGCTTAACTTTTCGAGATCGGCGACGGTTCGAGGACGCGCGTCGTCTCTCGTTTTAGCGGATCACGACGCGGCGCGGATATCAACGAATTCTTATCAAGCGGGTTCCGGCTCGGCGAGCGACGATTAGCCCTTCGGGCTCGTTCGCCTTGCGCGGAGTTTAGGAGGGAGTTTACGAGGGACGGGTACGTCGCACGCGAGACGCTAACGGGTACCCGGTGAACCGAGCGTTTCCGAAAGGTTGTCCAACGCGTAACGCATGGCTGTGTAGAATAGTTTCTCGCGTTTCCCGGAGGCTGGTGCAAGAACGCGTCCTCGGCTGTCCCGAGTGAACCGTCGACCGGCGCTTCCTTGCACCGGCCGCGAGAAGCGAGCGATTGATCTCGTCGGCGAGCTCTCCTACCTGGGGAGAGGCTGGGACTCTCGCGCGAGAGATGCGACTGTAAGCGCCTGTAAGAACCGATCCAGTAATTGTACGTAAACGGTGCGCCAGGCCGTTGAACCACGCAATACGCGTACCGCACGTCGAGCGGAAACGCCGAGTACCTCCTCTCGAGGAGTCCGGTCGAGCGTCTCGCGTTCACCGGGTGGACCGGTGCGGACCACTCGCAGGGAATTATCCGGGGCAACCGTATCTTGGACTTGTTTTAACGTACCTACTTCTAGAGCCCTAGACGACGAATCGCGAGAAACGGGACAAAGTGGGGTATTAATATACGCGCACGGCCGCGTACTTAGGGTACGTACCATGCGTGCGCCCGACGCGATTAGCTCCAGCTCGTTCCTCGGGAATACGGGAGGCGCTTTCTTCCGTTTCTCGCCGTCACCTTTGCGTAGCGTGTAACAGGAGAGAGAGAGAGCATTTTAGTATTACCGCATCAGCCTTCTCACGTTTATTATTAATTATGTTAACGCACCAAGCATCACCCAGTCGCTCGCTTTTCCGTGTTTCGACTACGTTTAAGCACCGTTCGTTCCCCGAGGCCGCTCGGAAGGTACTGCGTGCGCGGATAATCGAGAAGCGTATCTCCTCGGAGAAGAGGAGACCTCGAGTAGAAGGAGGAGCGCGGGTCTCGCCCTGGCCGAGGACGAGGTCGCGCTCGCTCGAGGAATGGATTACTAAAAGGGATAAGGGATTATTAATATTATTAACAAACTCGAGGGCGAGAGGAGAGAAAGAGAGAGAGAGAGAGAGAGCGAGAGAGAGGATGGGAAATTTGAGAGAAAATCGTCTGTGATTGCCAGTCATAATAATCTTTAGGTCGACATATTTTTTAGAGGATATTTTTTAGAAAATCACAAAATTTACGATATACCCCATATTATTGATACGATATTCGATCGAACGCGCGCTGCGCACGACGTCGCAGCCGGAATTCGAGGTGTGCGAGGGAAAGAAAGAAGGAAGGAAGGAAATTAATAAGAGAGACGGAAAGAACGAGGGCCGAGAAAACGAGGGAGAGAAAGTTGCAAACTGTTTATTAGCGTTACGACTAGTTGAGATCGATGGCTGTTGTAAAATATTCAGTGTTCGGACAGATAATTATTGAAAACTATTTATAACAACTAATGTCGAGATATAATATTACGATATATCGCATATTAGCTGCGCTCTTAACCCCTTGCGTTTGATATTCGTGGACGCGCTCGTCGCGGGATCGCAGGCGGGGAGGGGAGGGGAGGGGACCTCCGATCGATCGGCGCTCTATCGAGATCTTCCCATCCGGGACACGTCCGGAACGCGTCCGGAACCGACCGACGCGGGAAACGGCGAACGCTTTGCCCAGAGTATTTGCCTGCAAAATCCATTGTTATCGGTCCGTCTACTTACCGTACGGAAGGAAAGGTGGAATGGGAGACGGAGAAAGGGAGGGAGGAAGAGAGAGAGAGAGAGAGACGAAGTAATCGTAACATTAACCCGAAGATATTACGCGTACCGCATAGAGAGGACACTTAGCCGCTTTCATCATTTACGAACACGACACACACGTACACTCTCACACTTGCGCCCATGTTTTGTAATTAAATGTTTTGTTAGTATTATATGAGAAATTAACAAAATAAATCACAAGTGGAAAGATCAACGGAGTCTGCGTATGTTATTTCGAGAGCCGTTGCGTCTTCTCGTTTATCCTTTCCTGGCGAAATAGGCATCGCGGGGACCAGGACCAGGATACGAGGTCTCGAGGACATTTTCGAATCTCGTAACGTACCTCGCGATTATCTCGGCCCACGTTGCGCGGAAAGATATGCGTTCGATGCACGCGCGGGTCGCCAAGGAAGCGGGCCGAAATTCGCGAAATTTTCGGCGCTATCCGACGCGCCTATCGAAACGGTTAATCGATGAATAATATCCACGCCTGAGACGTGCGGCTGAGACCCCGGATCTACGCTCGTCCGCGCTGGTCGAATGCCCAGGAAATTCTTGACAAGAGGTTTTACGGCAATATACATATACGCGTCCGCAAATGACTTCCCGGCGGACTCCTGTTGCACGGACAAGCCGATCGAGACAGCTCTCGTTCTTTCGGCGTTCCGTTAGCCCCAGGCGGAGCCACGGGCAAGCATAAGAGCGTTTTATGTATCATACGTCCACGATATTGGACCGCGCGAGGTGGGCCGTGTTTAAAAAAAAGGAGGGAATTTTCCTCGGAATCGGCTTCGTTTTCCGTTGATTCCCGTGGATCGGGCGCCGTCGGGGGAGCCTGGAAGCGTGGTCCCCCCTCCCCGGGCTCGCCCCCCTCCCTCGACGCGGTCTCCCACCCCGGAGCCGGCCGGTGGACGGTGTTAGTCACCTCAAGGACGTTCGCTGTAATTGGGATAGGTCGGATAGACGTGGAGCCCGCGTGCGCCGGTGCGTGCGTTCTGTGTAAATGGCGCTCGTCGCGAGGGTCTCGGCTGCGCGGAGCGCAGCGACGACGGGCCGCGAGTCGACGTGAGGCGCGTCGTTGCTCGGCGTCGCGGTGGTTCCGGAGTGCTCGGAGTGGCCGGGGTCGACGGGGGACGAGCGTCGGGGGTTCGGGGTTTCTCGCCTCGCCTCGAGCTGCCTCGAGCGGAGCGCCGCCGGAACGAGCCGAGGAGCGGCGGAGAGGGCCGAGCGCTGCCGACGCCAGCGCCGCCGCGGGACGGGACGGAGACCAGTCCTCGCCTTTGTTCGGACTCGCGTCGGTCCTCGGCTACAGGTAAACGCAGTACCGTATTTACGCTCCGAGCGCCCGCGGTCGAGCGGACGCCGGCCGGAGCGAGGTTATGTCGCCGCGGCCGGGTTGACCGGATCGACCGTCCGAGTTCGTGGACTCCGGATTCGGCGTCGGGTCTCGTCGCGACGAGCATGAAGTCGCGCACGGGCCCGACCGAGTTTCGCGTCGAACCGAGTGTCGCCCCAGCGGATGGATACGACGTCGAGAAGCGGATTTTCGCACGGAAAGGTGAGACCCGCGACCCGACGCTCTCGGTCGTTCCTAACCTCGCGGACATCCCGCTCTCTTTCTCCGCGAGAGAACCACCTACTCCGCGCTCCGCCCTTTCTCCTTCCGAGTCGTCTCCTCGCCCGAGGAGAGATCCTCCGAAAGAATGCGGTCCCTGCTCGAAGAAACGCGCTCTTCTCCGAATCCACCGACGCGTCCCGACGGACGACCCGAGGCGAGAAATCCGACCCCGAACTTCTTCGGGGGCGAATAAATTATTTCATTCGCCTCGTCTCCTCCGTCGGACCTCGATCGAGGCTAAGCTACGGCTCCTGCGGGAGGTGCTCGCGTGCAGGTTCCATTAAATTCCCCGCATGCGGGCTTCGCTCGAGATCGGTCACCTCGATTCGAGTCTCGACGGTGATTTTTTATTTCGCATGTCGTTCCTGGAAACAAACCGAAAAAGTTGGAGAAGGTTCGGACGAATGAGAGCAAAGCGGGAAGCGGCACGAGCCGGAGGTTCACGGTCGGCGGGAAATCCTGCGGGAGTCGTTGACACCGACGTAGCACGGCCGGCTCGGCTCGGCCCCGACCGGCCCTCGCGTGGATCTCGAGCGGAAACCTGTTCGGCCCGAGCGCGATCCCTAGACTAAATTCCACCCGGAATCGCGACCCGCCCGCCCTGCCACCTGTCGGTCGTCGCGGGAAATTCCTAAACCCGCTCCGCTCGCGGAGAAACGCTTTCGCGATTTAACGAGCAAAGAGTTCGACCTGGGATGACGCGCCTGTCGCGTTCCACGTCGCAACGGTCACCGGTAATCGACGATTCCGACATCCGGAGATCGAACGCGATGGATCCGGCGAAAGTTGAATCGAAAGCGATCCTCGGGGTAAAGAGACTCCGCGCTCGGTCGGGGACCGTGAACTTGTCCGAGACGCTACCTCGTCTCTCGATTCGAGGTAACTCGCCGTGACGACGCGAGCCGATCGTCCCGGAACTCGAAAGCGCTTCTTCGAAGTACTCGCGTCGCACGTGACTTCCGCGAAATATCCTTAATACGCGGAGCTTTTACATCCTTAATCTTATCGATTTTTTTTTTTTCTTCGAGTACGCACATTCGATGTTTCGGCTTTCGAGAGAGATTACCCGGACGACGCGGTACGCTTCTACGTTCGTCCTTATCGTTTTCCTTCGCCTCTTTTCGAGCGCCCGCGATTCGGCGCGGACGACGTGCGCGCGCATTCGACGCGGGTTATGTCTCGTTTCCATGCGCGCGAAAAAGCGCGCGGATCGACGAGGAGTGTCTTGGAGACAACTTATTCCGCGTTCATTCCCGGTGATTGGAAATGAGGCATTATCCGCGGTACTTCGCGCCGGGGGTAAAGAGTTTCGTGGAGGGGTGAGTTATTTGAGAAGGGGGGGCACGATCGGTCGGCGACGATTATCCCGGTCGGTCTTGACGCGCGGAAGCGCTTAAAAGTGAAAGAAGCCCGAGCAAGGAGAGAATCGCCCGAAAGTGAAACGCTATGCATCCGCCCTGTTTCGTTTCGAGCCAGCCGGGGAAAGACGTATACTTTTCCCCCGATTCCACCTTTCACCGAGAGCGCTCTTTTCGAGCCGCGTTTTTGGCTTTTATATTATCATTATTCTATATTATTTCGTCATCGGTCGTATCGGAAACGTTCTAACCCTAGGCGCTCTCGCCGCGGACGAGATGGATGGTTTATGTCGGGACCGAAATTTTGAGTAATCGTTAAGGCCAAATATCGGCAGGGAGGAAAAATCGGTCCGTCCGTAGTTTCGGATAGCGTAGCGCTATCAAATGCCCGGTGGCCGTTTCGAACCGCCCGGCAGTTCCCGCTTGCGGATCCAAGATGGCGGGCGCGCATCCGCCCCGACCCGGGCCGCGGGGCGGCAGCACCGGCCGGTCGCTCCCCCGTTTCCCAATTTCCGCGCCGACGAAACGTTCCTCGGGGCGCTTCCGCGACCGCCCGGCCGCCTCGGTAGCTCGGAATTATCGCGAGGCGAAAGTCCGAGCGCGGGCAGCGGAGGGGGCGAAAAGGGCGCCATTCTATAATTAGCGGCCGAGCCCGCGTGCGCGCCCGATGGGCGAGCTCGATAATGGCGCGGCGCGCGCACCCGCGCCGAGCCGCTCTTCCGGCGGAAGCCGAGTCGCGGCAGTCGCGAGGGAGCCGCGGGGCCCCGGAGCGAGCCGCCCCTGCCGCCGCCGCCGCCGCGCGCGCGCGCGGACGCGAGAGTCACGGTTGCTAACCAGGCGAGAACCACCTGCGACGAATTCGAGAGGCGGCATATCGCGCCGAGACCGCGACCGCTCGAGAGCCGCCGAGGGTCGGGGTGGACCGGAGAGGCGACCGGGCCCTCCAGATGGCGGCCCGCTCCGATCTGTTGCTAACCGGGCTCGGGACGCGCTCCGAGAGTCGCGCCCCCTCGGAGCGCGCACCTGCGCGCACGTGCGCCGCCGCCCGCAACCGGAATGCGACCTCGCCGCGCCGGAAAAAAAAACCGGTCCCGGGGAAAATTACCTTTCCCGCGCGGCGCGAAATTTCAACGGGAACGGCCCCCGCGACGCGCCCGGACGACGGACGGAGTCGCGCGTACCTCGGTCTACTCGGGGAAAGGGTCGTCGACGGAAGTGCCCTTCGAGCGGGAGGCGGAGGGGTGCACCCGGGGAAAGCGGTCCTCGGTTATAACGGGGCACTCCGCGGTCCGGGCGCGGCCGTCCCGATCCGTTGCTAACCGGGCCGCGGGCGGCCGCTTCTTCTCCGCCGGCGCGACGCGTCCTCTTTTAATAGACCCGCGAATAGGCTTATAGACCGACGCTAGACGCGAGTCCACGGTCAATGCTTGGCAGGGGAGCGTGAATATGCGACGCGACGGTGAATGAAATATTTTCAGAATCGATACGCCGCCCCGGGGGGGAGGGGCCGCGCCGCTGAATAAACGATCGCCCCCGAGCCGAAAACGAAAACCAGGGCTCGAGACCGACGGGACGGAAGAGGCGGATTCGCCGATCGGAGACGTGAAATTTTCTGTCGCGCGAGTAGTTATTCTTCCTGGAGACGAGATCGGCCTTTTTCTTCCCCCGACGCCCGTGACGCGAGGTGACCCGATCGCGTCGCCGATACGCGGCCAATATGAAATTTGACCTTCGCGCGGATTGGAATCGCCGGGATCGTCGATGTAACCGATTCACCTCGGTTACGTAACCCCGTCCCCCCCGATATGTAAACGTCAAACTCGGGATGCGCGGGGATCGGCCTTTGGCGCGAGGCTCTACCGAGCTTTCCGGAAGTGGAGTCGCGCGCCAAAGACGGATATGGGTCGATTCTAAGCGTTCGGCACGATATCGTAACGCGCGCCTCGGGGGGACCGTTCCCTCTGGGTCCAGATCGGACAGGGTAATATCGGGTTGTCGGAAAAGTCGTGACGGATTTTCGTAACGGATGGCACAGAAGAATGCGTCTTGACCTTTCCGACAACGAAATTTTTGTCGGATCCGCTCCGGCACGGGTCCGATGCCGCGAGTCCGCGTTATCCCCGGAACTACCGAACCCGGTCGAAACGACTGATTTTAAGTGGCCCACCACGGCGAAGAGAAATCCCTCGGCAGTCCCAGCGTTAACGCGACCTCTCGTTCAAGGGGAAGGACTTCCTCCGAAACTCCTCGCTTATCGCCTCGCGTTACGTAAAACGCTGAAAAGCGGCTCGGCGCGAGTATCGCGAATTGGCGCGAGATCGTCACGCGAGTCGCGGCGGCTCTTTTCATTCATCCGGCACCCCGCGTTCGACGTTGTAACGGCAATTTATGGCCGCGTGCGCGGGGCCGGCCTTGGGAACTCGGTCGATTTCCTCGCGGCGCTCCTTCCGACGCCGAGGACGTCGTTCCGCCTTCCCGTCCCGGAGGTGGACTTGGCCGAGGCGGCGGCACGCGAGCAGAAAAAAGAATTCCGATCGGCCCCGGACTCGACTCGCGTGGCCCGCGATTAATCGGAACGATCCGGCAACGGGCCGCCGGTCGCTTAACGACAGCCAGGCGTATCAACGACGAGTCCCGATAACGCGGGATAGGGTTCGGCCGCGACGTCCGTCGGAGGCTGGAGGGACGGTCGTCTCCTCCTCGTCCTTGGAATCGGGAATTCGCGCCTCGGCCCCGGAGATATCGGTCGATCGATCGTCTGCGACCTTATTTCGGGACCCCAGGATATTCTCGTTGGACCAGGGGCTTCCGTCGAGGTGCGGCGTCGCGACGCGGACGCCCGACGGGAGGAAATCCGAGACGATTTCCGCCCGCGGCGGCCGATTCAAAGATGGCAGCCGTGACACAATGGCGGCGATAAACGGGTTGCGGAACGTCTCTCGATTATTTTCACTTTACGCCGTAAGGAGGCCCGGGCGAGGGGGGCCTCGGGGACTCCGCCGTCAAAGAGGCATCGTGCCGCGAGTTTATCGGCCGATTAGGCCGCTTAACGTTACGCCAAACGTCACTCCTCGCGGCGATAAGCCCGCGAGCGAGCTCATCGATGCTCCATCGCGGACGCGGACCTCTCCCCGACGGAGACTTCGCGGGGAAGGAGGGTCGCGGGAATTCTCTCGACCTTCCTCCGGAGGGTTTTGAACGATCGATCCTCCGTCGCGATGACGGAAATCGCTCGGTCGATCGTCTCACCCGGGCGGACGCGTCGTCCGCGTCGCGGAGGAACGATCGCGGTCGGCTCGACTCGGGCGAACTCGGCTCCACTCGGCTCGACTCGGTCTCGGTTCGCGGGCGGTAGCGGAACACTCGGTGCGTGGCTCTCGTTAAGCCCGTAGCGGAGCCTAGTTTTCTCGAGCGCGAGCCAGCTGCGATTACTCATTCAAACAAAGGACTCGAATTATTATGTACCCGAGCGATAGGCCTCTCGCTAAGGAGAGCAGATTACGATTAACTCGAAGGCGGGACGCGAATCGGGGAGCGCTCTAGCCGCGTCGGCCGAGATGCCGCGAGGTCTTCCGGATCGACGCGCCGAGGAAATCGAGGAAGTCGACCCGCGGGCCGAAGACGCGGCAAATAATTCGGGAAGCTTTCGATACACCTAAAAATTTGTGCCGGGGCTTGCGCCAATATGTAGCAGTATTTTATTCCTTTTAAAAAAATTCCCCGCGACCGATGGGCGACATGGCCGAAGGTGGCTCCACGCGTAACGATAAATCCCGCCGAGAATCGTCCCATTAAATCCCAATTTTTTTTTTTCGCAACATTCGCGCGTTAATTAAATTCGTACAAATCGACTAGCAGGAAAACGCAGGTGGGTAATTGGCTTTCGAAAGAGTAATCGATCGCAGTTCTCGATCTCTCGTCCCGGTCGGGGGGAATTTTCTCGGTGGACAGGTGGAATCCGTCAGGTAGTTTCCCAGGAGTTTCCGATGCCCGCGGCAGGCTTACGGGGCCTCCTAGAGTTTTAAGCAGTGATTCGCGCAATTTTATTTACCCGGTGGAGAGTCGGGCAGTAATTGACTTTCGCAACCCCGCGTCCCGTCCGGAAAATCGGGGCGGGATTGACGAAACGGCGCTTTTACTTTTCGCGCGGGTTTTCGGATCGCTCGAGTAGTTTCGGAGCAGCGTTTGCGTCCGCACACGCAAGAGACGTACGTCGAGTTTACGCTCGGTATCCGCGCGTTTTCCGCCGGTTATGACACCGAGAATTGCAATTGCGCGTAAGAGCAATCGCAACCGAATTGCGGCAGCCAGTCCGCCGCGAACATGGTCGGACGGCTAATCGCGAGTCGTCGGCGGTTAATTTCGTAGACAACGGTAATTCGGTCCTCCTGGGTCCCTCTGCTCTTGGAGATGTCCGGTGCCTCCTCGCGGTTCGCACGCCTCGCTCGTTATTTCCGCTCGAGCCTCTCACGCCTCGTAACCACCGTGCTCTCCTCGGAAGACTTTGCTTATACGTACGTATATAATTGAACCGTCTATTCTTACGCCTCGGGTGGTCGGATCGATCCGATGAATTTCCAACGTTGCATTGTAATTTTAGACGACCGCTCCTCGAGGGCGAGTACCGTCGAGATGTCGGCCGAGATCGCGACCGAGCGATTCCGCGTTTCTTTCGAGCCGGCAAGAAATTCCGGGTTCGCCGAATCGCGAGGGGCGCGCACCTCGCTTTTTCCGCAACGGTAATTCGCCGTTTCATCGACGACGAGTCGCGCGGTCTCGTCCGCGTAGTACTCGAAAACCGCCGCCGTTGCGTCAGTCGTTCCGTCCCGCCGATGTTACGCCAATCCGCGGCAATTACTCAGACTTTCGTAAACGAAAGTACTCTTCTCCGCGATTGCCGCACCTCCGCGACTCCGGCCTCGCACGCAGGATATCCGACGTCCTTTCCGCGCCGCGGGAGCGCCACGCTTCGGTTGGACCGCGTTTGAAATTGGCGCCTCCGGCGGCGCGCCCCGCGCACGCGCGGCTCCGGAAAGGGTGAATCAACGAGGAGCTTCGAGGTGCGCGTACTCGGCGGGGGGCATCGTCGCGCCAAAACCATCGTAACCTCGTCCGCGCCATCTGCGTCGCGGTCGAGATATACCGACGAAATTAATATTCTCGCTCGATGGGATTTTTTACCCTACATCGGAGGCGAATCGACGAGGTCCGCGCAGGCGCCGACCGAAGGTCAAATCGGGATCTCTCTTCCCGCTGCCGGTCGAGACGCGGGAATTAGGAAAAAGCGAGGTTAGGAGCGCGTTCGGCCCGGGCGGGCGCTCGGAAGAACGCAGCCGTCGGTGGCGCGGCGCCTCGTTGATACGCGAGTCGTCCCTCTCCCTCTCGGTCGCTCCCACGCGGCCGGGGATCTCCCAGCCTCGTCGCGGGTCCCGAGCCAGTCCCGATCGGTGCCGAGACGAGGTCGAGTCCGCTCGGCGGCGGTCGGGAGCGCTCGGGCGCCCTCGGCTCGGTTCTGGCTAGCGGCCGCTGTCAGTGGGCGCGCGCGCGCGCGCGCACCTTGGCACTCCGCATCCGTCCGCGGTCGCGTGGCGTGTGTGCGGTCGGCGTGCGCGCGCGCGCGCGCGCGAACGAGAGAGGCCGCCGCTACGTTATTTATCCGGAGTGCGCGCCGAGTCAGTCGAGCGAGCGAGCGAGCACCGTCTGCGCGCGCGGAGCCCCGGAGCGGGAAGAACGGCCGCGCGGAGGATGTCGATAATCCGGAGGAACGGTTTGCGCGTACGCACGGTAAAAATACACGAGGAGAGAGACGGAGAGAAGAGTGCCTTCGGCTCGAACGACGCGTCGCGCGGGGTGGTCGGAGGGGGAGGAGGGGGCCGAGCGAACTGCCCTAGCTCGAATTCCGGAAGCGGCCGAGAGGAGCGAGAGCGCGAGGGAAGGGGTGACGGGATCGGCGAACGGGCCAAAATTCCAAGGAGGAATCCGCGCCGGGCGAACGGTGTTTATTTACCATGGCCGAGGCGAGGTTAAGGCGGCCCGAGCCGTAGTACGACGAGCCGAACGAGAGTGCACGAGTGCACGCGCCGTCTTCTCCCTCCCCCCTCCCCGGGCGAGAGAAGGAGAGAGAGAGAGACCGACTCCGCGTACGGCGCTCGCCCACCCGCGCGCGGTCACGGTCCGTGCGTAACGCGTCGTGGACCCCGCGGACGGACGCCTCGGTGATTCGCGCGGTGCAGGCCGGAGAGAATCCTCCTCTACCTGGACTGGCTCTCTCTCGCTCTCGTCTATTTATACGCGCCGACCATCCGCGACTCTCTCGTATTTTCCCCTCCCTCCCTTGCGCGCAACGTGCCCGGGCCCCTCCCCCCTCACCTCGTATCTTTCGACGTTTCCACCCCTCCTGCCCCACCGCGCCACGCTCGAGCGGCGATCTTCCCCACCCGGGCTCGACCCTCTCTCTCTCTCTCGCGCCGCCGGTTTCATTCGGCGCTCCTTCTCCCCCTCGACGCGGCCCCTGCACGCCCCCTCCTCCCCGGCGCGCGTGACGACATCCGCGAGTCGAGTCGCGAGCGTACACCCTCGCGCCCCTCCCTCCCTCCCTCCCTCTCTCTCTCGTCCCGCCAGGAATTTTCTCACAATGGGCTCGCTGTGTGGGTGAGAGAGCGCGCGCCGAGTCGACACGACTCGCCTCGAGCGGAGAGGCCGCGCGCGCTCGCGCGCTCCAAGATGGAGGCGACGCGCCGGTAACCGAGCCGGCGAATCGGCGGTCCCTCCGCGGACTCGCACCTTCCGCTCGGCGGATCCCCGGCCACCGAGGGAGACGCGCGTCCTTCCGCCTCGCTTCCGCGCTCCCTCTCGCTCCCTCTCGCTCCGCGTCGCCCCCCGCTCCGCCCTTCCCCTCCCCTCCTGCCCCTCCTTCCCCGCTCGGCCGTGCACCGTGAGCGCCGCGAGCGCCGCCGCAGTCAGTGGAAGACCGCGACCGAGCGCGGTCGCCGTTCGCGTCGCGTCGTCCAGTGCTTCTCGGGATCCCTTGAATGGGACCAGGGTGACGCCGCGCCGCGCCTCCGAGAGGCGGCGGATCGTTGTCCCGGACGGCGTCGAGGCGCGCGTCGGCCGCTCGATCGCCGATTGACGTAGGAAAGAGAGAGAGAGCGCGCGGCGTGCATCTCGTTCGATACGTCGCGCCTCCGACCAATCAGCTGACGCGGCGCGCCCGCGCCCGGAGAGGAGCGCTCGATCGGGAAACGGCGGCCTCTGCCGCAGTGCCGTCCGCCCGTCAGTCGACTCGCCTGGGCGCCGGGTGGCGCGGACGCCGACGCGGGGGTCGGTGAATGGGCGGACCGCCTCGAGCGGGGAGCCGCGCGCTTACGCGACGGCCAGGGATAACGACCGTTTTCGAACCAGTGCTCCCAGAGAGGCCCCCGCCTTCGCCCCCGCTCCCGGACCCTGTGACCCGAACCACTCGCCGCTGGAGCGACCGGCCGACGTCGACGAGCGAGGTTTGACTTTTGTAGAAATAAGAGACGTCGAGTCATTTATTTTGGAAGCGAGGATCCGTCAACGGCCTCGCTCGGGACCCCGTTTCGGGCCCGAGCGAGGCCGAGGGGGGACTATCGCTGCATCTCGGGAGGAGAGGGCGCACGTGCTACGTCGACGGCTCCGAGGCTCGACCCCTCGTTCCCCGTACGGTGCACTTTGGCCCGCCCGCGCTCGCGAATTTCAACCCTACGTCGCAGGAGACTCGCGCTCGAGCGATCGGCGTAACGTTTTCCCCCGGTCGAGGAAAGCGGTCCGGATGGTTACGCAACGCCTCCTGTATTTTATTATTTATACATTTTTTTTTTTCTTCATTGCATTCTGCGTCAAACTCGTTCGGAGCGCGTATCCGTATCGCGGCGAAGTCGTTAAAAGGAACGCACGAGTCGAAATGAAAATAACTCGCGCGGTTTACGAGATCGACCGCGGATAGAGTCGCGGCGAGTTTTTGCGGGGTGGCGAAGAGTCGCGCTTCGTCTTCCCCGCGTCCCGGATGGATTCCGGGGAGTTCGCGGACCTCCCCTCCGTGCCCCTCGAGCCTTTACATAATTTATGCTCGGCCCCCGAGCGTCTAGACCCGCGGCCACGCCGATATCGTTAGGTGTCCGGACCCTCGTCGGATTCGCTGCTCGAGTTCGCGCCTTTTCGCGGGTCTCCCTTTCCGTCGAGCATCGGAGAACTCCCGGACCCCCCGCGGCCTCTCGTCTCGCCGTGACGCAAATTCGTCCGGACTCTCGCCCGTAGCGATCGGTAATCGTTCGATCCATCGGACGTCGCGACGATACGATCGGCGCCTCGTCGCTGCATCTCGGCTCTTCCGTAAGGCCAGCCTCGAGTGTCGGCCCGACTCCCGAATATTGGTTAGGGGGTCATCGGCCTGGGAATATTTTTCACGATAGCGCCGGCCGATTCGCCTCGAAAGCGGAGAGTCGAGCCACCGAGCCCGAGCCAAGTCGACCGTACGTCTATTTCTAAAGCGCGATGCGACTCCCATGGAGCCGCTGCAGGGTCGCGTCCTCTATTTGCGCCCCGTCCCCCGAACCTGCGGAATCTCCGCCGGGTCGGTCGCCCCGGAGGTGGCGAGCCTCGAATCGTTTACGCGCTCTCGAAGTTTATCCATCCAATTCGTGCATTCTCCACCCCCAAATTAAGTAGAGAGACTGGAACTCCGAGGGTGAATTGATTTTTCTTTACTACGAATTTTTTAAGCGAATTTATAACGTTACGTCGGATCATGGGACCAAAGTCTACGACTACCCCGGGAAAAACGCGTCATCGAACCAAAGAAATGTTTTGTTAATTCAAGGGATAATTATTTGACCAGGAAATAAATTGGAATAAATAGGCTGCAACATTTTTGTTTTTTTTGGAATCACGAGGATTAATTCCAGTTTATTTCGATGAAATTCTTTTAATGAATATAATATTTCTATGGTCCGATGAAATTTTTTTCTCGGTGTCTGGCAATGTGCCGTGGAATATTTTTTTTTATCTTTAACGGGGTAGATTTGCGGATACGAGGCTCTCTCGAGATTTCTAGGCGCGGTTCTCCTCCTCGAGGTGGCATCGATCGTTTCGCGATCTCCGAGGGACGTATCGCGGAATTATGATATTCTCGGGCCAATTAGTCGGATTAGGCGGTTCCCTCGAGCTCGGCGGGAGGCGAGAGCGCGCTTAAAGGGCGAACGAGAGCCCGAGAAGGACTGCCGCTCGCTTACGCGGGCCTCGAGTCCTCGGCCCGGAGGAAACGCGCGAATTCGAGCCCTCCGGCTCGCGAGGCGGATTCCGTCAACGTAGACGCGGGGGCGCGCGACCGAAAGTAGGGCGCGAGTAAAATGGTCGCCTCTTTTTTTTTTTTCTTTTTTTTTCGAGACGCCGGATCGGCGGCGAGGCGTCGCCGGTTAATCGATCGAATCGGAGAGGTAAAGGGTGGCCTCGCGGCGATTACAACCAATCGAGTCCTCCCAAGGATTGGATCGGCTCGCGAGGATTCGTCGTCGTCGTCGAGTGGCAAGCCTTAAGGGTGCTCCTTCGGTCGCGTTAACGGAAACGGGCCTCGCATTGTCGCGATGGCAACGGAGACGGCTCGACCGGGCGGGCAGAAGAGGGAGGAGGAAAGAGAAGGAAGGGGCTCGTTTATCTGGCATTCGGCGCAGGGGTCACGATAACGCGAACGGACTTAATGATTTTTGAAGGCCACGCCGCTCGTAGAGTCACCGGCTCGTTATCGCGCCCCGACGGGCGCATCCGCGTCGCGCCGCCCTTCCCGGGCGGCCGATATCGAGGCCTCGCGTCGACGAGGCTCGATTCCCCGATTTCGTGACCGACGTTCGCATCGACACCCGGAACGTCCCCTCGAGCAGAGGAACCTAGGATTTCTCGATTTGCCTCTGAAAATATTCGTGAGGTCGCGATAAAAAAAGAACGGGATCGCTTACGCCGGGGAGGTACCTAACGATGAGAGCGACGACGATCAAATCTCGGTCTTCCGTCGAGGTAGAGGCTCCGTAGGTTAAAAAGGACCTCGCGAGCCGTCGACGGGCCCGGGACTCGGCGGGGCGACTATCGATTCGGCGCCGGCGGATATATCGGTCGCGGGGAGAGCGCCGCCGAGGCCGTTCATTCATTCGCTCGGTCAGAAGGGAAGGCGCCGTACGCCAGCGGCCCGTACGGGCCGCGATCGACCGCGAGCTGGATTCCCGTCGTCCCCGCCCGGGCCCCGAGGAACGCCCGAAAAACCCCCGAAAAGTGGACCTCCGCGGTATTTCGAGAGACCGGGAACCGCTCCGTTTTTTCATCGACGCGGATCGCGAACCGGACCAAACCGATCCGTAGCAAATGTATCGACTCCCAGCGACGTGGCCACGCTTCGCTCGTATCCGATCTGACCCGATTTTTCACGTTTGATTCGACTCGATCGTGGCGCGGCCCGGACGATCTTGTTTTCCCGAGGGTGATCAAAGTGCCAGTCGGCAAATTGTCGCCGATGATAAACCGCGCGAAAAAAGGGAATATGCGACCGAGTCGGCGAATCCAGTCAGGGTCGGACTCTCTCGCCGGGTGCGCGATGCGTGCGCGGTGTGTCGATGACGCGCGACAATGGCCTACGCTTCCGTACGTCGATCCGTTTATGGCTCGATAATCTTATTGCGGACCGCCACGAGTGCACGCACGCACGTACGCGAGGCACGCAACCAGGCGAGGACGCGTCAGATTTTCTCGCGCCCGACCACGGCGGGAAAGGAAGGGAAAAGGCTCTCTCTCTCTCCGAGCAGTCCTCGCGTTCCTCTTTCGGGGCAAGGAACGACCCTCGTGACGACGCACGAACCTCTCTCTTCTTAGAAAATAAATAACTCCGATAACTCGCTTAATGGTAACCGCAAACGCAACGGGATGAACCGTCCGAGGGAATTTCCGAAAATTTAACGGCGTTATCCGCAATTATCACTTAAACTGAAATAAATTCTCTCGATTCTATATAAACGTTGCATCCAATCTATTCGAGTTCGTTCGAGTGAATTATTCTTTGAATTGACTAAATACTTCTTTGGTTCAATGAATTGTTTTTTTTTTTCTCAATTTTTTTTCAACTACCCTCGCGCGAAGACCTTAAGGGAAGAGCCCTCCGGGCTCGGTCGAGCGTCGATCCGCCTTAAAGCAAATCTGCGTCGTTTCGTAATGGTCGGAGGCATAGGAGGCCGTATCTACCGTGCGGACCTTACGTCAGAGGACATTAAGTTCGTTCTTATTGCTCGCGGATGTTTTTTTTTATTTTTTTTTTTAACGGTTTTCCGTAAAACATGCACCGATATACGCGGTCACGTTACCGGAACCACCGTCGAGTTCGCGACCGTGCGCAAGTGCAGCTGCGCGTGGCGCGCCTTTTTCCCTCGGCTTCGTCGGAGTTCTCGGTAAGCCGCGGCGAAGGGGACCGGTTGCGAGACACGCACGAGGAAATCGAGTTCGCCGATTTTTAGGCGACTTCCGAGCCGCGGCGCGTTTCGGTCGGCCTTGGCTCGATCTTTCGACTCTTCGGGCGAGGAGGCGTCCGTTGTCTCGCGCGGTGCATCGCTATTGTCTCTTACGACCGGACGCGATTTTGCGCAAGAGCCAGCGCGCGTACGCGCGGCTTGCACTCTCGGTCGCACGCGTACGACCGACCTCTCCCCCCTCGCGATCGCCGATAAGAGAAGAGCGCCCGGTCGCCGGCGAAGGGCGAGGCGCGAGGCGAGACGCGAAAGTTGCGCGATAACGCGAGCGCTCAGTCGCTGTCGAGAAGTCGACGCGCTCGGAGCGCGCGCCTCTCTCGCGACGTCCGCGTTAATTTTTCACGCCGCGAGGAGAACCTTTATCAGGAAATAACCACCGGTGGGTTCGTTACGAATGACCCTGGATTTTTTTCATCGGTCAAAATGACAAATAATTTTTTTTAACCGGTTGCAACGAGAATCTTTATCGAGAAATGACCACCTTAGAGGGGTGGGTTCGTTACGAATGACCCTGGATTTTTCTCATCGGTCAAAATGACAAATAATTTTTTTTAACCGGTTGCAACGAGAATCTTTATCGAGAAATGACCACCTTAGAGGGGTGGGTTCGTTACGAATGACCCTGGATTTTTCTCATCGGTCAAAATGACAAATAATTTTTTTAACCGGTTGCAACGAGAATCTTTATCAAGAAATGACCACCCTCGAGGGGTGGGTTCGTTACGAACGATCCTGGATTTTTTTTGGCAGTCAAAATGACGAAGAAACTAGTTGGTTCGGATTCTAGTCGAAGAGAGGCGCTAGTTTAAGGGATTTGCACCTGACTGTGGATCACGGGTTTCACAACGATTAGTCGCGTTAGATAATATTTCTCTCGTCGCTAATTTGACGAGGGCGTGGAAGCGTTCGGTATCAAGGGTGCGGGGAAGTTCCTCGGGCGGTTTGACGATCTGGCCAATCGGAGTTTCGGTGTT